GAGAACGCAAGATAAAAGAGCTAATGCCAAACAGAAATGCCACAGAAAAGGTATGTGCTTAAATATTGATTCTTGTCTTGTCCATCAGTTGCTTATGTTGATATTTCAATATGAAAGGTTATTCCAGGTTAAATTCAACTTATGCTACAATACAATTTGTATTTCTATAGCATTATATATCAATATTAGCAATATAATATTGATATATTATATTGCCTGTAGAAACGACTCTCATTCGATTATGTTTGAGGGAGAGCTGCATGATTAATCACTTAAAAATTGAATAATGTAACTTGATGCTTCGAATAAAGATTGCATCATTACATTGTTACTCCAGTAAGTGGAGACGAGTGACTGTTCAAATGTATTTGTCATTGAACCAAGAGATTCGTTCAAAAACGCTGATTCATCCAGTAATGAAACAAGAGGAGTCATTGAATCATTCACTCAGAGTTTTACATTTTTTAATTCAAATGAATTAAATAATCTGCAGCAATTAAAATTTTGTCAGAACTTCTAGTAAATTACATGTTTTTTTGTGTTTAAACTGTTTATTCAGAATCGTGATCTCTATTTTAAACATTTATCCAGAATCGTGCAGCTCTGGTTTGAGGTGTAAGAGCTTTTCACACAGATTTGTTTAATAGTTGGTTACGTTTTTGAGCTTTGTATAACAGAACTGATAAACATTTAGCGAATTAAGAGCTTTCCAAAATAAATGTCTTTTTTTCCCCGGCAGGTGACTCGGATGCATCTGTGGATGAACACAGAAAGGTTAGTATTGCACTGTTGTGTTCCTCCTTTTGGTCTTTTTTTTTTTTGCATATGAATGCCAGGGTAAATGTGTTAAGCAGTGTTTATGTGTGCAGGTGAGTGGAGACTCATGCCACTCTCTTCTGCTCACTCAGCATTTTCACTCATCACTGCCAAGCCAACAGGGAGCGACGCTCGGCACGCTCACACAGATCATGTAAGTGAACACCATGTGTCTTTCTGTTTCTTTGTTGACTGGACATTGTCTCTTAAATTGACCTATTATGCTTTCTTTAGTGTGTAATGTTGCTGTTTAAGTATGAAAAGCTCTGCAAAGTTACAAAGTAATTCCCTGAAACTCCATTGTAGTCTTGAGTTTCTTCCGGGAACGAACACGTCACAATATTCCTCGTTTAAATAATTAATACGCAGAATGAAGGTCTTTTAATAAAGGAAACAGGCTTAGTTGAGTTAGTTAGTATTGTGTTGAAACTGGCGGTTATGGTAAGGGGCGGGACGTTTCCCAAACACACTTATAGGAGAATATATATACAGTTTTTTCCGGACTATAAGTCGCTTCAGTCGAAAAATGCGTCATGAAGAGGAAAAAAAACATATATAAGTCGCACTGGACTATAAGTCGCATTTATTTAGAAATTTATGACATTTAATCTGGAAAGGCAAGTTATTCAACTACACAATAGCACACTGAACAACAGGCTGAATAGGTGGGAGAACATTAACGTAACACATTAACAGTTATTCAGCTACACAATAGCATAAAGAACACCTGGGAGGCCTAGGCTAAATTAACATAAGCCAGCGAGTCCAACAAGTAAGTGACCGGTAAACAAGTTCCCCAAGCTCCCGATCTCATTCCACATCAGTGAATCCATTGAGTTCTTCATCCTCTGTGTCGCGTTTGAACAACTCCGCCAAGTAGAGCGCCCTCTGGAGACGCTAATGTTTTCTCTTGGTTCATCTCAGTCTGAATTAATTTTGATATATAAGTCGCACCTGACTATAAGTCGCAGGACCAGCCAAACTATGAAAAAAGTGTGACTTATAGTCAGGAAAATACGGGTATATGGAGAATATGGGGAAAATAGTGAACATTCAAGGAGGAAAACCTGTTATACATAGTTCCCACAGGCCAATTAATGTCACGTGACCTCCCCGGAGACGCCATCTTTGAGGGCATAAGCTGCTCTGTTTACAAAGTTTTACAAGCAAATTTCGAATATTTCTTTGTTTTTATAATTTTACGAAAATCATGAAAAGACAAAGTGACAGATTATAAAGAGACTATTAACACAAGACAGAGAGAGGTACAATGCGAAAATTTGTGTAATAAATGGTGTGGATCCGTATGCACTAACGAAGGAAGCACTGAGCACTGATTATGCAGCTTTGCCTCATACAGTATTATCATGTGTAACGTTACCATTATCTGGTATTTTTTACACATGTGAGCAATTCCGAGCCTGAAAAATCACTGGAGGCGTACAATCAGTTTGTCGAGGGTTGGGTTGGTGACGTTTGCTCAAGTGCAATCAATGGAAAAGTAGTCATCATAGCGAATGTATGTAGCATGATGCTAGACTATCTGTCTATTAAAAAGCCATAGCCTGCACAACTTAATTCCTGTTCCCCTTAAAACAGTCATCGGTGCTTTCTGTAATATGCATACTTATATGAATAGGGTTGGAACGGTACATTTTTCGTATTGAACCAAAACTGTACTGGCGTCACGGTTCAGTGCATGAATATACACGGTATAAAAATAAATAAAACTCGCGTGCAAATTAATTAATGTTTTTAATACCTCGTCATTTTGTTCATACAGGACATCATTCAAACTGCAAAGTGTTAACTTGTTTATCCTCGCCAGCCATAACATCCGTCGTTGTTCTGACAAAAGCTTAGTCTTCTCACATTCATGAAGTCTAAAGACGGGTATACTGTAAAATCCAAATTTAACTGAACCTCCGGCACGATTTGAACATCCATTGACCCAGCAGGAGATTCACTTTTTATCACGAAATTAACTCGTTTCAGCTTCTTCTTCTTATATTCTGCCCGCAACATGCCCACAGAAATGGCGCCGGGTCGGCAAATGCCCGTATGTTGTGACGTCATGTAGGAACTATGTATAGTAGAGCCTGAAAACATCAAGACTTTGTAAAAGGTTAAAGTGTTTTGTTTGTCATTTCTGTCTTGCGCTGTAGGGCAGGATCTGTTGAGGTTTGTGAGGAGGGGCCAGATGGCGTTCAGTGGAGGAGATTAGAGAGAAAACGCAGATGGCTTTCTGCCTCTGTACCTGTCCTCTCTACAGGTGTGCCCAGGTGAGAAGCATGTTTCAAACAGTCTGTTCACCGACAATCTGATGGATACTGCACTCAAAAATTGTGAAACGGCCAGGTCGAATCTCATTGCACGCATGACGTTAAGATGATCTCTTCCTGTTTACTAGGGTAGTTCAACTTTATTCTGATTCAGATTTTGTTTTTGAAATTACATACAAGTACCAATTATAGTACTTAGTCTATGGGTGTAAAAAAAAATTGGTACCATTTTCTTAGCTGCAATTTCCTTTGTGTGCGTGTCTCTTATTTTGTGTTATAAACATTTGTTTATTGACTTTTAGGGTGTTACTCCACTCACATCTGCTTCTGTCAGCGGTCTCCTCCTCTCTGAATCTGCTGCTTTCTGAACACACAGGTGAGGTCACTTGTTTGTTAGTTGCGTTAAAAGACGTGTAATAATCTGGTTATTATTTTGAAATTTATTTATTTTTCCTTTCAATTTGACTTACAACTTAGTTTATTTAATTTATTCCATTTCATTGTTATTAAATTTCATGTGCCCAGATGTAGGCTTTTAAAGTAGTTCGAGCATTTTTAATTACTCAAACTCATGTCTCGCCTCCCTCTGCCATTGTATGCTACCGCGACAAAGCACACACGTGACAAATGACGTCAGAAAAGCGTCAGTACATTATAATCGGTTATGGTCTATTACTGAACCGATACGATTCATTTCGACACCCCTAGTGCTAAATAGTGTTCTTTAAAAATTATTAACGCTCTTAAATTTCTCAGGTGGGTTGTAAAGCTTCCATAATTATAATAGTAAAAGTTTTATTATATATTATTATTATTATATCAAAATGTAAACTCAAATGAATTTGTGGCTGGGTTTATTTTCAGTTTCTCATTTTTCCTCCCTCAGTTATTTATTAGTTTTTATTTTCATTACAGTTAACACTTATTTTATCTCCTGTTTCTTAGTTCCTCATGGCATAGTTTGTGCCGTCACCTGTCCCAAAGGTGAGGAGAGAAAGGGAACCAGGGGTTCTGGGTCAAAGACCTCTGTGAAGCCAGAAACTACTGCGACCAGACGTTCCTCTCGTCACAATCGCGCTGAGGCGGAGGATTCCTCATCTGCGCAGTCGCAACCGACAGACTCGGACACAACCTCTTCTACACCACAAACCATAAACGACACTCCTGCTTCTACGAGCAGAGGACAGCAGGGGAACAACCCGAGGTCTGGAGCGAAGAGGAAAGGACGTGGAAAAAAGAAGGTTGTAGAGAGACATGAAGATGAGGAGGTTGGGAATCATGAGGAAGATGAAGTCAATAAGGAAGCAGAATCTGAGGAACCAAAAACAGACCAGAAAGCAAGTCCTGATCAGATTGATAGCGACCAAGAACCACTGGATACGGAGGAGAAGATGGAGGTGGAGAATGAGACGAGTGCTACAGAGGCCAATAACCAGGATGATGAAACGGTAAAAGTAGAAGAAATGGCAACTGAGAGTATGGTTGAAGATGAAGACGATCAGATACTTTCACGAGATGATAGCGAGAAAGAAGTGGAGACTGATGATTCAGACCAAGTTGAATTGGAGAATGTTCCACCAATAGTGGAGGACGATTGCCAATCTCGTTCCTCTGCTGAACTGGGAGAGTCTCAATCTGATTCCCAGGACGTTCAATCGCCTCTGCAAGAGGAACCAACAGCTGAACCAACTTCTGACCAGATTGTGGATGTGAAACCGGAGCTTGACACCGAGGAAGACCAATCCGACAAACAGGAATCGAGTTGCTCTCCACCTTTCCAAGATATTGTGGATCTGAATTCGGAGCCGGATACCACAGAAGACAATTCTGACAAGCAGGAATCAAGTAGCTCTCCAGCTCTCCAAGATATTGTGGATCTGAATTCGGAGCCGGATACCACAGAAGACAATTCTGACAAACAGGAATCAATTGGCTTTCCAGCTCTCCAAGAGTTTGCGGATCAGAAACCGGAGCCGGATACCACAGAAGACAATGCAGACAAGCAAGAATCGAGTAGCTTTCCAACTCTCCAAGAGATTGCGGATCAGAAACCGGAGCCGGATACCACAGTAGACAATGCAGACAAGCAAGAATCGAGTAGCTTTCCAACTCTCCAAGAGATTGCGGATCAAAAAACGGAGCCTGACACCACGGAAGACAATGCAGACAAGCAGGAATCCAGTACTTTCCAAGAGGATCAGAGCGCTGGTCCGTCAGCACTTGGAGAGATAGCTATTCCAGAAACTAAGGAGACTAATGCAAGGAGTCCTCAGGACAACACTGACCTCATTCCCATGGAGTGCGATTCTCCTGCATCCGAGAGTGAAGCTCATGCTGCTGAAGCTGAAATAAATCCCACTGCGAACGCGGGTCAGACTGCCGATCAAAAGCCCAAGATTGACAGCTGTAAGGAAGCGAAAGGCTCGGACAAGAGGGACCGGGATGGGCGATCCCGCAGGTCTCGCTTTCACTCGCCTACGACCACTTGGTCGCCTACCAAGGAGTCTAAGAGTGAAGGGTCACGCAGGTCAAGGTCTCGATCACGGGACCGTAGCCACAAGACCCGATCCACATCTCGGAGCCGCGAGCAGCAAGAGGAAGAGCGGGAAGGGCGGCGGAATCGAAGCCGTAGCCGTAGTCGTAGCCGGGAGCGAAGTCACAGGCGACGTAGCCGTTCCCGGAACAGAAACCGAGCCGGACGCCGGAGCCCGTCCCAGGAACGCTCGGATCACGGCGGACACTCTCCTCGCAAGAGGGAGTCTTGGGGAACGGATGGATGGCGGAGCACAGGTGGTGGACGAGGTTGCCGCAATTCAAACTGGAGGAACAATGCGGAAAAACCTGGGAATTCGTCAACAAGAGAGCATGTTTCATCTGACAACGGCAACTTCAATGAGGCGTCGCCTGATCGGAGCAGAAGCGAGAACCCGGACTGGGTAAAAGACAGGGAGAAGCTCTACCCGGATGCTGATGCTCGAGGGCGTGAGCAACGAAAGGATGAAAATTTCGGAGATCCACCTTCCGATTCCTGGTGTCGGGGGGGCTGGAGCGCTGGACGCGGGAGAGGAGGTTCAAACTGGTCGGCCAGCCAGCAGAGCGAGCCAGCAGATAATTGGAGGCAACGCACTTCTTTCTCAGGGACCGCGAATAACACGGATTCTTATAGCCGCTTCAACGAAAACAGAGCCGGAGGAAAGAGAAAAGAGTCTGATGGTGGCGAGACGGCGATGGATCGGTCGGGGTGGTCGTCGGCGTCGAGCTGGGCCGTGCGGCGAACTCTTCCCGCCGATGTGCAGAACTACTACTCGCGCAGGGACCGAGGCGGCGGAAACAATACCTGGAACAGACAAGAGGAGGATCAAGGTGCACCAGGTGTCCCAAAACAAGCAGGTCTGTCTTTATACAAATAATGGCTTGTTTCACCAACACAAACGTTTTTCACATAGGATTTGTATGTGACACCAATGCGTAAAAAAACAGCCGATGGGCTGAATGGAAATGTACTTTCAGTTTCTGATAATAGATGTAGGGCCCTATGAAATCAGTTTTATTTTATATCAAATTCAGTTTTTCCTATTTGAATTTTTCTGGATTCTGGCTTTCTCAAGCCAACATCAAAGTTTGTTCACAAACTTTAGCTTCTAGTTTACATTTTCTGGATTCCATTTTAACTTTAGTAATCAGAAAGCATGTCTAAGTTATTGAAATCATGAAACATCAAACAAATTATTAAAGGTTTAAGAAAAATGACATTTTTAGGGCCTTATAAATTTTTTTTTCTTTCAAATCTGTTTTTTTTTTTAGTTTACTCAAATTCATTTTTTTCCGCTTGAATTTTTAGATTCCCTTTTAGTGGTTACATTTAAACCTTAGCAATCAAAAAGCATGTCTAATCCATTGAAATCATAAAACTTTAACGATTGAATTATTTGTTTAAAAAGAATGCTCTGTTCATGAGCGCCACCAAGGCATAGTTCATTCCAATCAAAACATTTCGATTTTTTGCATTAGTGTGAATATCCTTAGTTTTATCCTTAAAGCATAAATATGCTAATTTTCAAAAGTGCATTAGTTCAAGTTCAAGTCTTTTTATTGTCAGATGCACAGAACAATACAAGGGCACTGAAATTCGCATGACAAGACACCGCATAGCAACCTGACATAACATAACATATAAGTACACAAAAAATAAATAAAAAAAAAGTCAGGGAGGGGTAACAACAGTAGTGCAATATTGCTATTTAAACATTATGAGTGTTCTTAAGCTCTTTTTCTCTAGTCATGTAGCATAAATTTCTATTACATAGACAGTCAAGTTTAAAGCAACACTAAGTAAGATTTTTTACCTTAAAATTTCCAAAATGGTTTCAGTGGTTCATTAAGTCGTAACAGGGTGAAAGGCACTTATGCCTCCGCTTTGGGGTCCTGTATCTGCTATAGCCACGCTATGTAAGATTGCCAGATCGGGTCGCGTTTCTGTAGTTCTAATGAGACATAAGAAAACTACAAATTTGACTTGCTTTACGTCAAGCGTTACAATTGTCATTATTTAGTTATGTCGCAATACATTATACTTTCATGAAATCATGCACCATACTCTACCTTGTCTGTGGACATCGTTCATTCCAAAGCCGGTGCTGGATAAACAGCAAGCGTGCGTGCGACAGTAGGATGCGCTAGGCTAAATTATTTACGACAGCGGTAATGGACAATTCCGCTTCCAACCTGTAGGGCGACCGCAGAGGAAAAGTTACTTGGTGTTGCTTTAAAGGATTAGTTCACTTCAAAATGATAATTATGTCATCATTTATTCACCCTCGTTGTTTCAAACCTGAATGAATTTCTTTTTTCTGCTGAACACAAAAGAAGATATTTTGAAGAATGTCGGTAACCAGACAGTTGATGGACCCCACTGACTTCCATAGTAGGAAAAAAAATATTGGAAGTCAATTCTTCAAAATATATTCTTTTGTGTTCAGCAGAAGAAAAATTCATTCAGGTTTTAATTTTAAACGACTTGAGGGTGAGTAAATAATGATGGAATTTTAATTTTAAAGTGAACTGTTCCTTTAATTAAAAGCCCATCTTTCCAGTGGTGAATTTCCCCTTTAATATGATTTGGTCACATTTACATTCATGTCCGTTTTCTGTATTTCAGATCCCCCACAGAATGAGCCAAATGCACCCCTGCCAACCGAGGCTGTTCCAGCTCTACCCCCCACCCTGATGCCCCATCAGCTCGGTGTGATGGGGGTCCTGCGTTACCCCATGGGTCCTCTTCTGCCGAGACCTCCAGCTGTGGGTCTACAGCCTCCTCAGTTCAGTTTACCCCCTCCGGGTCCAGTACAGCTGCACCCCGCCGGCCCGCTCCTTCAGGTCCCATCCATAGCCGTGCAGGGACTGCCTCCGCCCCCTCCACCTCCTCCGCCAGTGCAGACCGGCTTCACCATAGTACCGCCTGAAAGCCACCCATCTCAGGTGAGCACCAGGGTTATTATCGATAAAGCCGAGTTCACACTGCAGGATTGTAGGCCCGATTTTCATTTGCGAAATTGGCGACAAACGCCCGAAATCATATGCAAATCGATGCTCGTTCACGCTCGTCACACTGTGAATTATCAAAGACTCGATCTGAGAGAATCGCCCGATGAGTCGCCCACGCCCGTGAGATATTTGGCGAGTAATATAGAGATGGAGTAATATATTGTTAAATCCGAGTTCACACTGCAGGATTTTAGGCCGGATTGTCATAAATTGAAATCATAGATTTGCCCGAAATCATAGGCAAATGCCCGGGCGTCGGCGACTCATCGGTACTCATCGTCTTTGATAATTCACAGTGTGTGATTGTCGTGAACGAGCACCGATTTGCCTATGATTTCGGGCATTTGTTAGCCTGGGAAAACCCAGACAACTTCCAGCAAATGTAGATTTGCTCTTAAAAAGTTAGTCTGGCAAAGAGCTCATACAAGCCCATTTCCAATCCGTCGAAATCGAGGCACCAATCAGAAGCGTTGGGGCGGGCTTTACACGATGACGACAGCGCTGGGGTTTTGAAGCAGATTTTGTAGCCTACATTACAAAGATGGATGCCGGCGTCGAACATCACTCGTTCCAATCAGCTATCGCGTGTGTTTTAAGCCATTTGAACGTTTCCTTTTTGTTAAAAACCGAGCAAAGAACAACACTCGGCTCTGCATACGTCATCTCCTTCATCGCTCTGATTGGGTTTAGGTCTATCCGCGACGTCCGTTGGTGACGCCCCTCTGGAAATGATTTGTCTATGACGCTTTGCCAGACCATAACTCCGTTACAACTGAGAATGGTCTGGTTTTAACCCGGCTAGGCATTTGTAGCAAATTTAGCAAATGAAAATCGGGCCTAAAATCCTGCAGTGTGAACTCGTTATTAATGAGATATGCTAAATATCTGGACCTGTCAGCGATTCAAAATCCTGCTGTGTGAAATGTGTTCTGACTGACAATGACATCGGCGATGACCTACAGCCAATGAGAGAGCGAGATACAGAGGAGCGGGATGTTCGGGGAGGAGTTATAAACCAGTATTTTAATATATATATTTACAATTATATAGAACAGAAACAAAGCACAAACATTTGCTTGACCAGCAGCACATTGCAAAATGATTTATTAACCTACAACTTTCTTTGCAGAACACACAATCCTTGCTGCCCTCGTCTCCCCAACCATTCCCTCCTCCATAATCTATTTTCTTTTTTCTCCTTTTAAGCACACAGACAATTCTGATCGCAATGATCTTGCAGGCTTTAATTTTTAATAACAATTCAAGTCTCGCGCGAGAAATCTTGTATTATTTCCTTATCACTTCTCGCTTGTGTTAAAACGTAGTTTGCGGACCAGACAATATTGTCGCTATTCTTCCTATTTTAAAGTAATGCAATGTGAAACTCTCTGTGGCAGCATTCAAAGAACTGTGATCTGAAGAGTGTGAACTCGGCACAAGTAAAACTAAAACCATAAAAATTACATTACTTAAAAAAAAAAAAAAGCACTGAATTAGGCACCATTGTGAATATCAAGATTTGTATGTTTTGTGCAGTTTTAGTTGATTTGGTTGTAACATTTCCATATTTTACAGCAGGTGATGCCCAGTTTTTCTATACAAGGCAAAGCTTCTTTCAAGCCCATGCCAACCAAAGTAGTTGCAGGGCCACTTCATCCTATCGGGACGGTCAGCGCGTCCCAGCCGTCCTCCACCACCCAACCAACTCACAGCAAGGCCCACGCCGACAGCTCAAAGAAAGAGAAGGCAAGAGCTCATGTTCAGGCTAACGGCTCCATGCTAATGTCCATAACCCTGCGCTGCACCTCCTAAAGTACATGTTCCCCTTTCAAGCAGAAATTGCAGATCCAAGAGCGGGCCGTCAATGAGGTGAAGGCAGCGATTAAGCCATATTATCAGAAGAACGAAATCAACAAGGAGGAATATAAAGAGATTGTACGCAAAGCTGTGGAAAAAGTAAGTTTGGATTTTGAGTAGACCAAATAGGTCACACTAAAATAATATATTATTGTTCAATTTGGTAACACTTTACTTGAAGGGGTGTGCATAAGACTGACATGACACCTTCATAATCATGACATGACACGTTATGAATATGAAGGAGGGTTTATGCATGTTTATGACAACTGTCATTAAGTGTCATTCGTTCAATTATGACATTTTTAATGCAAATATGACATTGTTTGAGATGTCTTTGTTATGGCAACTTGACATAAACCAATACATCATAACCTGGCAGTGTCTTGGTAATGACAACTTGACATTACCAAGACAACATAAATTGTCATAAATATGTCATAAACATGACATAGCAGATTATTTATCAAACTTAAGAAACCACTTAGCTTTATAGGTTAACATTATATTAAACTGTCATGTGGTTGGTTTTGACATTGGCTGTCATAAGGCCATTATAACTGTGTCATGAATATTTTTCTTGACCTCAACTACAGTGGTACAAATTGAATTTGTCATTAAAATGTTATAATGCCTCATGACAGCCAATGTCAAAACCAACCACATGACAGTGTAATGTAATGTTAACCAATAAAGCTAAGTGGTTTCTTAAGTTTGTTAATTAATCTGCTATGTCATGTTTATGACATATTTATGACAGTTTGTGTTGTCTTAGTAATGTCAAGTTGTCATGACAAAGACACTGCCAGGTTATGATGTATTGGTTTATGTCAAGTTGTCATAACAAAGACATCTGAAACAATGTCATATTTGCATTAAAAATTTCATAATTGAGCGAAAGACACTTAATGACAGATGTCATAAACATGCATAAACCCTCCTTCATATTCATAACGTGTCATGTCATGATTATGAATTTGTCATGTCAGTCTTATGCACACCCCTTCAAGTAAAGTGTTACCCTCAGATCACAGTCGCACCTCTGCATATTCAGTTTGATTTTAGTGTATCTATTCCTTGAAGTCATATTCATGTGCATTGAAATTATGAATTTTGCACACGTGGCTTCAAAAACGCACCCAGCAAATGTCTTGCTCTGTCTCTCAGGTGTGCCACAGCAAGAGCGGCGAGGTGAATGCCGACAAAGTGGCCAACCTGGTGAAAGCATACGTCGACAAATACAAGCGCACCCGCAAAAACAAATCCGAGTAGAGCCGAGGGTCTCTGTTCTGCTGATGCACAAGTGCAATTCCTCCACCGCGGCGTCACTGACTGGAGCCGTTCTTAACACATTTGCATACAAGAATGAAGATTTTTCTAGAGATGACATATTTTGTTTAATTTGGATTTGATATAGTGCAAATGCCCTTTATTGGATTGTGTCTTATGGGTATGTGTGTGTGTGTGTGTGTGTGTGGGGAGGGGGGGAAGGTTATGGTCTATAATGGTGTCGCTATTATTGCATTTTGCTTCTAAGTTTAAAGAAGCAAAAAAAAAAAAAAAAATTAAGGCTAATGATTCAAGTGGTACGACTGGACCTGTCCTGTCTCTCTCTCTCTCTTTCTCTCTCTCTCTCGCTCTCATTAGTCATCCTTTAGACCTAAACTCCTTTTCTTTTAGAAGCATAGAAACAATCTTGAGTACATGTGCATTAGCTTTATTATTCCCAGCTGAATGTGTGCGTGCCTGAGTGTGTGTGTGTGTGTGTGATTCAGTCGTAATCTTACGTGGAAAGAACACGGGTAGTTTGTTGGTGAGCTGAGATGATTCTGTTGTCATATCCAGGTTTAAGTCCTGTACTTCTGTTTATGCAGTTCAATCACTGTGTCTGTTTACCCTCCCAGAAGCAATGAAATAAACCAGCTCTGAATCCCGTCCTGTGTCCGTTTACTGACTTCAGGTCAGAGGATCATGTCCTCGGCTCTGTGAACTTATTAAAGTGGAAACTTATTAAAGCTCAGAAATGTTGGAAAGACGATGGCTGCATCCGAAACACATATAGTAGGTATATGCACAAATTCACAGTACTCATAATTGTTTTTAAAATTCTTTAATATCTATACTTTATATTTATTTTGATTATATTATATTTTATTTATTTTAATCATGGTAATTATAGTAAAATCTATTAATTTATATGTATTTTTATTATGTATGTTTATGTTTTTTAATATATATTTTACACAATACTCATAAATATGTCCGGATTACATCCATAGGACACATTTTATATTACATAGAACATACTTGCATAGTCGCAAAGTACTTTCTCAAAACAGTTACCTGCAGTTTTCGGATGCAGCCTAAACATCAAATCAAGAGAAGCAAATCCTTCAATGCATATTAAATGTTTCCCGTCAGAAAGAAAACCCTCGTTGATGCTCATGAAAGTGATTCTTAATTACGAGTAAACCGCAATCCCAGCACTCCTATGATGGTGTTTCTCTAGCCACACACAATCATCCCACAGAAAGACTGGTGTAACTGCTTATCCTAATCGATGTTACCTATATACTGGGAAATCACAGGTCACATGACATCACTGTCACTCATGAGTCCCAGCCAGACGTCTAGGCTGAAACAAGGCAACATTTGGGCTGTCTGTGAAAGTTTAATAGACGTCCGGTCTAACCATCGCCCAAGAATAGACTAGTCATCGATTAGATAAAGAAATGAAACCTTGTAACCACTGTTGACTTTGCTTACATGATGGAATATCTAACATCTCGCACGTTATTCTGGCAAAACCGACATGTAATCAAATGAAGAGAAGTGTGTTCCTCATAGCCGGACTATATCGGGTCTATAGTTGATCTAGACGGTGACGGCTGTTGCCCTCTGGGAGGCTGTGACGGGCTGGTGGTTAAACACACGAGCTCGAGTCTCGCCCTGTTGTGTCGGGATGATCCTATAGTGAAGTATAAGTTCCAGCGAGTGAAAGCTAAGAGATCTGTGGCTCACTGGTATGAGCGCTGCCTCACGGTTACAGAGGTTACTGGTTTGAACCCTGGTCAGAGCTCCATGAAATGAGTGATTGGTGGATGAGTGATTGGTGGATGAGTGGATGAGTGGATGAGTGGATGAGTGGATGAGTGGATGAGTGGATGAGTGGATGGAGTAATGAGGAGGAGATGTGGCCAAGATCCTGGTGGAGCAGTGGCTTATCCAGGAAAAACAGCTGACTTAGTATCAGGACATTTTAATAAGTCAACATTTTGATGTAAAACAACACCACTGCTGGTTATCTTCCCAGAAATCCCCAGGGGGAGGAGTTAGGATATTCCCTCCCCCCTTCGTGTCCGACCATCTCTTGTCCTCCTGTCTGATCCGTTTTGGATCCAGATCTGGAGACTGTTCCTCAACGCAACCATGCTTCAGTGTCCAGCCCGGTTTTGAACCAGGAACCTCCCGATGGGAGTGTGTGCTCACACCACTGAGCCACTGGACCTTCCACTCTTACACTTCTTTTTTTTGGGGCATGTCTTTTTTCTCTCTTGGACAAACCCGACGAAACTAAAGAATCATAAGAGCGAGGTTCGAACCCGGGTTTCCCACATGGAACCACAACACTCACACCACTGAGCCACTGGAGCGTCCACTCTCACACTTGTTGTTTCTAGGAGCATGTCTTCTTTATTTGGACCAAACCGGTGAAACTAAAGATTTTTACCACCAAGAGTCTCAAACCGTGATCCTCCACACGAGAGAGCGACACTCAGACCACTGAGCCACTGGAGCTTCTGCACTTTAGTGTTTCTGTTTGACTCAATTAAACAATCAAACTAAAGTATTTTCCACCGCAAAAGTGCGATTTGAACCAGGATTTTGAACACAGATGAGCAACGCTTTTACCACTGAACCACTTACACCTCTTTTTTGAAGTTTGGTCTTTTATGTGGACAAAACCAGTGAAACTAAAGCATTTTTACCACCAAGAGTTGGATTCTAACCGGTATCCTCCACATTACAGAGCAACGCTCACACCACTGAGCCACTGGAGCTTACACACTCACTCTTCTTTTTTTGGGGGCATGTCTTTTTTCTCTCTCCGACAAACCCGGTGAAACTAAAGAATCATAAGAGCAAGGCCCGAACCTGGGTATCCCACATGGAACCACAACACTCAAACCACTGAGCCACTGGAGCTTACACTCTTGTACTTGTTGTTTTTGGGAATATGTCTTCTTTTTTTGGACCAAACCGGTGAAACTAAAGATTTTCACCAACAAGAGAATCAAACCTAGCCTGGGAAAACCCAGACAACTTCCGGCAAATTTAGATTTGCTCTGAAAGTTAGTCTGGCAAAGAGCTCATTCAAGCCCATTTCCAATCCGTCGAAATCGCGGCACCAATCAGAAACATTGGGGCGGGCTTTACACGATGACGACAGCGCTGGGGTTTTGAAGCAGATTTTGTAGCCTACATTACAAAGATGGATGCCGCCGTCGAACATCACTCGTTCCAATCAGCTATCGCGTCTGTTTTAAGCCATTTGAACGTTTCCATTTAGTTAAAAACCGAGCAAAGAACAACACTCGGCTCTGCATACGTCATCTCCTTCATCGCTCTGATTGGGTTTAGGTCTATCCGCGACGTCCGTTGGTGACGCCCCTCTGGAAATGATTTGTCTATGATGCTTTGCCAGACCATAACTCAGTTACAACTGAGAATGGCCTGGTTTTAACCAGGCTAACTCAAACAAGGATCCTCCACATGAAGGAGTGAGACTCACCACCACTGAGCCACTGGAGCTTCTCATGAACAAGCTTTTCTCTTTGGGAGGAGTTTTGTCTTCTTCTTTTTAGCACCAATGAAACTAAAGAAATCCTGTTATGAGGAATGGCATGGGACTCAAACTGGGATTCTCCACATTACGGACCGACCCTCAGACCACTGAGCCACTGGAGCAGACATGCTCAAAAACTGTTTTTTTTGGGGGGCAATATTGTCTCAGTTGATCATTCAGAGACAATGAAAGAAAAGCACTTGCCATCTCTGAAGTGAGATTACTAAAGCCTATTTAGCATCTAAACTAAAGCCTTTTTACCATCGAGTGAGATTCGAACCAGGCTTCTCCACGTTATAGAGCGACGCTCAGACCAATAAGCCATTGGAGCAACTCTTGTTTTTTGGGGGACACATTTTTTCTTAATTGATCATTCAAACCAATAAAGCATTTTCCACCTCAAAAGTGAGATTTGAGCCAGGATTTTCCACTTGAAGGAGTGATGCTGAAACCACTGAGCCAGTGGAGCTTCTCCTCGTCAATGCTTCTTTTTGTGTGGATTTTAATCTTAATCATTCAGAACCACTAAAACTAAAATAAAAATAAACTAAAAAACGAGTCTCAGAGCAGATGAAAAGAGACTATGATGTGTGACGATGATTAAAGCTTAATTATTTATTCAGGATGAATCATGTTCAGTGGAGTCAGAGCTGCATGTGACTTTGCAGTGGATTGTGGAGGACTAGTATGCAAAATAACAATAATAATAAATAAATAAATAATAAAAATTCAAAAGAACTCGCGTTAGCGGAATGCAAATGCACGCCCTCCTGTGGTGAGTCTAGGGAATTACATGCGGCAACATTATCCCCAAACACTAGTCTTTTTTATCCTTTTTATCTATGATCTGAACCATAAACTGTGTGTCAGAAGGCCATCCAGTGGTGAACTGCAGGAATGACACAAATGCAATTTATTTCTACATCAGTAACTCGAGCCACATTCAAACCGTGCATTAATTCAGAAATAAAAAATAATAATGGGATAAAAAAATCTATACAACAAGAGCACGGAATTATTTTGCTTTGATTTAATATTATTTAATAAGTTGTTCATGATCATAAACATCTGTCAAAGTACCAGTTGTGAAAAGTAGAAATATATTCTTATATTTGTAATATATACATTTAAAGACTCGAGTCTGACCGCCCTCCTGTGGTGAACTGTGTGAATTACACTGCTCTAATTTGCTTCTACGGTTAAATCGCTATAACCTGGCTATAACCTGAGTAAATTCTTCTATTAATGTATAATTTTACATTGATTCACAATTATTTAACAACTCAATGAATGTCCTGTGCAGTCACAAAACATCTGGAAAACATGTATTTTCAAAGGAAGTATGTTAGATCTGTAAATTGAGGAAGTAAATGACAAAAGTCCTTTCACGGACTGTATCGCTGTGTATTGTTGTGTTCAATCACCTATTTTGTTAATAATAAATAAATAATATATTTTTTAAAGAAGGCAAGCAAGTTGAACTTAACCGTGTGTGAATGTGTGAATTACACTGCTGTTAATTATTTCTACAGTTAGTTATAACTCGAGTCAGAGGGAAATCTTGCATTAAATTAATTTAAATGTATTTAATATTTGATAAATTATTCACTACCTCGTGAATCAGCAAAACATCTGTCAAATTACACCCTTTATTTAACAGAAATATATTTTTACATCTGTAATACATTTTAATTTCGAGTTTAAACGCCCTCCTGTGGTGAACTGTGTGAATTACACTGCTGTTACTTTTGGAGGAAAACCTGACATTAAATTCTTTTGCATTAATTCACACTATTTAAAAAAAAAAACGATTGATTATTCTATGCAATTAAAACATTCATATTATTGTAAAAACATCTTTATAAAATATATATTTTTAAAACTTGCAAGTCAAAAGAACTTAACCGAGCGCCCTCCTGTGGTGAATTGTGTAAATTACACTGCTTCTACAATAATCTTGATTTTAAATATTATTCTTATTATTAGATAGTATTATTAGATAGATAGATAGATAGATAGACAGACAGACAGACAGACAGACAGATAGATAGATAGATAGATAGATAGATAGATAGATAGATAGATAGATAGATAGATAGATAGATAGATAGATAGATAGATAGATAGATAGATAGACCTATAAACTGAGGGGAAAATATGACAAATTTAATTGTATCATTCTCTTGTGTATTACCGCGTTTCATCTCCCGATTTGTTAAAGGGGTGGTTGATTATGATTTCACTTTTCTAACTTTAGTTAGTGTGTAATATTGCTGTTTGAGCATAAACAACATCTGCAAAGTTACAACGCTCAAAGTTCACAGCAAAGGAAGATATTTGCTTATAAATAAATAGCTTTTTAAGGCCTACAACAAATGGCTGGTAGAAACTACAAGACATTCCTCCCGAGTTTAGTGACATCACCAACCCTAGAATTTACATAAACCCCGCCCCCCGGGAAGCGATATTTTTTTTCACAGGATGGTAGGGGAAGACTCATGAATATTCATTAGGGAACTCATCCCTGATTAATGAATAAAAGATAGTTAACTCCACATCAGCTGCATACATTCTTCAACTAACCATTCAGAAATGTCCCTGTTGCTTCTGAAATTACATGTTGTCACTTCTTCTTGAGTCTCGCCATCCTTGTCTGACTCCAGTTTGAACATAAAAGGCTAAAAGTTTTTGAAATGTTCAGTGTGTGTCTGTGTGAGGTAAAGCATAGACTGTAAAAGGGTAAATTTTAAAAGGACACGGGCTCTTGAAGCCCCGCCCCCAGCTCATTTGCATTTAAAGGGACAGACACAAAAACGGTGCATTTTTGCTAACCTAATTTTAACATGCTATATAAAAATATCTGTGGGGTATTTTGAGCTAAAACTTCACATACACACGCTGGGGACATCAAATACTTATTTTACATCCTGTGAAAAGGGCATTATACCACCAAGAAAAAGGTGGGCGCCCTCCTGTGGTAAATTGTGTGCATTACAATCTCGATTTATCTTGCATTGACTTATTGTTGATGACCATGTACAGTAACAAGACACCTGGCATATTACTTATTTTGTTAAGTAGAAATATAGTCTATCAGTAATAGACGTTTAAAAATGCGAGCCTGAACGCCCTCCTGTGGAGATTTGTAGGCATAACACTAATGCAATGTATTTCTGCAACAATTTCGAGCCAAAGGAAAACCTTGCATTAAATAATTGTGCAATTATTCAATATATTTTAATAAACGGTTTATGATCACGTGTAGCAATAAAACATCTGCCATTTATTTTTAATTTTTTTGTAGAAATACATTCTTGTTGAACGTCCTCCTGTGGTGAACTTTACGTCTACGGGAGGAAATCTTGCATTAAATTATTTTATATCAATTCACATTTATATATTATTAATTATTTTGTGCAGAGGCAGAGTTTATTTTTATTTTTAGTGGAGTGCACGTAATTTTTTTTAAATTTCTTTCGGATAAATTCTTTAAACACGGCAATATTTCATAACAAAATATGAACTGTCCATTTTAGTTACCTTATTAAATAATAACCTTTTTTAAAGTTATAATGAGTCTATTTAAAAATATTTAGTACAACGACAAAAAATATGTGGAAAACACGGAAGTGACGAGAACGAAGCGGCGTAATCACGTGGACCTGCCAACGACCAACCGCATCACGTGACATGTATATATCATAAAACAGAAGCAGCACCAGTTTTAATCTAATATCTCTGTCCATTCACTTTACAATATGCCTAATCAACCTTTATGAACTTACGTGTTTCCCAGACTCGTGCCTCATTCCTCCTGCAACAAAGTAGTTTTGACATTGTACATTCTTTCTGCTCGAACACCTTAAATGATAATAATGCGCGTTTGAGTGCAACTATTGTGTCTAAAATGTTGTCATGTCTGCTCATTTTCTTCATCCAAATCACTTTGAAAAATTCTGAAAAATGGTCAGATTTGGATTTGTCTCATATATACATGAATGAGATATTTTACAACAAAACCATGATATGGACCAGTAGAGAAACATTTGACCACTCTCAGTAAATCAAACATTAGAGCATCAATATATCAATATTTCATGGTTTGTGTGCACTATATTTTTGGCACAGCTGTTTTTGCACCCGAATTCCCTCCTTATGCATAATAAAAGTTAGCACTCAGTTTAGCTCCTGGAGATCAAACACACCTGAAACAATGATTTTTGTGTGTGTGTGTGTGTGTGGGGGGGGGGGGGGGGGGGGGTCTGAAGAAAAAAAGGCATGTCAACAGTGTGTCAAAAATGTTCAGTCTTTTATTTAAAAACTATAAACAGTCACCAAAGTAAATGAAGCCAATCTATATCAGACTGTTAGATATATGTATCATCGCACACCCTACAGACACTGCAGAAATGGTGGTGGTGGTGGTGTGGGGGGGAGGGGGGGTCACGACCCCGCTGGGATGCTAAACACAACAGGCAGTAATAAATGTTACACAACACACAGCAGAGAGGACAGCCTGGGGTCCGGGAGCCGGAATGTGGCGTGGTCGTAAGAATGGATGAAAAAGAAAAAGAAAAATGCAAAATAGTACAATAAAATCCCACACTATATTAAGATAGAAAAAAGGTCTGGAGGAAAATATCATACCTGCACGGAAAGCAAAGAACACAGGAGAAAACCTGTATAAAACTCCATGTATTTAAACCAATTTACAAATACAAAAAGAATCACGTACGGGCGGGCGGCTCGTACTCTGACGGTTACAGTGAATACAGGTTGAGGGGAATACCTTCAATATTTGTTTTTTGTCTCTTCTACAAAATGACATATGATATATTATTTCATACTCTTTCAGCCAGCAAAATGAGTTCTACAAGTTATAATAGTACAAAAAAGGGGAGAAAACAAAAAAACAAAAATCACAGTTCCACAAAGAAAAACTTGTAGCCCTCAGCCAGCCCTCCCAAAACTTTACAGCATCAGTACCTTCGCAGAATATTTACAGGGTTTAAGTACATTCATCCACTGCTGAGTACAGAATCACATCTCAGACAAGTAACCAGGGGGTGGAAATAAAAAAAGTGAGTCTGAATCTACTAACGTGATGCTTCTGATACCAGTGGGCAGCAGCAGCAGCAGCAGCAGCGGCATGAAGGAGGGGGATTTAACTTTATATCTATTCACAAATATTTACACGTTTTTTTTTTTTTTTCTCATTTACTCATATTGGTATTTATTTCAATAATAAATAAGTGAAAATATAATCAGCTCAAGTAAGAAAACCAAGCTATCAAGTTACAAAGAAAAAGAATCTAGCCACACCTCCGCCGCCCCGCCCCGTTGTCCACTTGCCCCGCCCACAACCCCCCCTCGTCCAATCAGAGGCGCTCGTTCGGGGACTATAAAAATGTGCTCGTTGGGCCAGGCGTGAAGAGGCGGTTAGAAGAGTGAAATGGGCGCTGGTTTCTGAGTGGCTGGTGGAAGACCCGTGGCAGTTTGAGAGGGACTGGGAATGGAGAGAGAGAGAGAGAGAGAGAGGGAGGTGTTTTAGGGAGACGAGAGGTATCGCCCCGTAACCCGACAACGCTGAACGGGGAAACCGGATTCTTCTCATCTGCTTCCCAAGGGGTTTGGGTTGAGCTGAGCTCAGGCCTGCAGAGAGCGCGTGAGTTCGTAAAGGCATTTAGCGAGCGTGGTGGAGACCTCCATAGTGCTCAGCGCCAACACACACAGATGATTCTCATGCCGCCTCACCAGCCTGAACACAAACACACACACACACACATTACACTCATCAAGTCTGCTTCGTGATGCTGGAATACATGTACATGCTGGAACAGGTGCGTCTTCAACATCAAAAATCACATTTCACACCAAAATAGGAAAAAATATATATATATATTATTATTATTATTAATAACATTTCTTATGGTATTATTAATAATAATACAAATACAGTAAGACTAATTTTGCATTTTGACATTATGGGTAAAACTATACAAGTACTTGTTTGTTAATGCATTAATGAGTAATTTGGATTTTTTAACAAAATGTCTGCAAACAAAGTAGTAATTTTGTACTGTACATAAAATGATCAAATTCTCTATATAGTAAAAAGTGAATGATAATTCAATACTATAGTTAAAAAATTTATTTTGGCTATGCATTCAAGAGAATTCGGAGAACACTTTTCTAGGCTCAAATGCAAAACGCAATTTCTTTTCACTTTATTTTAGTGTGAATTATGACCCAAAATGTACTTGACACAATGTCTACATAAAAAGAAAATCGAAACTTTGATCTTACAGAGTATTACATGATTATGCTTTTATGCCACAGAATGCAAACGGTTCACTTACTTCCGCCCACAATCCGAGTACTTGGCGATGCTCTTTAATGTTAAGGCAGCAGTTAGTCTAATGTGTTTGGTCATTGGTCCCTCTTTATCGTCCTGAACAGAGGAAACACATCATCAGCTATAGTTCCTGTCTACACACGTGTGAAAGCAGCAGAGACGCCCCTGTTGTTGTACTCACTGTGAAGTCCCTGAACACAAGGTTCCTGGAGCCTCGACGTAAAGCCATCAGAGCTGCGCTGGGGTGGTTGACGAGAGCTTTCTGTGGTCTGGGAGGAGGAGGACTGCTGACCGCCGCTGGAGGAGACCTGCACACACACACAGTGAAAACGTCTGTCACAATCATCTACGACCATAAGCTAGCATGAAAGAGCTAAAGTAGTTGTACACACTTGGAAGTGTTGGGGTTGCTGCCTTGTGTTTGCTCCTCCAGTTTGAGTGCAGCTATGAGCGCTTCCCTCGAGCAGTGCTTATCCTGCAAAACACACTCTCGGATTAGTAACACACACACATATAGTAACTAACACACACAGAGTAACTAACACACACACATAGTAACTAACACACACACATAGTAACTAACACACACACAGTAACTAACACACACACACAGCAACACACACACACACACACACACAGTAACTAACACACACACACACACACAAACACACACATAGTAACTAACACACACACACACACTAACATAGTAACTAACACACACATAGCAACTAACACACACATAGCAACTAACACACACATAGCAACTAACACACACATAGCAACTAACACACACATAGCAACTAACACACACATAGCAACTAACACACACATAGCAACTAACACACACATAGCAACTAACACACACATAGCAACTAACACACACATAGCAACTAACACACACACACACACACACACAGTGTAACTAATACACACACGCACACAGACAGAGTAACTAATACACACACACACACAGAGTAACTAATACACACACAAACAAACAGAGTAACTAATACACACACACACACACACACACACACACACACAAACAAACAGAGTAACTAATACACACACACACACAAACAAACAAACAGAGTAACTAATACACACACACAAGTTTGTAATTATTGAGATTTTTTAAAGTCTTTTATGCTCACCAACACTGCATTTATTTGATCAAGACGACAGTAAAAACAGCGATATTGTAAAATAGTACAATTTCTAATTGAATATAGTTTTAAATGACATTTAAAATGACATCATCCTTCAGAAATATATTTCTAATTTGCTGCTCAAGAAACATTTCTGATTATTATCAATGTTGAAAACAGTTTTTCAGCTTCAGATGTTTCTGGAAACTCAGCATGAGTATTACTTTAATACTGACATTACAGTGTTATTATAACTCAAGATTCTTCAAAGTTCAAGAGAACGTTTATTTGAAATGGAAATCTTTTGTAACTTTATAAAAGTCTTTACTGTCACTTTTGATTGATTTAATACATTCTTGCTGAATAAAATATATATATTTTTAAATAAATCAGTTTCCACAAAAATATGAAGCAGCAAAACCATTTTTAACACTGATAATAATCATAACTGTGTCTTGAGCATCAGATCCTCATATTAGAGTGATTTCTGAAGGATCATGTGACACTGAAGACTGGAGTAATGATGCTGAAATTCAGCTTTGATCACAGGAATAAATTACACTTTACTGTATATTCACATAGAAAACAGCAGATTTACATTCTAATAATATTTCCCTGTTTTTACTCTCTTATGAAGCCTTGGTGAGTATAAGAGGCTTATTTCAAAAACAGAAACCCCTTTGACCGGTAGTGTGTGTACATCCAGCAGGGACGGGATGTCCCGATCAGGTTTTTTTGCCCTCGAGTCCGAGTCATTTGATTTTGAGTATCTACCGATACCGAGTCCCGATCCGATACTTATATAATACATAAAAAAAGAATAAAGAAGAGCGAAAAAACAGATCCAGGATATTCCTTATTTTTTATTTAATTCACCTTATTTTAACATTCAACAACTGTTAACAAACAGAGCACTTCTGTGAGGTAGCTTGAACAATCAAGTAATAAATAACATAAAATCTTCACTTTTGGACTTTAGTGCAACAGTAAATATAGAAAAATTCTAATATAAAAACAATAGCACCTCAACTTAAAATACCCGGCAGGCATGTAAACAAAAAATAAAAAGTCTTTTAAAAATAATAATGAGAATATATATATACATTAGGGGTGTAACAGTTCACAAAATTCGCGGTTCGGTTCGATACGATACAGCAAAAAGAAGGAAATGCCAGAGAAATTTCCTATTTATTAAAAGAAAAAATATTTTTAAATAAGTTTGAGTTTTCCTACATCTTGAAACTTTAAGGTTTATAAATGGGGGTAATCTTTGAAGGATGAACAAATACTGTTTTGGTAATCACATTAAAAATAACATTTAAATATATATTTATATAATATTTGAGTTTTGAAGTGCAACATTAAATCCATGTTCATTCACGGCACAATGTTTCTCCTGGTGTCCACGTCAGCGCTGTTTGATCTAATAGAGATCTACGGTTAATAACAGAGAAATGTGAACGCTTCTCACTAGATCTCGCAGCGATGTTATTACTTCAGTGGCGAATTCAAATGTGTTCTTCACTGGATCTCTTAGCACAGTGTCGCTTGATCTCGCGCTGCACAGATGTTGCTGGTCCGAACTGATAAATGCTCCGTGAAGCACAATATAATGAGTAGCGCAGTTTCGTTCCGCTTTCATTACGTTTGCCATTGATGTTGCGCAGCGTTGTGGTGGTCGCGCCAGCGCTGATTTTGTCTGCAGGAAAAATGGTCCTAGGAATCGTTCGGTTTGTATGCGTACCGACCCGGAAGCCTCGTACCGAAACGGTTCAATAATTACGAATACATGTACAGTTACACCCCTAATTTACATATATCCGAGTCCTGATCGGGAGGTAACGTCCGATTCCGATCGAGTCTGAAACCACGTGATCGGGCCCGATTTCCGATGCGTGATCTGATCGGGACATCCCTAGATATCACTACATCAATAAAAACAGAAAGACCGGATCTTGCCTGCAGGTGTGTGATGAAGGATAGTCTCTGTCGAGGAAAAGGTTCACAGCCCTCCCATTGGCACTGCCCTGGGTACACGTCTTTACTGCCATGTTGGGTAGCTGCATGGTAAAACACCTGTGATGGCGTGTCAAACCACCTGACACACATCATGTTAAAGAAAAAAAGAAAAGTGTTAGTCACATTAACCATCACTGACAAGAACAGCGTCTCTAAAACAAAGCACATCACACATTTTCCTACCGTTTGCATGCTTGCCACAGACATTTAAAGTTCTGTCCAGGTTTGCGTGCTTGCTCTGGAGAGAGGGCGGGTGCTGGAGAACTCTGATTGGCTCCCGGTGCTGGAGAACTCTGATTGGCTCCCTGTGAAGCCTGATCCACTGGAGGCGGAGTCTGAACTGACACAGGCTGCTGTACAGCGAGTAGAAGGCTTCAGGTTAAACTATAGCACATAGTTATAACAATAATAGACAAGCATGCTATAAACTTGCATGTTTTACTTTGCATTATCGCTCTTTTTTTCTTCTTATATTTAAGTGCAAGAAATAGGAAATATAGTGCTTCGCAGACCCGAATTATTCATATGTGCGTCGGATAAAAATCCAATATAAACTCGAGATGTATAAATCCACTCAAACTGCGCGCTTCTTTTTGTACGTAGATTTAAACTTTTTCTTTTTAATCAAATGTAACGGGTGTTTTGAAATTTGCAGATACTTTTGCATGATTTGCAAACCTGAGAAAGGTCGATGACCGAAGCATTGCTGATAAAAATTCATGATGATGCAATTTTAAGTATTGTGCAGGATTTATACATTAATAAGTGCAAGAAACAAAAAGGTCCAAAAAATAAAATAAAAAAAAATCACATCATTCTAAAAACAGAAAAATAGCTAAACTACATTTTGCATATAGAGAATAAAGCCCATTTATGAATGTTTGCATGATGGCCCATTGCCCCAGCAAGTTCTCATTTTTCTGCAATGTGAAAAAAAAAAAAAAAAAATCTCACTGCCATTACAGAAATTGTGAAATTCACCCAAATATCCCCACATGGAAAAATATATCAACAAGCAAGCATCTAAAATCAACAACTTGTTTCTGTTCCGGCAAGACACTACAGGTGAATATGGTAATCATCACACTTCCACCAGTTGATTAAGCACATTCAGACACATTAAGTTGTTTTGTATTACAAGTTGTCTGAAATATTATATCTTGAAATATGCACTGATTTGCATAAATTTACCCAGGTAAACGTTGTTTTCAGATTAAAACGCATTACCTGAGCATTGGTTTCAGGAAGCGGCGAGGGCACACTTGGTCTCTGCTGTGCTGCATTCTCTATTGCTACTTTTGCTACTGTGCTTGGGTCTGCGCCCGCCGGCACGGCCACCATGGTGGCGCTGTTGCCAGCATTGTTGGGGTCGCTGATGGTCACTATCCGTACACCCATTTTCGCGGGGATGCCGGAGTTACCTCGCTCCCCGTCCTCCAGCGGTCTCTTCAGCGGCCGGCTCTCCATGGTGCCGTTCGCGGGAGCCGGCTCGGAAACATGCGGAGGTGGGGAGTGGTTATGAGGTGGGTGCTGTTGCCTCACGCCCAATGTCTCTGAGTTCGGGCCGTTGGAGATCTCAGCGCCGTGGCTGGGCCCGTTGGCCAGGCGTTCTGCCTGCTCTGCTTTGGCAGTGTCCATGAGAGAGTCCGTGAGCCCGTGCGCTTTCTGAGGCGACAACACCTCACCGTTCCCCATGTGTTTGGAAGCCTTATGATTTGGAATGTTTTTGCTTGGATGGGAACCAGCGTCCGTTCGCTCTAAGTCACACACCCCGTTCACCATTAGCTTTTTAGGGTCGCAGGGCGTCTGCTTTCCAGGGCCTTCGCTGCCGCCCTGGGGGCCGTTCGGCGCCTGTGTAGCCTCTGCTTGGCTGTTCCCTGAGTGATATGGAGGTAGACTCGAGTCGAATTTCCTCCCGTTGAGCAGCTTCGGTCCGTCCACCTCTGCCGATTCCCCATTGCTGGCTTTGGCCGAACCATCGGGGACCGAATTGTTCTCCATGACCTCGATCTTGCGTTCATGCACGTGCAATCCCGTGGCATCCTTGGCCTCCTCCTCCTTTTGGCAGATGATTTTGTCACCTCGGAAAGGTGGAATGGGCGTGGCTCCCGCGATTGGCAGAGGCGGAGTCAAATGCAGGCCGATTGTGGGCGGAGTCTGCGCTACCTGGCCGGGGAAGCCAGAGTTTGGCACAACAGTGAAGGTAACTTGGTTGTTGGGCGCAGCCTGCAGGAGTGTACCAGGAGTAGAGGTGGAAATGATCTGGCCTGGTAGGATTGAGATGGGAACGGCACCGGGACTCTGCATGAGCTGCACGTTCAACTGCGGTTGAGGTGGCACCGAACCGCTGTTGGTCACCTGGTATACGACTTGCGGACTGGGCGCCCTGGTGCTCGCCGGAGTGGGAACTTGCGGAGCGGGGAGAATGAGTTTTCCGCCAGGGGTGGAAGGACCACGTTTCGGAAGCAGTAATTGTTTGATCAGACTGGATTCTGTGGAGGTAGGTTGGGTTGGGGGTGGAGGAGGGGGCGGAGCCTGCTGAAATTGCCGTTTGACGGACAGCATCTGACTGACTGTGTGTGGCTGGGCCGGGGCAGGGTTGGGGATCGGTGTGTTTGGAGAAGAGGGAGATGTCTGGATGGTCTGAGAGGTGGGGTTGGTTAGCACAATTTGATGAATGGCTGGGGCGAATGCGGTGTTGGGTTGTTGATTTGGACTGACAATGACTAGGCTTTGCTGTTGCGTTTGCTGTTGAGGTTGTGGCGACTGCGCTTGAGGTGCTGGTTTGGGGGCGATGTTTTGAAATGCGACACGAGTGCTCGTCACGCCTGCAACGGTCACTACCTGCCCTCCTGCCATTAGGGAAGTGCATGGCGCACTCACATATTGAGGCGGTGCAAGAACCACAGCCTCTTGGGAGCGTTGCTGTGCCAATGAAGGACAAACTCCTTGCACTCGACCTGTAAATACATGTCCCTGGGGCGCTGGGCCCTGCTGGATCAGTGTAAGAGGGGCGTGATGGAGCAAGGGCTGCTGGGTAGGTGTGCTGCTGTGGTTGGGAACTGCAGATGCTGTTGGGATGGAGCTCTGGATCATGGCTGTTTTGAGGATGTCATTGGGTCGTATGGGAACCGGGGTTGTGGCTGGAGGGCAAGGGGGATGTGTTGCCATTCCTGGCGGGTTCATCGGGAGTCGTGGAACAGTCAGGGATGGCGCAGGAGCACTGGCGTGTGACGATCCGTGAATGGTGAAGGCCACCTGTGGTGATGCCGGGCCGGCAGTAAGGCTTGGTGCTGGTGCCCGGACAAGCTGCACTCCCACACCAGGGGGCAGCGCTGCATGAATAAACAAGATGCAATTGGGTTATCACATTCAACACTACAAGGGCTTTTGTTTCATTCTTACAATTGGGTTAACTAGGGGCCTGTGATTTAAGCAATGGAGAAGTGGCAGAGCGAATTCCGGGTCCAGTCATAAATAGTGGAATTTAATGTATAACTTTCACACAATTGTCATCAGTGTTTTAATTTAAACCATAACCCTGTTGTGCAGTACTTGTTTAAATTTAATTTGATTCATTTTTAAAACAATTGTTAAAGTTATGCATTTATCATTTTTATAACCCATTTTTTCTATTAAATCAAACGCGAATTCCGAAAAAAGTGCAAAAATAAACCATTTCATAGGGAACTACCAGTGTTAAAATGTTAAATATATTAATGAATTGTTAAAATTTGATTAATTTAATTGATTTCACATCCTGTTTGATTTTTTTTAATACTAAAAAGGAACCCAGAAAAATGAAAATATAAATAAAAAATAAAAAAAAATTCACAAGGCCCTATGTTAACATTCTTTTATACATATTTACAAGGTTAATAAACATAAATTGTTGTCTGAAGGCTTCTGAGAAGTAATACTCTCTCTGTATCACTGGCATCACTATTCTGAATTTCAGTTTTTCCTTAAAACACTGAAATTAATGTGTGAAAGTTTTTCTGACTGTTCAAAGCCCATGAATATTTAATGAGTTTAGCACTGAGGCAGTTTATGATTGGCTGTCTGTTGCTAAGCAACTCACTATAACATTCTAAAACGTTCATGTTGTACAGTTTTGGCACCAAAATTCTGTGTTAACTCCACAAAAACAGTGCCAGGTTGTTGCCAGCCACTGCAAAACGACAAGTATGAAATGTAATTAATCCAGTTAACTGTATATCTACCTGACTGGGCCTGAGGGGTTTCTGAGGGGGCTTCGTGTTTAGGAACTGGTGCAGGACTGGCCTGCTGCTGATAATAAAGCTGGACGGGAAGAGGAATCGACCTCTTCCTCACACCAACCACGTGTATTTGAGCCTGCCCACTCAGCCGTGTGTCCTCAACACGCTTCACCGTGTGATTAGGAAACAGCGTCCTGAGAAACACACAAGCACAGCGTTGATTTTCTGTCCGAGTTCAATATATACCATTTAGGAGAGGATCGTCTGCCCACAGGTCCATTAAATCTCACCTCAGGCATTTGTAGAAGTTGTTGGATGTCAGCACACCACCCCGCGCCATCTTGCTGCAGGTCGCCAGATATTCAGAGTACATCTCAGAGCGAGAGACCGAACAGTCTGGATGAACCTCGAAATGAGCATTTAGCCTACCAAGAGCAGAAAGCATTCATAAATCACCCGAACATTTAACGGATTAGAGAAGTGCAAGAACGAGAGACATGCAGTCTTACCACTGATTTGTGAATTTCTCTCCATCTACTTCCACAATCCCAGGCGGAGGCGTAGACTGCACAGGTGCCCTGTTCACTGCAACGAAACAACCCCAAACACAATGTAAATACAGATTACATTAACTCATTTACACAGTTACTGCTCACTGTAGGAGTATTCCTCAATTTACTAACTCACCCGTTTTTGTGGGACATTTTTAAACTATCTTAAAGGAACACTCATTTTCCATTTTTTTTCTCTCTCTCGAGTTTAACATTTTCGAATCCATTCAGCCGATCTCCGGGTCTGGCGGTAGCACTTTTAGCATAGCTTAGCATAGATCATTGAATCTGATTAGATTGTTAGCATCTCTCTCCAAAAAAAAAAAAAAGACCTAAGTTATTATTCCTATTTAAAACTTGACTCTTCTGTAGTTACATCGTGCACTAAGACCGTACCAGCAGGCACAATATTACAAACTTAGTGCCGGTCACGTTGGAAGTTACCTAGCTGGGGGACTATTTTCAGGTGCTGCGTAATATCATTGCGCCTGCTGGTATGAGAGTATAGTTCCTACCCATATTGGCCTAGAAAATGGCACCTTTTCATTTTCTGTCGGTCTTAGTGCACGATGTAACTACAGAAGAGTCAAGCTTTAAATAGGGAGAGAGTTTTAAAAATGAGAGAGATGCTAACGGTCTAATCAGATTCAATGATCTATGCTAAGCTATGCTAAAAGTGCTACCGCCAGACCCGGAGGAGATCGGCTGAATGGATTCGAAAACGGTGAAACTCAACATTTCAACTCTAGAGGAGTTGGAAAATGAGCCTATTTCCAAAAAAAGTGGAGTGTTCCCTTAAGACTTAAAAAGAGCACTAGTTCACAATGTTGCGCTTCAAATCAACACTACATCATTATTACGCCAGGTTAAGACTACACGATTTAGGCACAATGTGTTTGATGTAGTGTCATGGTGATTCGTAAACAACAATGGGCATCGGGATGCAAGAATCGATCATTTTATCTCGTAAAGCATGTCAACCGACTCCGTCTCTGTATCACGACACCCCTAAAGAAAGACTAGCATGTTTAATATTTTTTCCGGTCCTCTGCGACTGGTCACATTAGTGACATTGACCAATAAGAGAACAGAAGCTCTTCCACACAGCTTTCAAACATGGCAAAATGAAAGAAAGTCCATGGTCGTGGTGCTTCTAGGTTGAATTATGGAATGGAGGAAAGGTTCATGAAGCTATGGCAACAATAATCCTGCCTTTATGAGGTTTCCTTGAGGGACAACCATGACAGAGTGAAAACTGGTGAATGAAAGTGCAGTGCTGGAATTAGCATTAAGCTAACACAATTCAACCTACCTCCACAATTCAGTAGCTATTGTTTTTTTACTCTATTGTTTACAGAAGTCACTAGTTCTGCCTTCTTAATGGCATCACGCACGTCATTAAAGACGGCAAGCGATGATTGGTTGGAAGCAACATGAAGTCAGACATGTTTAATGTCCATGACACGAATTTAGGAGGCAAAAATCACATAATCTGACACAGTGAAGTGGATTAGTGGACTAGTGACTATCTGTCTAGTTGATTTTAATATGCATATTTGATATTTGTATATTTTTTGATGCCATGCCAGCTTCTTTGAGTTATTAAAAAACAAACTTTGTTTGTTTTGTCACTGTTGTACGTTTCATTATGTAAATGACTTGTTCCCAATGGTTATAAAAAAAAAAAAGGGAAATTTTTTTTTAAATATCACAACATATGATACGTACCAGCGCCAGGAGTGCCTTGCGTAGGAGGGGGGACGTGCTCTACGAGCTGCGGTCGAACCTCTGAGACCTGACAGCTGGAGGCCTGATGCTCGATGAGTTTGACTGCCGTCAGGGCGTCGGGTCCGAACGTGTGCAGGTCCACCGACACCAACCGCACCAGAAGATCTGACACACATGAACACACACTAGTCAGTTCACTGCTCATCATGGTTAGTGATGCAACTAAATTTCTGCAACCGAAATTGTTTTGGAGGGCTGAAATCACAGACCGAAAAAGGGAAGTTTATTTAGCACTTCTGGCTAGGTTAATAATATCAATTTCTCATATTCAATCGATTCTCATTTTGATGATTGGATATTGAGATTTAAATCTCATTCTCAAGGTTGATTTTTCAGTCACTGAAAATTATTTGTAGCACCCGTCATCCAATAAATCCCAATAAGCTTTGTAACTTTCGGTCTGAAAAGGGCTCAGCTTTGTCAATTTTATGTAAAAAAAACAAACAATAAATGTTTTCATGCTCTTTAATGTTGCGTGACGGATCACTGTAAGCGCCTCAGTTCAAGCTGCAGATGAACCAATCGTTTCTTCCTCTTTATTTACTGTTAGTAACTCGAAATAACATGATGTACTCCCTCAATCAGCCTTTCAACCGCAGAAAGATGTAAAGCTTGTAAAAAATGTCATGTAGCATTGCATTTACCTCAGGAAAGCCATTCAATTACCATATTAAACTAAAATAAAACAACTATAGAGGATCATTTTGCTAAATAAATGCACTATTACATATTCATTTTAGTGACATCCTCACAATTTAATGTATTTTTTAATAAATCTGTCATGAAATCAAGTTATTACAGCCACCATTTAAGTTTATATATTTAAAAGACAGACGAACTGGAGCAGAAACATCATTATATCATTAAAAATGTGATATAAAACTGCCTAATGTGCAATTTAAATGAATGTTTATTATTAAATAATCTTGATTAATTTAATTTTTTTTCCATATTTCAATGCATCACTAGTGATGGTAGGCTGAATGCATTTCTCATATTTAGCAGGTAAACGTGTACCTATGCTTCTCTCCACGGAGGAGATTTTTGAGCATGTGATCTCCCCGAGCTCGGCCAGCTGGTACAAAACCTCGAGAGCCGAGATGACCAGCATGATGTCCGGCAGCGTCAGGAGGGCAATGACTTCTCGGTACGACTCCTGATCCACATACTCGCAGATCAGGACGCCGTTATCCTCCACTTTGCTCAGATTCCCCAAGATTTCCATGGCTGCAGGACGCAATGGAAATATTCAGCATCTTTCACAGAAAACCACAAGCTTTTCCGGGACGAAGGCTCACCCAAAAAAGATACTTACCCCTCATTTTGAGAAACCGATCCCGTGACAACAAACATTTCGTGATGGTGTGAAACATCAGATGTGTTGTTCGGAAATCAACTGGATCCAACTGAAGCTGAAAGAGGACAAACAGAGCGTTTAACAAAAGATCCGATACAAACGGCCTACAAAACCACAGAGTCACGGCCCATTTGTATAGGCCAAAACCTAGAAATGAGCATTTTAGTAATTCCGGTTCCATCATCCTGAAGTCAATGTTGTTGTTTTTTCCATTAATGCACCTGGGATGTGTTAACCTGTGTTCGGTTGGCTTACTGAAGTGCGCATATGTAAATACAGGTGAAACTTGAAAAATTAGAATATCTTGCAAAAGATAACTTAAAAGGTGAAAGTAATATATTACAAAGACTCATTACATGCAAATTTGAATTTGGGGTTTTCATAAGCTGAAGCGATAATCATCAAAATTATAACAAATAAAGGCTTGAAATATCTCACTTTGCATGTAATGAGTCTTTATAATATATTAGTTTCACCTTTTAAGTTGAATTACTGAAATAAATGAACTTTTGCACGATATTCTAATTTTTCGAGTTTCACCTGTATGTGACACGCTGCGGATTTAAGCTCATCCAGACAGAGTGGGCCTTTGCACGGTAGGGGAGGTGGAAATATATTACAAACTCTGACTCTTTCTTGACCCAAGAAAAATTAATAAAAATGTGTGCAGTCAAAATACTGCTACATTTTTGAACACCACATCTCACATAAAAAATGCAATACTACACCAGGTTGTCAATAATGACAAGGTTGACATCACTACCAGGGAATATTACATAAAAGTTGTGTCCCACATGATGCACTATACACTCAACCATCTGTATGCATTTTATACAGTTATTTGTTATCCAGCATCAGAGTCTGATTGTTGAGTGCATGAAGTGTCCAACATGCCACACTTTGTTTTTTCAATTTGTTAAGTGCATTATCTAGATATTTAAAGTAGGGGTGTAACGGTACACAAAAATCACGGTTCGGTACGTACCTCGGTTTTAAAGTCACGGTTCGGTACGTTTTCGATACAGCAAAAAGTAAGAAATGCCAGAGAAATTTCCTATTTGTTGAAAGAAAAAATATTTTTTAAATAAGTGTGAGTTTTCCTACATCTTGAAACTTTCAGGTTTATCATCTCAGGGTGTCATCTTTGAAGGATGAACAAATAATGTTTTGGCCATCACATTAAAAATAACATTTAAATATATGAAGAGTTCAGATGCAAAAGCCATTTGAAATTTTCTTCTAGAATGATCTTTTTTTATCAAGCTTGTATATTTAAGTTCAGTAATTTCACTTAAATGGCAATGAAGATTACCTATGAATTGTCATTTGAGTGAAATTACTGAACTTAAATATACAAGCTTCATAAAAATGATCATTCTAGAAGAAAATTTCAAATGGCACTTAGAGGCTTTTGCATCTGAACTCTTCATATATTTATTTATATAATATTTGAGTTTTGAAGTGCTGATAAAAGATGTGTGAAGTACTTGAAAGCATTTCACTATTCCAGCCAAACTGGTTACATTTAGTGTTACTATATTAAATCCATGGTGAATGTTGCTGGTCTGTGGACGTAAAGTATTACTAGTTCATTCACGGCACAATGTTTCTCCTGGTGTCCACGTCAGCGCTGTTTGATCTAATAGAGATCTACGGTTAATAACGGAGAAATGTGAACACCCCTAATTTAAAGTGCAGTCTTTTGGGTGTGAACACACTACTCGCATTATTTATACTAAAACGCCTTCACGCACAAGTACGCGAATTGGGACGCATCTAAACTCGTTAACGCCGTTTACTCGAGTTGCCGTGTTATTTGTTTGCGCGTAAACCAGGACAAAAGGTTAATTCAATAAGCTGATTTTTGAGAGTTATCATTTTATGAGTGCATATGTAAATGTGCTCATTATCTGGAATAATGCAAAAGTCAATGAAAAAAAATCCTATTAGGTTTTTGTTGATGGAACCAGCATGAAACTAACTTCCGGTTTTGGCCTACAAAAATGTGTCATCACAACAACACTAGGATAGATGGTGAACTCTGACCTCTCCGGCGACGTTGCCGAGCGTGTCGAGACCCAGCTGCCGTAGCTGGATGAAGGAGCAGTGCGCACACAGCAAGAGGAAGCGCAGACATGTGCGATTAGCTGCCAGGAGTTTGATGTTAGCCTCCTCGAAGGACAAGTTCCTCAGGATCATCGCCACCTGCAACACCCGCTGGCCCTCTACGTCTCCGATGCCTACGCTTCGGGCCGGGTGGAAGAGAGAAGTGCAGACGTCCCTCGTCTCCGATCCTCCTGAAAAAACAACTACGCACGCTGAGTGTGAAGTAATGCTTGGTTAAAACATCACGACTAATCAAAGTGAAACTACGCCATCACCACATCAAAGGAAACAAGAGTAGCCGACACGTGAACAAACACATACTTTGGGGCGCGCTGCTCTTGTCTGAGATGAGATCTTTGACTTCATTGTCTTCAATGACATCTTTCCAAAACTACAAAGACAGGACGACAAGAGAGTTAAGAGCACAAGAAAAGCAGCGCAATTTATACTGTAAAGGTGATGATACACAGGGCAACTTTTTGAGCAATGTTGCTGGGCAATCTTGCCGAGCAATTGTTGCTTGGGTACTTTCCCATTGAAAATGGCCAATAAATTTCTATCTGGATAATTTAGGTCAGTCGTGGGCCCTGTGTCTCATCTGGTTGCCCGTTGACGGCAACATTGCCCAGCAACATTGCTCAAAAAGTTGCCCTGTGTATCATCACCTTTACAGTATCAATCAATTAGCAAATCACCATCGCACGACTGTAGGAGAAAAGACCAAATGAGTCAGGTAAAAAAACCAAGGAAATCCCACACACTATAAATACTTGCAAACATTTACATTTAGTCATACAGCAGACGCTTTTATCTAAAGCAACTTACAACCGAGGACTAAAGCAAGCGAGTCATCGTGAAGAGGCAAAAACAACGCAAGAAGTGCTCAAAATACAAAGCTCAGGCATTGCTCAGAGTAGCATAAACCAGACAAGGGAGGATTTAAAGGAAAAAGCTTGTAAAAAATTTTTTATTATGAGGTTAAGTGCTCACGGAAGAGATCACAACGAGTATCACAACGTTGCTAATACAATTTTGATACTCGTTTGCAAGTATTTATTAGAGAAGTTCCGATACCCTTTTCCCCTTCCCGATACCTGGACTCAGGGTATCGGCCGATACCGAGTACTGATCCGATACCCGAGTGTGTATCTATACAGCTGCAATTCATACCAGCCCTGTATGAATTGATAGAATTATTTTATGGTGTGCTTCAGACTTATCCCTTAATAAAACATGAACAAATACATACAGTGAACTGTTTATGAGTATTTTTATTATCTGACATACATTTCACAGCAATATATTATTTATTTTTCTTAAGTGAAAAAGAACTTAAAATGCAGCCACACATATAATACTTTAAACTGAAAAAGATATTTTAGATTTACAATATGACTGTATAAAAAAGTGCAACAAATAAATCTAGGAATCTAAAAAATGATATATGAATAATATAAGAAAATAACCTCTTTATAACTTAAAGTCCAGAAACAATTTTGTTAAATACACGGCATTTCAGTTTTAACAGCGGCTGGTCATCCAGAACAATAAACTCGATAATTTTGTCAGTTATATTTATCGCTCGTTGGCTGTCTTTTAAAACCTTTCTCTTCGTTTGAATGAATCGTGTTCTGCGGGGTGACGCGTCTTAAATCACTTTATTAAGTGTTGAAGCTGCTAATCTTGTGCCACCCCTCGAAATTGCAGTATGGCATATAAAACATGTCGCCGTTTTACGGGCTGGTTGGTCCAGTCTTAAATACTGCTAAACAGCGGAGATACTGCTAGCAAGCGCTTTCTTCGCTGCTCTAAACAGTGGTTGCTTGTGGCAACATCACAACTTCCTGTGTTGCCACAAGCAACCGCTGTTTAGAGCAGCGAAGAAGAATTGATCTCCGATTTGCAGCGTTAGTTAAGAAAAGGGTATCGGATCGGTACATGGGTAGAAGTACTCGCAGATACCGATGCCAGAATTTTTATTGGTATCGGCGGCATTTCCGATACTCCGGAAACAACTCTAGTATTTATAGTGTGCGGGATTTCCTTGTTTTTTTAATACTGTTACAGTAAAAAACGCAAAAAAGCATGCATCCCAATATGCAATTCTTACCCTCACAAAGTCTCGTGACGTTTTCTCCCGCCAGTCTGTCCCAAATACAGCTGAAAAGCTGCCTAATGCTGAAAGACAAACACACACGTAATGTTAAAACACACACAGTCCCGAAGCGTAGACACTCTAGTAAGCGCAGAAGCAAACGTACAGTCGTCGAAGACTCCTGCGTGCGCCAGCAGCAGCGTGACGAGTTTGGGCTCTTTTTCGAGCTGCATGGCATGCTTGCTCTCGTTGGACAGCAGCGTACACACGTTAATGGCAAAGTCCACCTCGTTCGGGAGACCGGACAGGAGAGACAGCACCAGTTTGTTGTAATCGGATGGAGGGATGAAATCCGTCGACAGCCCGTAGCTTTGGCGGAGATAGTCTGGCAAGAAGAAAAGGCAAAAAAGAGGTGGTTCTCGTTCTCAGAGATTCAAGACTTAGTCAAGTCGTGTGAATCCATCAGGTTATTTAGACATAAATGTAAACTTCACTCCTCACTACATCAGAATATGGAAGTTAGGTGTTTGTTTGGACCCTAGAAATTTTTATTTTCCCCCAAAATCAGTTTTCTGTGTTCATTTTGCTGGATTCTGTTTAAACAGTTTAATGAAATCAAAAAGGATATCTAATCAATGGAATTCATAATACATTACTAATTCATTTTAACAATAAGTTGCCCTATGATATGTTTATTTTTTCAGTAATTCTATGTGGTCTTTTTACATTTTACAGATTTTGTTCAAACATTTATTTAAAAAAAAAATGATGGTAATCAAATGAATGCATAAAACTAACAATTTTATAAAAAATATTATCAAATGAAATCTGAAAAATTCCTTTCGGTTTTTTTTTGCCAAGCAAAGTGAACTACATTCTGTTGTACAATAGTAATATATTTCTGTCATAATTTCTTCAAGTAAAACCAAACGTTTATTCTGGCAGGTTGTAGTGAAGCTTTGAGTTTGTGTGTGTATGTGTCGTGATGATAGCTTCTCAAATGAAATTGTGAAATGCTGGAGAAGTGAGATGAAGTTCTTATGTAGTTTCCTCATACACGAACGTCACACGTGTAGTAGACCAAACTGCACCACTCTTCTCATTCGCACAAAGAAAGAACATGCAAACTTCATACCTACATAGTCTTTTTGCGCTTTAATATTCACAGAAACTAGTCCATAGTCTAAGTTTGAGTGGCTTAGCAAACGACATTTACAAAGGGTATCGAAGAATAGAAAATTTGAAAATGTACAACAAGAAAAACATTCAAACTAAACTACAACCTACACCAGTTGTATAAAGGGAAATATCAGATCTGTCTGTCTGAAATGAGTGTGGTGGCAGAAGTACTATTTCCCTTGTGGCATTCAGTTTTCACAGGTGCGGCTTCAGCTCACACTAACTGTGTGTGTGTGTGTGTGTGTGTTATATATAAATCTAAAGCCTCAGAGAAGCAGACAGGGCTCATCTGTACCTGATACAGTGTGTTGCTGGTAGTTGTATGACGTGGGTATTGCACCAATCGGAAGCAAATGTTTAGGATTCCCCGGCTGCTCCTCCTCATCTTCCTCTCCAAAGTGATGCACCTTTTCATACTTCTCTAAATATCTGCAGAGAGACCAGAAAAACACATCAACACACTGATTGACAGACAGATAGATATACGCTCATCATGATCCCGGGGGAAATTCGAGAGACATGAAGACTTTAACATCCAGACACATATTTGCTGACCAGTGAGAACCTGTTAAAAAGAGTGAGCGGTTATAATAGTATCGTATACATTTCATAAGATGTTTTAAATATGCAGATGTCGGTTTCTGTACTCAGACGTGTATTTGGAGGGATAGCTTTTACTTCAACTGCAAAATCCACACAACCAAAAAAATATTGCTCCAAACCTGCATATATAAAAATATGTGTTTGTTATTGATGCCAATAAAAGATATTTAGAGAGCAGTTGGGCTGATTGCCAATGTAATAACCACATATATAGCATAGAATTTAATGATAGTAAATAAGATGCATTTGCACAATATTTCTTTTGACAAGATTTGGCAAGTAACACTCAAGGCAGAACGGCCAAGCTTGCACAGTTGTTGGCAAAGACAATGACCGATTAAAAGGCCTGTCAAATGCAAAGAGAATATGCAAACGCAAATGTCTGCACCATTCCTATTCTAACATAAATCACACTTTAAAAAGACTCAAGAAGACAATCACACACTTTACCATATCAGACAGCTTGCATACTGTATGGCGTTCAGAAGCACGAGTGGTTTATTCCAGAGAACCAGGGATCAAATGGCATTGTGAGTCTAATAGTAATATTCACAGTCCAGCGCTGCGTGTTTGAGTGTGACTCATGAGTGGTTTCCTCAACTGAATGAGCTTTCACTTTTAGGCACACACACACACACACGCCTCCCACGTGCTACAATACAAACACTATAAATAGACATCTGCTCACCATAAACACTAGACAACAACAACACACACACACACACAGGACTGTGTATTAGGATTTTAATTAGTGATAGCTGATATTCAAGACAATCGGAAGATAAGAGTCAATTCACAAAAATTTGATTAAAGAAAGAAATTGAGTTGATATGCATAATATTATTAGGGGTGTAACAAAACACTCATGTCACGATTAGATACAAATCGCGATACTGAGTTTATTATTACTATTACTTTATTATTATTAAAATTATCTTATTCTCAGAACCCAAAAATATTCCCCCATTGCATTGTACATTATATTCAAATATGTATTGAATATGCAAACACACATATTTGCATATTATTGCATATCAGCGTATATCTAATGTTGTATCTAATGATGATGTTGTGATTGGTTTCTTATTGTTGCTTGTAATTTGTTTAATCCTGCTATCTGACCCTGTCTTGATTAGGTCTCACTTGTAAAAGAGGTTTTAACCTCAATGTGACTTTCCTAGTTAAATAAATGGTAAATGGACTGCATTTATATAGCGCTTTCACAGACCCAATGGCCACCAAAGCGCTTTACATTTGCCTCACATACACTCATTCATACACCGACGGCGGTTATAGACCGAAATAAAGGTTAAGATATATATAGTAGTTTAATGTAATATTTCACTGAAACAAACAAGCATTACTCGCACTTTTAATGCAGACATTCGTTGGATCTCTCACAGATTCTACCGCTATTATTAATGCACCATACACTAAATATATACCAAACCATCTGAAACACTTACAATATTTATACTACTAAAACTAGGTGATTTAAATGATGATTTTTGCGCTTTCACTTTGTGCCGTTCCAGCGTATAATACGCTTCAGATGATCAATGCAATCAATCCCAGTTCTAATCACAAGAAAGTGTGTCCAAATGACTATTCCTAAAATGTAAATAGTTAGTTCATCCAAAAATGCACCATGTCCCTCATGTCATTTAATACTTGTATGACTTATTTTTTTTCCTGTGGAACACAAAAGAAGATTGAGGAATGTTGGTAACCAAAGAGTTTCGGTTCCATACAATGTAAGTCACAGGGCTCCAGACTAACTTTTCCACTGGTTGCACTGGTGCTACCAACTTTCTCAGTTGGTCGCACCAGCATACGATTTGGTCGCACCTTTTTTCTTTCTTTTTTTTTTTTTGCTACATGCCATGGGATTAATCAATGCATGCTGATGAATAGTGGTTTTAATGGACCAAGGCTAGCAAAGGCTTTCTGGGTTGCAGCAGAAATACCTGTAATATATTAATTATCATTGCCAAATTTCAGGATTTTCATGGATTTTGGACAGTAATTTTAATCTGTAATTTTAAGCATTTTACATTTGAATTATATACAATCTATCTATTTACATTTGAATCATATTCTATCTATCTATCTGTCTATTATCATCTTTCTATCTTTTAAAAATCATTAAACATTCAAATGTATGCATTACATTTTAAAAGATTAGAGTATTATAATAAACTGATACAGATTTTTCGTTATCAAAGTTTATAGTTGTAACAAAAAGCAGAAATCTCACTCCTTACCTACTGCATTTTATAATAATTTCCTTTTCCTCTGTCGAGCGATCATGAGTAATTGCTCGACAGAGGAAAATATAACCGCTGAAAAGATGTAGGAGGAAGGGGCTCTGTGTTTCGTGAGACCATTTTTATATGCCTTAATTCGTGAATTCGTAATTGGTGCGTTTCACCATCAGTGTGCAATGCGCGTGACGTCTACGTTCGTCAATAAATAAACTGCACGTGTCTTGCGGAAGAACATTGTAGACGGAACTTCTCTCCGTTAATGTCTATGGCGAGTCACGCAGGCACTGGGCTACTCCGCAGCCGAGACGACCCCGGGATAAAATAGTCCGAATATAAACACTTATTATAGGCGTACCGTAGTGATTCAGAATAAGTCAAAAACACAGTGGATTCATGACCAGATTCATGATGTAGCCTACTCGTTCATTTTGAACATAAGTTACGGACTGCAGCAGCTGATACAACGGCGTTCTGTTGCTCAAGCGTCCACTCGCACAAATGCGACCACATAACATTTTAACTCGCACATTCTCAAAAAATGGTCGCATATGCCACCAATTTGGTCGCAGTCTGGAACCCTGAGTCAATAGGAACCAAAATTATTTGGTAACCACCAACATTTGTACAAAATAACTATTCCAAAGAAGAAAGTCACACAAGTTCGGAACAACATAAGTGTGCGTAAGTTTTATTTGTATATCGGTGTAATTTTTTTTCACCACCTGCAAATATATACAGCATTGGCCATTGAGAAATTAATGAATGAATAAAAAATAAAAAAACTGCAGACGCTGATGATTGTACGGTTGCTCAATGTGAGTTCAGACAAACCCACAGCTGGCTCATTACAGGCTGATGTTTCTCGAGACACTAAATGAGGACCTTCTGAAAGCATCAGACCTATTCTGTTACAATTCAAGTCAATTCTGCTCCTGGAGATCTACCTTCCTGCAAAGTTAAAGGGATACTTCACCTCGGGAAAGATGAATGTGTATTTAAAATGGGTCATTTATGTAGAAGAAATGTGAAATTATTTTTGAATTTGGAGCTTTCTAGACTGAGAAAAGCCAGAAAATGTATTTTTGGCTTATGTGGATGAAAGACAACAACTCCCAGAATGCACTTGCTTCGCTGCCCTAGGAGGCCACGCCTACCGGTAACAGAGCGCAGTAGTTAAACAACAAGTCTAGGCTAATAGTGAGTCTCCGTGATGAGTCTGCCCGAAAATGTGTTTCAAGATTGCCCAAAATGTCCGGGATCCGGCTTTTGCGTTCTACAGTCGCCATTCATCATGTTTACTGTGGCGAGCAGGACGAGGCCGATGGCGTGATTACCGATGAGCGACACCTGTGAGACGCACCGGTCTCGTATCTCTCACGGAGGAGCGGGAATTTTCTTAGCAATGTTAAAAAGCACATCAACCGATCACTTGTTTAGCGCTCATGTAAACACTGCATTCAGATTCACCAATCGGAATGAATTCAGTTAGATTGAAACAAAAGGTGTGCATGCAAACAATGAATGGCGACTGCAGAAAGCAAAAGCTGAATCCCGGACATGTCCGGGAAAAAGAGGATGGTAACCCCTACTACTCAGCTTTCTCCACAGAACAAGAGCCTGCTAGCTTAGCTTAGCTTCCAAAAAAATATGTCTGACACTATGTGTACATTCTGTGAGTGAGATCCCAGCCTCTATGGGCGGGTTGGGAACATGCGGGACAGCCCCTATACTGACTGTAGTCTTTAGCCTCTGGCCAAAAAATCCTCCGATGACGCAAAATGACGACTTTTGCGTCATCGGAGGATTTTTTTCAGACAAAAAAATACATAAATCTCTCGTCTCAGGGGGATATGAGGGTGGAAAGCACGGTAATTCGAAAATACTACAGGTTTTCTACTAATACAAAGCTTAATGCTAAATCCTGAAGTATCCCTTTAAGCTCCAATCCTAATCAAATACACCTGAACCAGCCAATTAAACTCTTTAGTAGCACTCGATAATTACTAACAGGTGTGTTGGTATGTGTCAACATTCATCGAGAAGCCCTGGTTTCAGAAATCTCTTTTTCATTTACAAACCTGAAAAGTAATAAAGCAGATTCAGTATCTGCTGTCCAAACCAGACAAGTAAATACAGAAATGAAGCTGGCAGATCAGGAACTATGACATTCAGTAAGCGCTCACGTGCACGGCCCCGGATCCAGACAGAGATTTACCGCCCCCTCCTGGAGACACAGGGGGGAAAGGTCAAGTTTCACCTGCAGGAGCTGCTGAATACATGCTCGGTGTCTGGCAGAAAATCAAACAGGTCACTGGAGACAACAACAGTTCAACTAATATATCCTGAAAAACAGAATTAACCTGAGTATATGCAGTGGCACCTAAACACTAAAACATTGCAGGTTATGGATAAACCAGAACAAGTTCGAAGTCTCCATATTAGATGAGCATGAGGGTTCACAGATTTACATGCAACTTCCATCTAACTATGTGAAACGACAACAAAATTGAGAGCAGACTGACCACCACAACACATCTGAGACCAACGACTGTTCGGCTTCACACGCACACGGAGAGAGGAATGAAACCGTTTATGCATATAGACACTCGGTCTGCTTTTAAGGGCTGTACAATATATCGAAATATCGCTATATGCATATCGCAACGGCTTCATCATGAACAAAAGACAGAGAAAAATCACATAACTTTTGTAGCTTTAATAAGAATCAGGATATATTTAATTCATACAGTGAAAACTAAGCAGTTTTATTTTTGCATTTGATTATTCAGTTTCTGTTGTTAAATAAACGTAATGTAGGATAACCTGAACCCCTAAACCCCGTAGCTAAAATAACACTTCTTATGCGACAGTAAAACACTGCCGTTCACTTTCAGAAGTTGTAGGGATGTTTTCTTGTCATAAAAAGAATGTGAAACACTTCATGTAGGTTGTATAATTTTACATATATTTTAAAGTTATTTAAGTTTAGTTTACACACTGCATTATTGTGTCGCATTTCGCATTATTTAATGAGTTATTATCGCATTTTTCTTCAATATCGTACAGCCATATTCTTTTGTATGCAATTTTAAGAGTAAGTGACGTTCAATCTGCAAATACACATTCACAAAGCATTTATAAATCACTTGACAAGGAGGAACAACTTTGTTAGGGAGTAAAACGTGTGCGACAAAAGCATAAAGTTTCTATGCTTATTTGAACACCGCAGTATAAAAAAAAAAACATGCTAAATGTTTCTGGGAATACTTAAATTATTACTCAAATGAATAACCAGCTCATTGACATGATGAACTGAATCAATTGATTCACTAAAATGAATCAGAGTAACAAATTACTAGATGGTCTGTAGAGCACAACGAATAACACACACACGCTCAAATACGCCGAGCATAAAAAATAAAGCTTCCCTGTGCTTTAAAATGGACTATTTGCCAATTACCAAGGCATTGACATGTGCTGGTTAGTTCTCTCCTCTCTTTAGTTGGCAGACAGAGCGCCTGAATGCAGATGCCACATTTAAATGACTCATTTCACATGCTCCGGTTCAGCAGAAAGAGCATCACACCACGAACCCAAAGACCCAAGTTCAAATCGCTCGCCAGCTCTTCTTCAGCTGTGACGGTGAAGACACACAAGCCAACTCCTCTTTTCAGCGTGTGCGATGAGACTTAGACTGTTTCCTAATGGAGACACCTGTCCTACTACAATCCATCAAAAGAAAGCACATGAAACTCCTTGAAAAAACATCCAGAAAGCATTTCTCAGCGTGTGTGAATTGGACTAAGTGATATCCGACAGAGTCCCTTCGAATGCAGAATGGCCTGGATGACTTCTCCTCATTGGATGTGTGTGTGGGACGCTCCCAAGGTTTTCCGCGGCTTTGGGATAAACGGTTCTGGGAAAAGGTCTTTGTAAATTACATCTGTAATTAAAACATTCAAACATCCTGATCCAATCAAAACACCTGCAGCTTAACACACAGGACTCAAATCACGCAACTAGTCGAGTGTTTATACTTGCATAAACAGGGATGCTTTATTTCCACTGCAAACACCATACAGATTTTCACTCACTTGAAGTTTTGAGATTCTCCATCATCACAGGTATTGGATTTCCTCTGAACAATCATAAGTGTCTGAACTCGTAAAAGCTTTGGATCCGCTTCCAACCGTGCGCTCTAAACTCCCTAAGAGACGGATACACCTCAACATGACACACACCTCTCCAGGATTTCAAAAACTACCGGAATTACATCAGAATTGAGCAGCACTAAGACCTTATGATTATAAAACTAAAGGCAAAATGCTACAAATATAACCAAGTTAAAGCTCTGAGACACTGAAACGCACTATTCGGTCCTCATGAGGAAGACACACAGGAGAATGTAGTTTGCATCCCTCGGCGTTCTGTGATCATCTCACACAATGACTGAAGGACACTTTGCAGAATGATAATTACATTTGGCATGGCAGGTGTACGTCTCGTCACAGCCTAAACGCTCCCTGCTGCCAAGTCCCTGTCTCACCCCCTCCATAACCTACTAAACTAGAGAGAAACGCACGTGGAAAACCAGCAGACGCTCCTCGCTTCTGATACTACATATCTATAAGAACAGAAAGATTCTGCATGTGCAACAGCTGGTGACATATTTGGTTGTTTACACATGAATCAAGAGTGTGCATGTGTTGTAAAACACCATTAACCACATTCATAAGCATGCAGATGATAACCTAGAAAGCACAAAACAAGAGCAAAATAAAGCGACAGTTAAGAGTCTGTACACACCAACACAGATCCATAACAATCATCACATCAGCACATGCATGTTGAGAAACTTCTTATCAGACCACAAAACCCTGCCTCGAAAAAAGCCTATGCAAGTGACAGATGCATCCTTAAAAGTGGCCCAAATACAAGTCCAAAAGAATCATCTACGACAGTAAAAACATGCTGGTTTAGGTTGCATTTGCCATGTAATGTTGCATTGGGAAAAATAAGTAGAACACAAGCCTGAATTAAAGTTTAAAAAACAAAACTCAAATACAGGAATCAGCAAATGCTTATCGTGAAACAACAAAAATACTAAACTTCAAACCACATAAAGCACTAAGCCCTCCCTCCAAAATTGACAGATACATCCTTAAAAGTGACTTAAATACAACGTCTACCACTGTAAATCTCCCTGGTTTAGATTTAAAATCCCACATATTAAAACACCAGAAATGTTGCATTGGGACATTTAAGAGAATCATGTGCAAAACACAAGAGGCAGAAAAATGGTTGAAACCTAAGTTTGTGTTTCTTCTTCTTCAAATACACAGGAATTAGCACATGCATGTTGTGAAGCTGGTATTAAAAATAAACTTCAAACCACATTAAAAAAAAAGTACTATATGCCAATGCAAGTGACAGAAGCATCCTTAAAAGTGACCCAAATACAAGTCCATATAGAACCAGAAAACTCACTGGTTTAGGTTGCATTTGTCACTTAATGATGCATTAGGACGTCTGTGTAGAACACAACAAGACGAAATAAATAAGAGTGTAAAACCTAATCTAAAGTCTCCCTAATGCAATCAGCAACACGAACACACGATCCCGCAAAACACAGGCGTTTGAGTCGGAACCGAGCCGCGTGTTTGAGAGCCCGAGAGCAGAGAAGCGTCTGTAAACATTGAGCACATGTGCCGGAGTTGATCAGAGAGAGAGAGAAACTGAATAAGAAAGACTCACCGAAGGTAGTACTGTTTCAAAACAAAAGCAGCATTCGAGCAACTCCTGGGGAAATTGAAATCCTCGCCCAGTTCGGTCCACTGGTTCTTGTCCGACACCTGTAGGGTGATGGGACAGATGAGAGAGAGGGGTTCGGTTCAGTTGCAGGACCGTGTGTGTAAAGAGAGAGAGAGAGATAGTGTGTGTGTTGTGTATGTGTGTGCATGCTAACTCCAATTAGCACTCCGGCTAACTTACACTTTCCAATGTGAAATGAATAAATCAGACCCGCTGTCGAAAAACAACATGCTCCGGGGCGAACCTGTCCGAACCCCCGCGAGTGGACCGGACCAGGTCGGTTTGCGAGTGTATTTACAACGCGGAATACACAGGCCTGTGTGCGGCCTACAGTCTCGCAGTCCTCCGCCACACGGGAGACATAAACCCGCTGATGCACACGGCGGGTCCGGACGGGGTTCGGTGCCTCGGCTTCGGTTATCTTAATCGATGTAAAAGCCGCCCGGTAATTTTGAAGTGAGAGTGTGTGAAAGTGTGTGTGCGCCAACACACACTCACACTCGCTCACATACACACACACACATACTCATACACAGGCCGATGCTCGGCAGAACCGCAGGCAGATCCGCCGAACCGGGCTAGGGAGTTGAGTTAGAAGAGTGTGTGTGTGAGATGAGAAATGTTGAGTTTGAGGTGTGTGTGTGTTTGTAAGGAACTTACCTTCGCGAAGCCCCCTAAAGACACCACTCTCACATAGAGAGCACCCAGGTCCAGCTCCTTCCCACCCACCACGGGAACCTTTTTAAACGGAGATCTGTGGAGAAAAACAACCGAATGAGCACCCGTGATCCGTCCGGACCCCCTCACGCGCCCGGCGCGGGTCACTCAAGTTAGAATAAGCGCGAAATTCCCGCTCACCCTCTGCTGTGGTGAAACTGCCGCAGCTCGTCCAGGAAAGCCTGTCCTTTCCTCCGCGGCTCGGGGAGGTTTTTCCCCGTCGAGTTCGCCATCGTTTCGCTGAAATTCGGTCAAACCCCCAGCTCAGATTCGGTTCCTAAGAGTCCGGGGATCCCATGCTCCGGTCCGGCGCGGCTGCGTGTTTTGAAAAGTTAAAGAAATGACGGAGGATGAGAGTGGAGAAACCCGCTCCAACGGCAGCCCGAACGGACTCGAGCGAGCGAGCTCAGCCCAACCGCAGCGCGGAGCCGCTCATGCCTGCACGGGAAAACAACGGTACCGGCTGCGCTTGTGTAGGGGTTTGGAGTGGGTTTTTTGACAGTGCGGGACGGACGCGGCTCCGGTTTAATCGCGCACACTGTGAAGCGGCAGCGGGATCCAGTTCAGACAAAAAGACCCGAGGCCGCGCGGCTCCGCGACGCCCCCAGCAGGCGAGCGTCGGTATTGCAACGCCACAGCGCCACTCATGAACAATAGACGGAGCTCGATGAAGGAAAGGGGGAGTCGCGAAACTCTTCCAAACCGTTAAAAACGGAAACCGGCCATGAGCGTCGGCGGGGGGAAGGGAGCTGTCAGTTTAGACTAGCGTCATAAAAATCATAAAACATAAGTCAGGCAAAGTGTTGGCTATAAGGTTATGAGGAAGGAGTTTAACTTAATGTATTTGTATTTAAAACTCAGTCATGATGTGTCTGAAACCTACTTAATAACTTCCATTTGCTTTTTGCATCCAGCTCTTTTTATGCAAATTTTGGGATATTGCATTAAAAAAATTGGATGGAAGCGCTAAGATGTGCATACATTACAAAAGTGCATAAAAAATGTGTTTAATAAAAAAATCTGATAAAAAGACATACTATGCACATAAACTACGATGCAAGAAAGACGCAATAATAATTCCAAACACAAGATAACATGATATTTATTGCGTTTTGTCGGTGTGCTCTGCAGGTGCTAGTAATTTATGATGGCACATTGCAGCAACTTCCTTTTTTATTAGATATTTTGCCCCAATTTTTCAGGAAGTGACGATTTTGTTCTCTTGAACACATGGGATGGAAATGGTGCTTTATTCGTGAATGTTTTATTGCGATATTCCAATTTTATATCCAATATATTTCATAATGAATATATCCAATATATTTCATAATATGTAATATAATGACTTCTGAACTTCTGAAATGCGTAAGTCAAAGTCTTTCAGTCTGTTACAAAACATCACATATCTATGACTATATCCAATATCATAATATAATGACTTATGAACTTCTGAAATACATAAGTAAAAGTCTTTCAGTCTGTTACTAAACATCACGTCTATGAATATATCCAATATATTTCATAATGTGTAATGACTTATGAACTTCTGAAATGCATAAAGTCTTTCAGTCTGTTACAAAACATCACATATCTATGAATATATCCAATATATTTTATAATATGTAATATAATGACTTCTGAACTTCTGAAATGCATAAGTAAAAGCCTTTCAGTCTGTTACAAACATCACATATCTATGAATATATCCAATATATTTCATATGTAATATAATGACTTCTGAACTTCTGAAATGCATAAGTAAAAGTTTTTCAGTCTGTTACAAACATCACATATCTACGAATATATCCAATATATTTCATAATATGTAATAAAATGACTTATGAACTTCTGAAATGCATAAGTAAAAGCCTTTCAGTCTGTTACAAACATCACATATCTATGAATATATCCAATATATTTCATATGTAATATAATGACTTCTGAACTTCTGAAATGCATAAGTAAAAGCCTTTCAGTCTGTTACAAACATCACATATCTACGAATATATCCAATATATTTCATAATATGTAATATAATGACTTATGAACTTCTGAAATGCATAAGTAAAAGCCTTTCAGTCTGTTACAAACATCACATATCTATGAATATATCCAATATATTTCATATGTAATATAATGACTTATGAACTTCTGAAATGGATAAGTAAAAGTCTTTCAGTCTGTTGCAACACATCATCACATATCTATGAATATATCCAATATATTTCATATGTAATATAATGACTTATGAACTTCTGAAATGGATAAGTAAAAGTCTTTCAGTCTGTTGCAACACATCATCACATATCTATGAATACCGTATATCCAATATATTTCATATGTAATATAATGACTTATGAACTTCTGAAATGGATAAGTAAAAGTCTTTCAGTCTGTTGCAACACATCAAATATCTGGCACTGCGCACTGCTAGCTTAAGTTACATCGTGGTGTCTGCAATTAAAGTAGTACAATCTGCGCTTTGTCGCAGTAAATGGACAGTTATTTACTCCCGATCCCTTATAATAACCGCCGGGCGGATATAAACGACACGGGGTGACTACATTCAACCATTACACGCACCCCTCTCGCAAGTTATTCTGCCACAAAATGGCGGAGCTCGACGCGAAAGACCCCATTTTGTCAAGCTGACGATAAGAACCGTTCGAAAAAGCGGAATTTTATTTTTCTACCGATATTTTGCGCGAGTTTGTGATGCGTTTCGCCGCGCGCGCGCTGATATGTTGTGCCGTCGCGCGCCAGAGTGGAGAATAATGTCCGCGCGCTCTGGGTTTGACGCGGCGCGAGATCTGCGCGAGCGAAGGCACATATAAACTAGATTAGATTTATATCATATTTTAAATAACACCTAATAAACTTGATAGGGAGTCATTGTATTTAGAGTATTTGCTGTTTAATGTTCTGATCGGTTAGAATTGTTAACGTGCATTAATTTGTTATATATCAATAATCTGTTTTCATGTTTTATCATCTGCAAAAATGGTGTACTCATATCTGTTAAGTAATCCAGCTGGATATGCACATCCGCGCGAAACATGCATTTATACGGGATTTTCAAGGCGATGGAAAACCTAAAAATATCGGTATTTTAAAATGGTGCTGTTCAAAATGTGATGGAAATGGATAAATATGATCATCTCATAGTCAGATCAGTATTTCATCTGCTAGAAATTGTTCTTTTGTGAGTGCAACTGCTTTAAAACGATTTGTAAAAATCCGGAAAGTCATGCAACCATTGCACATTGAAATGCATAGACGAACTACATGCAGCTTTACTTCAGCAAACTCAAAACCTGCTTCATCTGAGGAGTTATTAGACATAAGCCACTGTACCAGATTGTCCACCTAATCTGTTTAGTATTAGTCTATCATCTGAAGGATGCACGACTAAAACAGAGTTATTATATCTCAGTCTTTGCTAAACTGAGACAGTAACAGATATTAAGCAGCATAAGAAGGGTTTGAGGAGAAAAGACAGTAGATATGAAGAGTGAAAGTGGGAAAGTGCGCCTTCTTGTGGTTAAACATCGAAAAATTCTGTTAATAACGTTATTAAAATATATAAAAATGTTATTAATAACCTTTGAGGCTTTTGGCCTCAATTAAATCTTTTTGCATTTTGCACAGGAGTTTTCAAACAAAAACTTCGTGGAAAAGTTTAAGCACTAAAACATTTTAAAATAAGATTCAACATTTTTTTAATATATACAAATTATTTAAATAATTAATACATTAGATTAAAATTAGTTGATTTAAATAAAAATATTAAATAATACTAAATAAATTAACAAATAATATATATATTTGATTAAAATAAATAACTACATAAATAAAAACATTTTATATAGTTAAAAAAATATTTAAATAAATACATTTGATAAAACTAAACAAATAAATAAAAATAAGAAAAGCAGTGTAAAATGTAAAACAAATGAGATTAAACTAAAGTAAATCAATAAATAGATTAAAATAAATATAAGAAGGTTGATTTAAATAAATACATTTACAGCGAGTAGAAAAAAATCGCAATGATGTTATGTACGGTAATACAAACTAAATCTTTTGCACATTTCTAATATTATTTTTGTTTTTTAAATATAAAAAACAGGAAGTTGAAACCCTCAGCTTGTAGTTTTGTCTTTTAGCCACTAGGACGCAGCACTTTCACACACATTATATATAATAATCTCATTATATCAGGAAACGTTATAGATTTAAGAGGTTAAATAGATTATGCCAGAGAAGAGAATGGTGTAGTTACTGGTGTAGTAAAACACATTTCACTGCAATATCACTTTAAAGGGGATTTTAAAATTGTGATGTACAGGCCTGGAAATGTCATGGAAATTGATAAATATGTTCATCTCATAGTCAGATCCTCCTGACAACCATAAATCTTTTTTATTTTCAAAGTTAGTTTTAAATATAAATATTTACATAAATAAATGTGTGTGTGTCGTTACATTGTTTGGAGCATAAAAAACAATTGGAGATTTTTTATTCATATTTTATGCTATGTCCTCTATAGAAAACACAAGGACTGGGTTATTAAGAAAATTAAATGCCATGATAAAGCATGTAAACAATGTTTCTTTTTTTTCCCCGTTTACCAATCAATTTTTAGGTTTGAATAAAGATGATTCTCAACTATGTTATGAAAGATGTAACCGAATGATTTGATACACTATTTTACTTTATGCTATATGTGTGTAAAATGACCATAAATGTATTTTCCCATGATATACAATGTATTCAATTTGCATATTGTGTTCTTAGGGCAACATGTAATGAAAAAAGAAGTGTAATAATGGTAGTAATAACTTTGCAACATGTTCATAGGAATATTGATATATAATTTCTTTCTATATTCAATTTATATATATCATTTCTTTCCTTATTCACTTGTGTCTAAGCATTGTGTCTCAACAGTGGATATGTATTGATGTTTATTTACAACAAGAAATTTGAAAATTAGTCAGATTTAAATGATAATTACAAAATATTATCATAAAACTAAGATGTATAGAAATTCACTAAAATATAAATGTCCTCTACAGAGGAAAAACAATAAAAAGTCTATGCCTGGGTCTCAGGATAATATAGATCAATTATGAAAACTTGCTTCGCATTGATTTTTTCACTGTAATATTATCCTGAAATTTACACAATGCCAGTATTAAGATTAAAATGGTACTTTCCTGTTATTCTGAATGAATTATTCGATGTTCAAGTAGGGCCACGAATGCAGGAGTTAAACACTTATAGACCTTTATTTGAGCACAAACAAACTACATTCAAAACAAACATTTTCTTAAAGTGCTGGAAGAATTTCTCATACACAATCTGACACAAAAATACAAATAAAAGAACCATCTGATAACAAACCACACGTACATATATATTCCAACAAACAAACTTAAGGCACAAAACCCCTAATACTCTAAAAATGAGTTTAAAATGTGCTCTAAAAATGAAGCAATTTGAGATTCAAACATGAATTTCGCTTCGGTTGCCGTAGAGAGGTGTTCCTGCATATTATGGGCTGTCATATCGACATATGTCTCTTATGGAAGGCGATTTCAATGTAAATATGACCTGGAAACAACACACGTGTATTTCAGTATTGCCCACAGCGCATCATACATGAAGACACACATCAGTCTAAACACACACACACACACACACTTACTGCAACATTCTGCTGGTTATGAGCGCAGACGGAAGAGATGAACATACAGTGAAAAAATGATCAGTGGATCACCATATGATATTAAACACAAATATGAGTTTGTAACCATGCATAATTTGAAACAGACTTAAACGAAATCTATAATCTCTTAGCTAAAATAATGACAATTACAGTAGCAAAAGAAGAAGAAAAAAGTTGATGCAAGATGTAGGCTATCCGAGGCGGTGTTTAGTATGGCACAAATGAGGCGAATGTTTTGACAGATGCAAAGAAAACAAAAAGGTTATGACATATTAAATTTTGATGTGAATGAAAACGAGGTGCATAAAAGTCTAATTTTCATGTTTTCCATCACTAGAAACTAGTGCTGTCAAACTGATTAATCGCATCTAACATAAAAGTTTGCTTATATAAATGTGTGTGCGGCTGTGCGCATGTAAATATACACACATATATATATATATACACATTAATACATATGTGTGTGTTTATGTAAGATGCAATTAATCAATTTGACAACCCTAATAAAAACCCATTTTCAATCTTTTAAAAACATACAACCAGTTAAATTTACAACACACACACACTTTCATTCAAATCAAATTAAATATGATATTCGGCTCCATACGATCCATATGTGAAGCGTGACTCTCAGCCCAGATAATAAAAATAATAAAAAGACTACATATCCCAGAATTCTCAGTTCTTCACCCTTCTCTTATTGTTCATCTCAAAGTAGGGCTCCTCGCGTCTGCCGGCTTTAGTCCGTGTCGTGTGTTTGTGGGAAGTGCTCGCGGGCGCCGGTTTGAGCGGGATGCTAACAGCAGGCGGGTTACTGCTAGCTAAAGGTTTCCTGTGGGCGGGTTTAACATTGGCCGACGGGGCAGGTCCGGCTGAGCTCTGCTCTACAGATTTACTCTTAGAGGGTTTTGTGAGAGGAATCGTCTGTTTAGGGTCGTTTGAACGTCCCTTTCTGGGATCTAACGCAGGGGAAGGAGGGCGTCTCTGTGCGAGGCGCGAGCGCACGGGTCCGGTGGGAGGTTTCTGAGGCGGCGGCGCTGAAGGTTTGGGTAGTTTGCAGGTCGGTTCGGGGCAGACGGGACTGCGAGGTTGAGATGGAGATCCACGCGGACGCAGTTTGGACTTTGAGCCGGGGAGTTTCTGAGAAGTTGGGATTGGGTTTCTTTTCGGGATGGGTGATGAAAGAGGGGAAGACGCAGGCGTGTGGAAGATCTTCTTGGGTGCGGGAGTCTTTCGAGGCATGGAGGGCGTGGATGCTGGCGATTGGGCGTTGACACGCGGTGTGGGCGTGTTGCGTTTGGACACTGACGTCGTGGAGGCTGATGATGACGATGCTGATGATGAAGAGGACTCTGGTAGGAGGTTAACGGCTGCGATGGGATCCATCGTGGGTGGCTGTGCGCTGAGGGCGGGACCTGAGCCTGACGGGCCTTTCTGATAGGCCAGAATCTTCTGCTCTAGAGTCGTGAACTGCAGCACGCGGTCCGGGTCGTATTTCAGCAGAAACCCTTTCAGAGTGTCCCAACCTCCACCGACACGCACCATCACGTGCTTCCCATGGAGCATCTAAGAGAGAGAGAGGGAGATTTTAAGGTGCTGTATGTAACGTTTTCAAGTCAAGTCATCTTCATTTATATAGCGCTTTTAACAATGTAGATTGATTCAAAGCAGCTTTACAGAGATAAACATATAATTTAAGGTAACCGAGATTGGGATGGTTTTATAGCGGTTCTTGAATAATGTTATTTTCCAGCTAAAGTTAGTTTTGATTGATTCACTTCCGTCGAAATGATCATTTGTTATTAAATTAGGAGCCGCTAACAAAGTCCTTTTAGGCAAGTCATGCCACTCGGCCGCCATCTTGGCAACGCCTCCGGGCAGCTATTTCAGACTAACAAGACCAGGCTCCTATCTAAATGAATGGGCAGAGAGTCAGAACTGCAGTTTCACTGGTCACCGGGACATAAAAACTGCATGTATAGAAACAGCAGTAAAATATGACAAAAATCGCTGAAAAGGTTTGATGACTTTGCCTCAAAATAAGGTTTAAAAGGTCTTTTTCCCCACAGGTTATACTTTTACTACGCATGCGCAAGGGTTCTCTCCCTCGGTCGTGTGCGCGCTACACAGTTTGAAGCACAGTATGTGTGAGCTCTTGCTCGCGAGCTCTAGTTTCCGGGAGATTTGAACTAATTTGGGGGCATCAGGGAGCCGCTACCAATCTGCGGGAGACTTGGGATGTCTGATATTACACAACTCACACATACACAGCATATCAAATCTGCCGCCTTTTCAAACAGTAACGTATTTTGCGCTGTCGCAAACCTCAACTGTGCGCATGCGTCAGTGGAACCAGACGATAGGCTTAAATGTTTCCCGGCTTGACTGTTAAAAGCAGACGATTGGCTTTCCAGTGGGAGGGGCGGGGCATGTGCATACAACCGCCATCTTTGGCGTTACGGGTTTTCCCTATATAGTTGTATTAAGGATTGAGGAAGTGGCATGTCTCTATATAAATAGTCTCTGCCGCTAACCGTTAATAAACTGCTGCACAGAACCAAGTCCCGCCCTACATTTATTCTTTTTCAATAATCAGTCACACTCGAATGTATTTCACAATACGTCTGTTTCGTCACGACTGTAAAGATTTGTAACTCTTCTAACAGTCCCTAAAAGCTGCTCTTACCCTGATGAACAGGATCTTGCCCCCGAGCCTGTAGCGTCCCTCAGACAGATACTCAATGGAAAACTTCTGCGAGCAGTTACAGGGAGGGTCGTCCTCGTCCCCACGATCCTACAAGCAAAAAGAGGTTGTTTAGGGGAAGAAAAAAAATCACTCATCACTGCAAGATGGCGTCCCACTGGTTATTTGGCCCAGACACAGTGAATTTGTTAAAGTTTAAAGCAAAAAATGTCCCTGTGTGAAGCATGAAGTCTCTAAACAACAGCTGCTGTTTACACACTCAACAAACTATAATACACTCAACAGAAGATGTGTGATAACTGGAGACGCCGAGCCTCATCTCACAAATCTGATCAAAATCACAACATATTTACAATATTTCAGATTATGCCAGTGATATTATAGTTTTTGGTAATACTTTCAATCAGATTTTGTTGACTTTTTTTGTTTTCATTTTAATTAGTGCTGACAAATCGATTAATCACATTAACAAAAGTTTGTTAATATAATAAATTTTTGTGTGTGTATATATATATATATATATATATATATATATATATACACACACATATAAACAAACATTTATGTTAGATGCGATTATTCGATTTGACAGCACTAATTTTAATTGGAGTTAAAGTTTTAGTAATTTTGCCGTTTTTGTCTTTTTATAAAAAAAAAAAAGTTTTTATTTAAGTTATTTGGTTTTAGTTATTTTACAGCATCTACTTAAACTAAATGAAAATGAGAAATGTTGCCTTGGCAAACTAGCTGAAATAAAATAAGTTTAAAAAGTTTTAAATTTGTTTTTATCTCGGTTAGTTCATTTTATTTTAATTACGGTAATGAATTTTAATGATTCATTAATAGTTAATGATAATAACCCTGGATTGAGCCTACAATTAAACTGTGAAATGGGAAATGATTTTCTACAGAAAACATAATAGCATTAACGTTATATTATATAGCATGTGGAACAGAATGCAATAAGAAATATTTTAGCAAATTGTAAAATCTCGGTTATTTTGGATTCTTAATACGATTTTAGGAAAAATAGCTTGAGTAAAGAAGCAGTGGTTTATAATCACTTCCAGTTCATTCGTTGGCCTCACTGTTGAGTGCATTGCATTGTGGGAAACAGTATCACAGTGTGCGCTGCGGTATACTGCACATTTTCCAGGTATTATCCGGATAATGCATGCATAGAGAAATTTGCCATTTTATGCACAGAATACAAACTATAAAAGACGATTGAAGACGACGCTTCAACTCAAACTCAGTAAATGTTGGTGGTTTAATGTGTGTGATACTCACGGCGTGATACAGCGCTCCGTGCTGACAGCACACGGTGAACGTTTTCACCGGAGAAGAGTGATCCGTTATAATCAGACTTTCCTCCAGTTCAATTTCCTTCTCCAGTTTAACCAGAACCGGAGGCTCCACCCCGTACCTGAACCAGTCACAACACACCCCGTCAACAGACTGTCCTAACAGCAAACACTGCATTTCTAAACGTTTTTACCAGCTGATCACAAAATAATTGTTAATTATGCCATCATATACTTGTGTATAATTACCATTAAATGGTGATTTTCTCACATAATAAAAACATGTCAAACCCAAATTTAGAATTTCAAGGTAAGTAATAAGTAATCTCAACAGTCAGATGATAATTATCCCAAAATAAACCCTTTCACATTAGACATTATCCTTGATTGTTGTGTTATTCTTGAAACGCTTTGTAAATTCAAAACACAATAGCTGCTCTAAGCACTGAACCAACCCACTTTAATCCTGTAAAATCCACGTAAATTTGCCCCTGACCTCTGACCCCAAAGCACAACCAGACATCTGTCACAAGTGGGATCATCATCATCAGAGCCGCTCGACTTACCTGGAGACGATCCGTCCGATCTCCAGCAGGCACAGACACACCTGCCGAGGGTCTTTATGCAGAACTGTGTGTGTGTGTGTGTGTGAGAGAGAGATAGCAGTCAGTTTACTTCAGACACTGCAGGTCAATAGGGTCACATTTAAGTTGATTCATCACAGTACGTTAAGAAAATTGATTTGTATTACAAGTTTTCTGAAATGTTATTTTTAAATAGGCAAACAAGGCTCTTTATTCATTTAAAAATTCACAATTTTTCAGTCTCATTTTTGTTTTGTGATATTCATACAAAAATAATCATGTATCATAGCAATCAGATTTTGCTATGATTCTTCCCAAATTCCATTTCTTTATTTTATTTGATGTTTTCTGGTTTAAATTTTCTGGATTCCATTTTAATACTTTAAATTATAATACTCATAAAGCATGTCTAATCAATTGAATTCATAAACGAAATAAAGAATAATTCATTAAAATTGAATAGTGTCCTATTAAACGCCTTTTATTTTTTTCAGAAATTCCACACTGACTGTTTTAATGTGTCTATTATGTTTTAAAAACAAATTTATTACCAAAAAAAAAAACGGTGGTAATCAAATGCATAAAACAAAAAAAATATTTTGACCATGTTTTTAGTAATACAATTTTATTTAAACGAGTAGAATGATTTATAAACAAAGATATAAATGGGAATAAAGTTTGGTGAATGTAAAGGTGCTGAAGTGAAGATTTCTAACTCAAAACACAGCATTTAAAGAGATGTATTAAAACTTAAAATCTAGACAAATAGATAAAGTGCAATAAAATAAACACTTAAATGTCTATTTTGCATGTTTTCTTTGCAACTAATCTGAAAGAAGACAAATTATGGAAGCAAAATAACAATGGTTTTGCCTGTACGGTCTTGCCTTAAAGTTTAAAATCGTTTAAAAATGTAAAAATAAGTACTATATAATCATACTTTCAGGGCTTGAAACTCCAACAAGACCATTTTTCGAAACAAAAAACTTGATTTCAGCCACACTGAATTCGCTCAGTTCCCGTCCCATAATGCACAGTGACACATGGACTAGAAACTCGCACTCCTCAGGACACAAAGTCTCAGGGCCGTCAGGTTAACGACTTACACCCCAGATCCCTCACACTCATTAAGATCGGGGATTTACGGAGAGCCGAGGACGTTCGGGGCCGCAGCTTAACTGACGTACAGATCCTCTGAAACGATTACGGCTCATTAAACAGCTCAGAGAAAGACACACTGGCACAGGACGGACAGAAGGACGCTGGTCTCTGTTTAAAGACATTAATTTAGCCAACATGATTAAAGTCCTGTTCTAATGGACTACAGCGAGAGACTGACGGACGCTGGCAAACACTCAACACAGTGGTTCAGTCTCATTTGTGTTACAACACTCATATAAAAATAATCATTAACGATAGCAATCAGATTTATTTCTGCTAACACTTTACTTAAAGCCTTTATGTATAATGCATTATAAAAGGTATGTTATAATCATAACCAAAGTTAAAAAATGCATTGTAATATTTGCAGATTCCTTGTTACATCTGAAATATAGGTTGTTCGTCATGCATTTTAATGAATTATACTTTCTAAAAGTGTAATAATGAATAAATACATTAAGTATTAGAATGTATTATAACTGTGGTGACAATTAGTCATGAGATCCTATAATGCATTACAAAGCATAATTACTGCATTAAAAATATTTTACAATGCATATATATAAAAATGTAAAGTGCTACCATTTTCCCGCAAAAAATTCTATTTTGTTTGTATTTATTTTTAAATTCTGTGTTTTCTGGTTTAATTTTTCTGTAACATACAATTTAAGCGCCACAAGTAAATTGTGATGATAAAGTAATAAAAAAAACCTGTTGAAATTAAAATGTGGATGAAAAATTATGATACTCATTCAAAAATTATGAGTAATAAATTGCTATTATTAACTATTATTATTAAAGTTAAGAAGTACATTCTACAGTACAATATCAATATTTTTTTTTGCTGTCATAAGTTCTTCAAGTCAAACTGACCTTTTATTTTAATTTTTATTTTAAGTGCACAGGCCTACTTTCGATTTTTTCCATTTAAATTTTGCCAAATTCGGTGACATTCTGTATCATACTGTAAATTAGTAAAACATAGGACCTTAAGCAGAGTATCGCTTCACCTCATAAGGTTTCGTTGCAACAATGTAAACAACATTATATTTAACACAATATGTTTAATGCACCGCTATCTGGAGAAGATTTTGGATCAATGTGGCTGGAGATATCCAGCATGACAGAAATATAAACCAGGCGATGCACAAACTATTTAATTCTTCTCTTGGCTGAATAGGACAATAACCTGTTGTGAAAACGTACATTTTTCAACTTTTTTGGCACCTGGTCAAAAGTTCTCAAACAGGTTTTCTTACCCAAACCCTCAGACTCAAACAGGTACGTCTCATCCACTCCTATATGACGACACCAGGACAGAAAATTCGCGGTGTTGTCCCGGGCGAAAAACGATCCAGGGGAGGCGCTTTTCTTGAAGTGGATTTTCTTTGAGGGAAGCTGTTGTTAAAACAGAGACGGGAGTTACAACCAAACAGGCCTGCGGTTATGAGAGCTGCACTGCCAGACAGTTTTACATGTTCCTCACACACCTGTGTGTCTGAATCCTGTGGGATTTTACTCTGAAGAACTCCAACCAGACGACACAGTTTGACGCCGTTGTCCAGCTCCTCCATGAAGAGTTCGGCTTTCACCTGCTCATCTGTAAAAACAGAGATCTCTGTGTTTCCATGTTGATGACTTGAGAATTACTCACCCATGTGATGTCCTTCAAAACCTGTACGACTTTCGTTCATCTTCGAAACACAGATTGTGTCTCTTCAGAAAATTTGGACTAAACCGCTCAATTCATATGGATTAGTTTGTATGATCTCTTTTTGAAGCGTCAAAGTGGTAGTTGCGTAGACTGTCAATGGAGGGACAGAAGTCTCAGAAATCAGAAAGTCTTACAGCTTTGGAATGACATCTGATTGAGTTGCGTAAATTAGTTTTTGGGTGAGCTATTAGCCTGGTTAAAACCAGACCATTCTCAGTTGTAACTGAGTTATGGTCTGGCAAAGCGTCATAGACAAATCATTTCCAGAGGGGCGTCACCAACGGACGTCGCGGATAGACCTAAACCCAATCAGAGCGATGAAGGAGATGACGTATGCAGAGCCGAGTGTTGTTCTTTGCTCGGTGTTTAACAAAAAGGAAACATTCAAATGGCTTAAAACAGACGCGATAGCTGATTGGAATGAGTGATGTTCGACGGCGGCATCCATCTTTGTAATGTAGGCTACAAAATCATGTTCAAAATCCCAGCGCTGTCGTCATCGTGTAAAGCCCGCCCCAACGTTTCTGATTGGTGCGGCGATTTCGACGGATTGGAAATGGGCTTGAATGAGCTCTTTGCCAGACTAACTTTCAGAGCAAATCTAAATTTGCCGGAAGTTGTCTGGGTTTTCCCAGGCTAGTGAACTATCCCTTTAAGGCCTCAATATACTCCAAGCTAGGGCTGTCACTTTACATTCGAAAATCAATTGCACAATCGATCGACCAACCAACACAAGTTTCAAAAACGAAAATCGGGAATCGATTTTAATGGCCTTTTTTCTTTTTTACCAAATATGTGTTTTAGGTGGACAGATCAATACAGTACACAGAACATGTTGAAAAATAATAATGTATTTTCTGTTAACCAAATGCTTTTTAATATTCGCTATTACTTCAATGCAAGTGAACGAGCGCGCCGTTATTTGTTGCGCAGTGACGTGTGTGTTCAAGCAAGCCAGAAATGCGCAGATTCTGCACAATACTCTGTATTTGATATATCATGAGGATCACGAGTTGCGTATTTGCGCTAAATCCGCGCAGATTTGGCTTATACGAACTTCCCCAGCAAAGTGAGTAAACATAGAAACACGCCAAATTGGCTCGTGATTTGACAGCGTTTCCCGCCAAAGTTAATTTTTACCCGCATTTGGCGAGTTGGAGGGAGTTAATCTCAATCCCTGAATGTTGCGCTCCTGTTTGTCATTGTGCACGAAACTTCACGCCAATAAATCATCAGGAATATTGCTGACTTGTGCGCGTCTCAAGCGCCCTCTTTACGCTCGTCCTAATGCCTGTTAGGTGTCCGTGGATTTGCCTGTATTTGGTGTAGAAAATGGGAACGTCTTTAGTAGGGGTGTAACGATATTTGAGCCGAACCGAAAAACCGCGATACACCCCCCACGATACGTATCGCGATACTCTCATGGCGAACCGAACATGCCCCGCCCCCTGCTGCCCCGCCCCCTGCTGCCCCGCCCCCTGCTGCCCCGCCCAGCCCTGGCTCATTGCACCTCATGTGTTGTGTACACAACGAATACAGGGCTGATGCCTAACCACCCTTAACCACATATAATCCCAATAAGCTCAGTGTTTTGTTACTTTCGATAATAAGCAAGGTGTAATCTTTCAAATTATGTCTATTTGATTACGAAATGCAAACAATAAATGCCGTTTTGGCGCTCTTAGATGTGGCGTGACAGATATCACTGTATGCATGCGGCAGCGCGAAGTGCGATAATCTCTTCCTCAGTTACAGAATAAACATGAATGGACACCCGAAGGTATGTTGAAAGATACAGTATACTTACTGAAAGGCATCATAACTCGTGTAAACACTCAATCAGTGTTTCAACAGCGGAAATACGTCAATAAAACGCTTAGTTTTTCACATAGCTTTATATTTACCTCAGGCAAGTCATTCAGTGTCCACAGCTTGCTGGTTTGCTAACTCTTTCACTAAATAAATGCTATATATTATCCTTTATATTATATTTTACTTAACCTGTTTATGATATCTTGATTATTTAATGTATGTTTAAAATAGTTGTCATGAAAATAACAGCAACTGTGTAAATTATTATATAACAATAACAAATTAGAGTAAAAATGCCTTATGTGCAGTTTACATGTTTTCATACAATTTGTTATTTTGAGTGTTGATTATTATTATATAATTTAGGCTAAAAGTCTAGGCTTGTTAAGCTTTAATGTTATAGTAATGTGCAAGTAAGGGCTGTAGTTTACAGCATTAGCAGATAATTTTGTTATCCTTGAGAAACGTTTACTTGTAATTGAATTAATTTAAAGACAAGGACACAATTTGTTCATTAAAGCACTGTTTAATAAAAAATAAAAGCAATTTTAGCTTTCTAAACCCCCCCCCACCCCACCGAAATGAACCGAACTGAACCGAACCGAGACCTCAAAACCGTGGGACGAACCGAACCGTCAGGTTTGTGTATCGTTACACCCCTAGTCTTTAGACATGGAAAATCGATTTTACAATCGATTCAACGAACACTTATGTCTCAAAAATCAAACAGGATTTACTCACAAAAGTGACAGCTCTACTTCAATCAAAAATCAAATAACGAACTGTTGTGACATCATTTCGAACAAAATCAGGCCAAAACGTTTAGTTTGGAGTTTATTTAGGGGGAGTTCGAAACAGCTTTCCAAAGCGAACTTTCTGGAAAAGTTTACACTAGCTGGTAAACGCCTTCGCACTACCATTGGTCCATGTGGCGATGACATCATAGGTAGGTGTGGCCCTGAGGCTCCGCCTACTTCAGTTCAGTCCGTCGACGTTCGCGAGTATAAACATGAACACACTCGAGAGCAGCTTTATAGTAGAAGCTGAAGTTGTAATTCTAATCAAAAGAGACACTGACACTGTTTTTCATGTTCAATAACGTAAAGCTGCTGCTTTAAAGCTATACGTTGTATAAATGTTGCTATATAAATAAACGTAACGTGACTTGACATCCACATCACTATGATCAGATGCTTTCTTAACTGCTGAAAAGGCATTTCGAACTTCTTTTTAGCCCCAAGTGAAGAACGAAAAAGAAACAGGCATTAGGATATATTGGTCAATAAGCAAAAATACCCTTTAATTTAATTTGCATCATTATGCCATCATGTGCTGGTCAGAAATCAATATATAACAAATTAAATTCACACTTATGACAGGGCATTCACATTATAGTATTTTGTTCAAATTCCTCACTGAAAGAGGACTATGGGATTACAAGGACTTAATCTAACAAAAAAAGCAACAGGTTTACGGGTGAACAAGCTTTTCTGGGTGACACTTTTTCTTCTGGCCCACGTAAAGCATGTAGACAGACAGGTAAGGGCAACACCCTCTATTATCCTACAAAGACTGAGAGATTGAGTTCTTGTTTCGGAGGTCGTATGTCACCGTTACACAGAGCATACGTCGTTTCCCACACTTCTTTGCTTGATTTATAGGGCTTTAGGTTTCAGTTATTTGACAAAAGGAAAAGACGTTTAAGCTAATAAAGGCAGTAGTTCTTAGCTTTGATGCACTGAGAGCGAGTCACGGACGTCTTATTTTGCGTGAACATATTTACCCAGCATGCCGCTGAGCCAGATGGCGAGATCCTCCTGCATGGGCACCAGTGTGGCTTGGTGACGGACAGACAACCACTGGTCAAACCTGAAGACATCAACCAAACTGGGGCCGGGACGGGTCGAACGCAGGCTCTGTAACGGGACATCGAACTTCTCCCCGAACCATGCCGGAGACAGAAAGAGGAAAGGCAGACAGATCAGTATGCACACACAGAGAAACACACTCAACTGAGACCAAACACACACACACACACACAAAACTGTCACAATGACCCCCTCACACGGATTCCACGCTCCCTCTCCGGAAAGAGGGCGACCCTGCTGAAATCAGGACAGTTTTGCAAACACTCATTCATCAAAGTGAAGCTAACAAGCATGACTAATCAAATAACACACTCACACAAAGAGGAGAGAGATTCAACACAATAACATTTAGACAAAACTAGTGATTCACAGAATTTTTTGAAACAACAACTAAAAACAAAAACCCTGAATCTTCGATTTTGGCGGAAACAGTTTTAAAGGGCTGACCGAAACTGTAACGTTTCATTTGCCTTTCCGATGGAGCGTTTTGGCTATCATTAGTGATGTTTCCATCTAGCTATTCCTATGCAAATTTTGGGATATTACATAAAAACAAACTGCCGGATGGAATGCCAAGATGTTCATAAGTTAAAAAAAATGCAAACAATTTTTTTTTCTTCTTCGTTTTATCCGATAAGACGCACATAAACTATAATGGAAACACATTTACCAAATAAATCCCTTGATGCGCATAAAAAAACCCTAAAAATTAAAATTTTAAATAACTGGAAACTACTAGGCCTATTGGATAACTGGACTAACCAGCAGATCAATTCCATTGCACAGCATCTTAAATGTTGTTTTAGCTATTCTGAAATGCCTGAGCCAAAGTTTGGGTAATGACCTCGCTCCCAATGAGTCTTGCAGGACTGCGTTCCCAAACACAAGGCATCCGAACGCAGGATTTCATGACAGAGTTTATTGCGTTTCGTCTGCGCACAAGTCATTTATACGACGTATGATAAACAAGGGATGGAAACGGTGCTTTGTTCGCAAATGTTTTATGCGATATTCCAATTTTGTTCCGCATAAGTTAAATTTGCAACTTTGGATGGAAACAGCTTGTGTCTATTTCATGCAGTCAACTTGGATAAACTACAACATGTAAACATGCCATCATATTGGTTTCCGATTTTTAATCAATCTTCATTTTGATGAACTGAGATATTTTAGTGCTTTTCTCTCTCTGTTGCATAAACAAAACTTCACTAAACATTATTTGTGGTGCGCCTGCCATCCAATGTTACTTTTGATATTATTAAACAAAGTCTGAGCTTTCAAATTCTGTCAATTTTATGATGAAATTCAAACAAATGTGGTTTTGACGCTCTTTAAAGTGGCAGATCGCAGCAGCCACGTCACGAACCGATCATCTCATCTCTTTACTACTAGTTACAGCACAAAATAAACATGTATGAACATCAGAGTGTGTGTTGAAAGATACAGTACAATTTAGTGAAATGCATTATGTCTCGTAATCATTCAAACCAGGAAAAGATGTCAGAAAAACTGCTTGTGAACAATGTCACGTTACATTTACCTCAGGAAAACCATTCAAATATCCATTAAAAGGTTGAGCCTTCTGTGCAATTTAAATATTTATATACAACTTTTTATTTGAGTGTTGATTATATAAAAAAAACGGATTAATTAATTGATTATTAAAGTATTTTCAGCTAAAAACTTGTGTTTTGGTATAAAAAACAGATGCATCACTAGAAAAAAACAATGTGTTTTGTGACCTTGTGGTAAAATCTCTCACAGACTTTATTTGCGCTTCAAGTTAAATACTTGGGATTAAGCATTTAAAGAAACCCTGATCCTTGAGTATGAGCAATATTAATAGTAAGTGATGCTTTAGCAAATAACCACTAATAAATCTCATTTCTGTCCCACATTCATGCGGCCCCTTAGAGACTGAGGCGGAACATCTGTTTAACACACACACACACACAAACGCGCGCACACATCTTTGTGGGGACTCTTCATAGGCATAATGATTTTTATACTGTACAAACTGTATTCTATCCCCTTACACTAACCCTACCCCTAAACCTGCCCATCACAGAAACCTTTCTGCATTTTTACATTTGCAAAAAACATCACTTAATATGATTTATACGCTGTTTTCCTCATGGGGACCAAAAAAATGTCCCCACAAGGACAAGGATTTCAGATTTTTCTATCTTTGTTGGGACATTTTGTCCCCATAATGTAGGGTTTGTCAGACCACACACACACACACGCACGCACGCACGCGCGCACACACACACAGTATCATTCACCAATAATCTGGACGAGCAGATCTTTAAAAGAGCCTGAATCACACCTCTGTGCTGGGAGTGACTGCAAAACGAAAGCACATTTTAAAAATCACACACACAAGCATGCCAGTCCAAGAGAAGTCCCATAACCTCACTGCTACTTTAATGAGCATGAATCCTGCCGTTCCCACACATGCATCAAACTCCCAGGAGGAACAGAGCGAGCGAGAGCTTCGGGCTCCTACTAACACACATATGGAGCGTTTCTTCTGCTCGTGCACAAAGCCGGACTAATTAAACAGGGAAGTGTTTGCATGTGGGGTTGTTCTGTTCATATTACATAAAACATACAAGATTATAATTCCATAGCAGATTACGGTCAGCTCAACTCTGCTAAAGTTTTATTGAATTTTAATCTTAGCTTTGGTTGCTAACTCAATGCAAACACCCTGTGTGTCTGGTGGTGTGTTCAATCTCACATGCACAGTTTCAAATGCATCCGGCATTACATAATGTGGTCAGTTCACACATGAAATCAGATGTAATATCAGATGCACACATGCTGAATTACCCATCAGTTCTGATTCAGGCGGGATGGTGTAAAACAAACAATACAAATCAGTTTGGGGAGGAAAAATCTCAAACTATCTGAAAAAATTAATAAATGTAAACATTTAAACTATGAGCCAGAGCATAAAAACTGTGTGTGGAGATGCAGGATCTTGTCCCGCCTTTTCATAAAGCATGCAAAAGCACATAAATATAACATAAAAAGGCATAAAATTGTACCTGCAAACCAGCCTGAACCGCCATCATTAGTTACAAGCAAGATTCACGTCCACATTCTGAAAGAGAGACAGATAGAAACAGACACACAAGTAATTTCCTGTAAACACACACACACACACTTCAGTTTACTTGTCTTAAACTCTGTTGGACAATCATCAAAAGCAGCTTATTGGTCAAATATGTTTTAATACCCCCTCCCTAATAAAAAACAAAATCAAATAAAGAATGAGGATAAACCTAATCACTGTGACCAAATACCAGAGAGGAAAAACTAAGAGAGAAAGACGGAGAGACAGGCAGCAAGATTAAGACAGTTCAGTCAACATAAGCACAGCTAAGGAAACAAAGCAAATGCCTCCTTTCACTAAACACACACACACACACACACACACGCTGTCAGTGACAAGCTCATGTGAATCCTAAAACCTCCATCCTCTCCATCAGACCACAGAGACGCTCGCTCACCTGAGAAACAATCCAGTGCAGAAAGTCCACCTGACCTGACACACCTGGTCCTGATCCCAACACACACTCCTGCAACAACTCACTGACAGAGGATATGAGCACGGGCGAGTGAGAGAGAGAGAGAGAGAGAGAGAGAGAGAGAGAGAGAGAGAGAGAATGAGAGAGAGAGAGAGAGAGAGAGAGAGAGAGAGAGAGAGAGAGAGAGAGAGAGAGAGAGAGAGAGAGAGAGTATGAGAGAGAGAGAGAGAGGGATTGACTAATGAAGTCGCTCAGCAAACCCCCCATCCAATCCCAGCCAAGCATTTACAATGGCCCTATTGTTACAACCCCCTCGATCAAACACACACACACACACACACACACACACACACACAGTCCAAGGTTCGATCGCTCGGGAAGTGCACAGTCCTTCACAACAAACTCCTCCATGACAGCACACAAAAGAATCTGAAAATGTTTTGAAGGGCACCAAGAGAACAAACAATCGCTTTCTCTCTTCGGCCAGACATAAAATCCCACAGAGAGCGAGAGTTAATTACCGTAGGAACAGCACGAGCGCTTGAATCGAGTCGGTCTTCTGTGCACTTCAAGCCCACAAAATGTCACGCAGCGGAGGAGAGGAGAAACAGCACACACACACACACACAACACAGAATTGATGGCTGAGGCTTATGAAGTGGGTGGCAATGTGGCTCCGGGTCTCAAGGGCCACATTCCTCTGTCAGAGCACAACGGCCAGTGGAAAGAGTCCGTCACTAACGGTCACGCGTATGTGTGTATTTACAACAGAACGTGTTGTGAAAATCCACTGCGTCTCTTTAAAGGAAAAGGGCTGTTCAAAAAATCTGTCATCATTTACTCACTCTCATGTTGTTGTTCCAAAACATGCAATTATCTTTTTCAGACAAGCAGATTTAAGCAGATTCATAAAAGTAGATGGTGACTAAAAAGCTGCCCGACTTCAAAGTCTCATAACAAATGATGAAGATTCCGAAAATGTTTAAGGCAGAACATTTAGAACACTTCAACTGAAAAGAGAGTGTGAACATTCTATTCTTTCTGTTTTATGTTCCATGGAAGATCAAAGAAAACTTTTGAAATGATGCATGATGAGAGGATTCTAATTTTTTTACTGTTTTTTTTTTTAAGACGACTAATTGAAGTTTCAGCCCAAATCTCAAAACAAATATAAAATTTAACAATTCTCAAAAGCAGACACTGACAAACGGATGTCAAACTTCTAACAGAACAAAAAAAAGGTATGAATTGTGAGTAGGGGTGTAACAATATATCGTGCCACAATATATCGCAATACAAAAATGCAACAATACTTATCGTGGATAGTGACAATATGTATCGTGGATAAAAATTAGTGTGTGAGAAAAAATTCAAGTTTTCAGAGTTTTAGTGTCAGTACTATAAACTTCTATATTTTGATTATAATGTATAATAATGCAACGGGGGAATATTTGTGTACGTCCTCATAAAGCCAAATATCTTGTTACCAATAAAAAGTGTCCTACATTTATTTTAAATACATCTAGTCAGTGACAGAGTGATAGCATATTCGTCTAAAATAATTCTGTATTTTCAGCTTCAGAATCATGAATATTGTTATTCATAAGTCCAAGCATTTTATTAATTTAAACCCACAATGTAATATCAAAGTTAGCATTTTAATCAACAGTTTTTGTTAACCTTTTATTATGTCTTGGAGTATCGCAATAATATCGTATCGTGAGTTCAGTATCGTGATATGTATTAAATAGTGACATGAGGGTATTGTTACACCCCTAATTGTGAGTGTTAAAATTTACTTTTTTTTTATTATGTATACATGAGTTTGGATTGGTTTTGAAATGCACTTTTACATAGCTTGACAGTCCCTGGACACTTTGTTGGAATTTGAAAACACTGATGAAAAGTGCATTCAAATTCTATTAATAATTTCCTTTTTTGTTCCATTTGAAACAATATTACATAAAAGTTACCTAACTTCTAACTTTCAGTCCAAATCACAACCAGATAAAAACATGAGTAACCTCTCAGCAGATCTCGTATAAACGGCGACACACCCACAAAATAAAGACAGTGACTTTTCCTGCAGAAATGAGGCTGGGCGGAACACGTCGTAATCCCACTATAATGAACGTCTGTGTGAGTTTCAGTCGATTTGTCGCTTTAATTAAATGCGAAGAAGACACAAAGGGAGCGAGGGCTGGGGTGTCCACATGGTTCCTCAGGTCATCACATAATCACGTAAGAGGATCACGCTTCAGACGCCGCTCCTCCTCCCTCGACACGTGGCACATGCATGTTTGTTTGTATACGTGCACCAGTGGCTCGCACATGGGTCCCAAAAAAAGCCGGCCATCAATCAAAGACCCTCCCCTTCCTGCTCTTTTGTGGTTTTGGTTGTGATCTTAATTGGCCTGTCAGTTGCTTTCATTAGTAGGCAGACCTCTCAACACACACACACACAGAATTAATGGCCCCGGAGAGGATGGGCGTCCGATAAAACATGGGTCAGAAGCCCATCCCCCGTAAACCAGATTAAAACCCCTCTTATACACCCGTCACAGGCTCCGGATCAGTCTAAAACTGCACACACTTCTGCTGAATAATAAAATAAGGGTCAGGATTTGGGTAATAAAGCCACAATTAAACAGTGAGACACAGTGCAGTAAGACAAATTCAGTATATTCGGCAAGAGACACCGGCTGCGTCTTGAAATCTAATGCTATGGAAGCATGTTTCCGCCACAGAATAAAAAATTAAAAAGGTACTTGCGACTTTTTATCTCACAATTCTGACTTTTTTCTCACAATTGTGAGTTTACATCTCGCAATTCTAACTTTTTATCTCAGAATTGCGTGATATAAAGTCAGAATCGTGAGAAATAAACTCACAATTCTGACTTTTTTCCCTCAGAATTACGTTTAAATCTCGGAATTCTGACTTTATAACACGCAATTGCGAGTTTATATCTCACAATACTGATAAATAAAGTCAGAATTGCAAGATGTAAACTCTTTGTGAGATTTGTGAGATAAAAAGTCGCAATTATGTTTTAAATTAAAATGCCGGAAACAAGCTTCCATTGTTCCAAGACACATGTGATGCCCAAAAAATGTTCGAACATACTTATATTACTCCAAATTCTGTCTAGTTAGGCAGGTTTTGAGATCATGCAACCATTTGGTTGCCAAGACAGGGGTCAAATACTTGACACAACAGGCTTTAGAGAATCATAAGTGTAATCCCTGTTGAAAAGAAGAGAAGAAAACTACTTTCTCATGCTTCTACAATTACAAAACAAAGCAGCATTTGACCAAAACAAAGCTGACTGTCCAACCATAACAATGACCTCACCGCAATGATTCAGAAATAAAAATTCTGAGTCTAAAACATAAAACTCTTCAGGGCTGCATTTCCCCAAAGCATCGAGGAGTTCGTAGAAACCATTGGAGCCAATGGTTTGTATCTAGATGCTTTTGGGAAACACAGCCCGCCCCAGACTAGTAGTAGTATAGACTATATTTATAAATGTCTAATGCTGATGTTGTTATTTTGAGAGCAGGGTAGCTGATGACCAATATTAAAATGGCCAAATATGAGTTTATTACTAGTACAGGCAGCTCTCTAAAGAAGTCGATTAACAAGGAAACAGGCACTTGAAAACAATGGTGATGCTCTATGACACATAATGCAAACAGAAGCCGATGTCATGGTGATGCAATGACACGTTATAAGACACTAACAATTAACCAGAGGGTCTGCTGCACCCCCGTCCCACTAATCATCTGCTGCCGGGTCATTAATAAACGAGCAGTAATCCAAGATTCATAACAATGACCAGCATGTGCACCAGAGATCATGGGAAATTAATCCCAGCATTCATTTATTTCAGGATTCCCCCCCTTTCGCCCTCCTCTCGAGCTCAGGAACCCCCTGATGCCACGTATCAGGCAGATGGCTGGTAAAATTGCAGGAAATGGGGTGTTTTTGGGCCGGCTTACATGTGCACACACACACACACACACACACACACAACAACCAGAAATAAAGTCGGCATGAAATTAAAATTCACATTATTTTCTAAATGCATTTCTTATTGCGAACAATGCAAGGTCTACGGCCGTTACCGGAAGCCAGTGATTATGGTTTATAAAGTTTTAAATATGAATATCTTTCTTACAAAAACACATCGCTTCGATACAGACAGCCTTTATTAACCCCTGGAGCCATATGGGTTACTTTTATGATGGATGGATGCACTTTTTTGGGCTTTAAATTAAAATATCATTCTCTATCATTATAAAGCTTGGAAGAGCCAGATTTTTATACAGGTGAAACTCGAAAAATTAGAATATCGTGCAAAAGTTAATTTATTTCTGTAATTCAAGTTAAAAGGTGAAACTTATATATTATATAGACTCAATACATGCAAAGGGAGATATTTCAAGCCTTTATTTGTTATAATTTTGATGATTATGCCTTACAGCTTATGAAAACCCCAAATTCAAAATTAAAATATTGTGAAAGCTTTTCATAAGCTGTAAGCCATAATCATCAAAATGATAACAAATGAAGGCTTGAAATATCTCACTTTGCATGTAATGAGTCTTTATAATATATTAGTGTCACCTTTTAAGTTGAATTACTGTAAAAATAAATGAACTTTTGCACGATATTCTAATTTTTTTAGTTTCACCTGTATATATAACTCCGATTGTGTTCGGCTGAGAGAAGAAAGTCACCTCGGATGGTTTGAGGGTGAGTAAATTGTGGGATAATTTTCATTTTTGGGTGAACTAACCCTTTAATATTATAGTGATGTACCAACTGGGGTTATCCAGCCCATGTATTATCCATTGATATGGTTTTAAACGTCCAAATATCAGTTGCATAATACTGTCACTGTAAACTGCTTAAGATAAAATGTCTACTCCATAAATAATGTTATTCACCAAAGAATAATTCAGCTTCCTGAAATGCTTTTCTGGCACATTCAATCTGTTAACAGCACTTCAGCATGGCCGAGAAAGTCTTTGGTGATAAACAGAAATCCCTGCCAGAGCTCAAGGACATGCTGAAATCTTTATGGCTGTAGTTCCCATCAGGAAACACCTGCAGTTTTCCACTCCTCTGTGTGTATCCAGCACACATCTCTAAGAGCAGAGAGTATAATACTGAGATGAGCATCATAATGAGCAATATTAATGAGACTGAATATGGGGCAGTGTTTAACATGTTTGGGCAATTTCACTGTCCCTGCAGAAACATGTCTATCTGTCACTCCCCACTGACACATACAGAGACACACAGCTCTATATTTTTAAATCATAATAAACTCAAACCATTTAAGATGTTTTCTTAATCTCAAATATGCGAGTTGTATTTTTAAATGCAGTTATTCATTACGCACTTTCCATGGAAAAGTCATGTAACTTCCTTCAAACCTCCTCTTTTAGTATAACTGCCAAACATAAACAACACCGTCTTTTATCACTTAAGTCTGGTTTGTTGACATTTTATTTCCTTTTCTGAGGAAATTATCTTATAAAACAAGCACATAATCTTCAGGAAAAACAAAGTCACACCTCTCACTAACTTTACTCCGGACTGGTTTCGAGGGTTTGGATTAAAAAACAACAACAACACGATTAAACTCACCAGGGTTAAATGTGTTTGTTTAGTTGTCTCAGTAACTTAGTTGTTTCTCTTCAGTTGACTAAGTTTGTTTGATCCACGTTTGGCTCCGCGGATGCAGGCAGGGGGGCGCGCGTGGGTACGTGGACGCGCATCAGCTGAATCTCTGTTGCTTTTCCTCCACGCGACTTGGAATGTTCAGTTGAGAGGGATTCGCGGTTCAAAACAGCCAATCAGAGCGCACATCAAAAGACTCAATGGAAAGGGGCGGGGACATGAGAGCAGGTGGGCGGAGCTTCTTTCAACGCAGTACTAAAAGGAAAATAAGAAATTAACACAAATGTCCGCTATTTTATATATTTTTATAACTCAAAATCAAACTTTATTTGCATTTTATTCAGTACAATAATGTATAAAAAATAACAATATATAGCTAATAGTATAGAAAATGTCAATGATTAAATAAAATAATTTTATAACCCCTCAAATAACTAGTTATTAAATAAGTAGCTTACACTTTTGAAGAAAACGATATTAAAATGACATGTAATTCTAATATTAATGATATATTAAAATAATTTGAGATTTGCCTGTGCCTATGGTTAAATAAAATACGTACTGAATTATCCATCTCACTGCTTTTGTGTTTCTGTGTGGGAAAGTGAGCCTGAACAACCTAAATGCTTTAAATAACTTTAGGCAGCAGGAAAAAAAAACTTTGAAAAGATTCCTCTTAGGTTAGTAAATTGGACCTTGGATATAAAATTGAGTCATAATCACAAGGCAGGATTAGTTTGCACAGGTAAAATCTGATTACCCACTCTGGGTCACATTGGGGATTAAACTGGCCTCTCTGCACTTATAAAACCCCTCAAACTCAGTTAGTAAAAGAACATTAGCAGGAGCTTTATAAGGGAATTTTGAGGCCAGAGACATTTAGAGAATAATACAGAATATAATACGTCTCACCAAAGGGATTTGCTTATTTTACAGTCAGTAATACACATTCATAATATTACTATTTGCAGTTTAAACATTCAGTAAATGTGTCCATTGCGCCCTCATGTGGACGGTGTACTCTGTAATAATGCATGAAGTCGGCGCCTACATTTCCCAGAAATCCTTGCGCGTGACGTCACGACCGCGGCAACAGGAAGTGTTCAAACTGAGTCGTTGCTGTAGAGAAGGTAAGATAGGTTTTTACATACGTTTAACATTATTCACGGTGCTATTAGTAAATACAACAAGGCAAAAAGTCTTTCTGGCTACAGGTCAGTGTTTATTTACACGATTTAACATTTTATTACTACAATGGTAGGTTTGTATTCGCAGATGCTAATGCTAGGCTTCTACCAAAACATTTGACACTTACCTTTCAGTGTTTCTGAAATCAAGATGTATAACGACTACGTTTAAGGCAATAATGGCAGTAAAAGAGTGTTTGATACGTAGAGTATCAGACTTTGTTCACTGGCTCTTTTTCTGGATTTATTAATGTAATCATGACAGCTAGTCAGTCCAAGTGTGTTTCTTGTGCTCCTCAGGAATGACCTGTACACTTGAGAAGGTGCTGGCCGATGCCAAATCACTGGTGGAGAGACTCCGAGATCATGACAATGCTGCTGAGATCCTGATTGAACAAACCACACTGCTGAATAAGAGAGTGGAGGCCATGAAGCAGGTATTATTGCTTGTTCTCAGTCTGCCCAATGAATTAAATCAAGTCTCATCCCTATAATATTGCTTGTTCTCTCAGTATCAGGATGAGATCGAGGTGTTGAACCAGGTGGCGAGACATCGGCCACGCTCTACTCTGGTCATGGGAATCCAGCAGGAAAACCGGCAAATACGGGAACTGCAGCATGAAAACAAAGGTGTGTTTGGAGGGTTTGCAACTGAAAGCTCAAGTTTTGTATCTAAATCCTCACCTGTCTCTCGGCAGAGCTGCGCACGTCGCTGGAGGAGCATCAGTCTGCGCTGGAGCTGATCATGAGCAAATACAGAGAGCAGGTGTTTCGCCTTCTGATGACCAGCAAGAAAGATGATCCTGCTATAGTCACTCAGCTCAGAGAACAGCACACTAATGTCAGTCCCGCAGACGCCTTTGCTGAGATTTACCCTATAGTGCTGGGGCTCAAATAGGCATTTATTACTGTGTTTATGTTGCAGGAGATGCAAGCGCACATTGAGAAAATAAATGAAATGGCCACGGTGATGAGGAAAGCCATCGAGGTGGATGAAGGGCGACTGTGTGAGGATGAGGAGAGAATCAAACGTCTGCAGGTGAAACGCACTCAATTTCACAAAATGAGAAAGAGAAAATATATTCTATTCTTTGCGATCAACAACATGAAGTGCATTAACCATTAAGTCACACAAGGAGTTCACGAAGGAACTGCAGGGGTTGCCGTTGTGTGAATATGTAATCATGTTATCAATAACAAAAGAATAACTGTAGTCTGATTACGAGTATTTTAATAAAAAAGAATCTAATTTTTGATATATATATGATGATATATATATCGTCATACCAGGCCTATACCGCAGTTAACTAAACACTTGTAGGCCTAGTTTCACAGACAGGGTTTAGATTAAGCCATAATTGGCCTTAGTATAATTAGGGCATTTAAAGTCCCCCTGTAGTAAATAATTTTATCACTTAAAACTCACTTTTGATAACCAAAATTACATATATTTAAATGTTTTTTCCTTTAAAAAATGTCTCCATGCCTTAAAATATCTTGAATGTAACTCGACACCCTTGCCTTATTTAGAATACAGGGTTCTATGAATATGCAAATGAGCCCTGCCTCCACTCACTCACTCAGCTCAGAGATCCACTGGTTGACGATCACACGTTGATCTGATTGGTTACAAGCTCGTTTGTGACGTCAGAAACACCAGCGATTTCAAACCGTGTTTTTGAGACTGTCTTTGGTTCACTGCAGTTTTAAGCAGAAAATACTCAGCAATGCTGTCGACTTATGAACTTACGTATGCTTTGTCTTAAAGCATATTAAAAACACCACATAGACATGTAAACAACACTAAAAACTTGATTTTTACCACAGGGGGGTGTGCATTTTGAGACAAAAAAAGGCATATTTTAAGATATTCTTTCAGTTAAAACGTGCATTTTAGTCTGGGACTGTGTAAGCGGGGGACTGTGGAGTTGTGATATTATGGTTTATATGTTGCAGCTGGAGAACAGCGGTTTACGCGAGCTGTTGGGAATCAGTCGCGAGGCGTTTCTGGTGCTGAAGAGAGACGACTCGTCTGACAGCACGTCTCTGTCTCCACTGCTCACCAGCACAGATGTCAGTCTGAGGAAGAGCTAAAGGCCAACAGAGACTCCGAGTTTACAAACCATCATTCAGACAGAGCTGCCCAACAAATCCCACAATCCTCCATTACAGGGCCGTGATGACCTCACACGGCTGTCTGTCATGAGGGGTTTTGCAGGAAGAGCTTGTGAAATCTGGGATTCCATTACTTTTCCATCTCTCCATTATCATGTCTTCAGGCTGGAAAAGTGCAATGACCAAATTGACTGATTCAGCCATATGAAAACAATCATTTGTGGAATGACCTATAGGCAGATTGTGAATGATTACTTTACCTGAACACGGGACTTTGTAAAGGAAATGTCACAGTGTGTCATATTGTTTCTTTTTGCTTGTTGTGTTTGTAACCGTGTTTTATTTGAGTATGAGTGGAAGTATCATTGAAAGTGATTAAAACCGTTGTTGAATGAACAGTGGCTGATTTCATTCAGGATTCAGAAAGTATGTTTTAGTGTAAATTAAATTATAGTTTAAATATAGCAGTGCATGTTATTCCAAAGAAAATATAATAACTTGTTCCACCTCTGAAACGAATGTGCTTTTCAGCTGCAGTATTAATCCACTGCAAACCTGGGGTTATTATAATTGGAGAAATCCTAAAAATGTTTCTGTTAATTGAAATAAAATATAAATATTAGTTGGAAAAAAAAACTAAATATTTAGAAATGTTGCCTTGACGATATGAAGTTTAATATAAGTTTAAGCATGTCAGCGTGAGTACCAAAATTATTAACTGTAAATAAAGCAATAGAATGACAAAAGTGCATACTCAATTTTACTCAAATTAACAAAAATATAAAAATAAAAGCCAATTCAAAATAATAATAAAACTAAAACACTTGACGTTGGTCTCATTTACTATCTTGATTCACTCACAATTACGTGACATTATGCAGAAAATCGATTTTATTTAGACTTGAAAGGCATCAAAGCAGTGAGATGATCAGTTCAGTGTTAATTAATACGCCAATAAAGCATTAATTATTAAACATTATTATTTCAGCTAGATGCCAAGACAACACCGTACATGCGTGTTACGTGTTCAGTCTATAGGCGAGTAGTGTTTGTTTACAAAGTGACATTGCCAATTACTCACACAAAAGAAAACCTTTTCCGTTTTAAGTACATCACTGTCGTGTAAACGTGCTGTAAATATTAATAACTATAATAGTATCTCAATATACTAATAACATAACTCTGATTCTTGGAATAGAAAACAATATTATTTAGGTATTATGGCACAAATAACAACTTTATTAAACATTTAATTATTAGACAATTTTATACAAAACAGAAATAATACACTGCTATCACTTAAAAACAGTTTCAACATGTAAAGTCTTCAATGCACGTATTAAATGCTTTAGAAAAAGTCAGTTTGCTTCTGTGAGAGACACAAAGATCACATGAAGAAACCCTGAGGATGCCAGAAATTAATGAATAGGCTCATATGCCACTGTATTGCATAATTACCCATCATACAGAGCTGGAGTCTGTTAGAGAGAGAACACATTGAACTTGGGTTCGTGTCTCCATAAGAGCTACATATTCAGTTATTATAAAGCACATCTGAAAGTACATACACTTTTAAACTCCACAGATTCTCAATATTCCTCTTACACTCAAAATAAATGTGCATTTAAAATCCTAATTTCCGAGTGCAGGAGTCAAAATCCCACAGGAACTTGTTATTTCCATCATCTGCGAGGATCAGCAGGGACTTAGACACAGAAAACACACACAAACACCAGTGGTTGCTATTGAATACCTGTTCATTCCGTCGGCAGTCATACATTCATTTTAGTGGTGAACATGAAAAATAAATTGCATGTCTTTTAAAAACCCTTACTCGTTCGGACAGGCACATTGTGCTGAGAGACCCTATGCTAAGTAGACACAATAAAAAATATTTAAAAAAATCTCCACCGGATAGGACTGAAGATGTGCACCGAGTTTAATGTTTCCTCTAAGCTGCTAAAATGCATCTAAAAATCAGGCTGAGGCAGCTGCTGTATATAGCAGAGGTTATTAACATGACTAAACCTGGTCAGAGAACAGCAACGGGATCAAACACAGCATTAGTGCTTCATGTGTGAGTTTCTCCACAGTCGTCAGGCTCTTAAAATCGAGCACGATCCGAGTGTAACGCTTCTCCACGAGTTTGAGCAGGAGGATCTACAGTCAAAGGTCAAGGGTTAAAGCAGGAGAGGTGTGGTTTCGCCGGCCGGTTCCGTGCGCCGCGTGAGTTGCCGGATACGTCCCAGGACTCGAGTGGACAGAGATGGCTTGTGGTGGCTGGGATCCAGAACGTTGGTTTTCCGGCGCTCTCGTTCTTGCTTCCACATTAAGTACGGGCTCGGCGGGAAAAACGCGCGCGTCTTCTCCCGATAAAGCTGCACGACGATTCCCGAAACGCCCAGAACGACCCACACGGTGATCAGGATGAAATCTGGAGAAATATCAATTCAATTCACATTTATTTGCATTGCGCTTTTCACAATACACATCGTTTTAAAGAGTCCACGTTACAATTTAGAGTGATCTGTTATCAGAGGTAACGGTGTTATTTATGCATTTCAGAAATGTAGATCTACAAATCACAGTTAGCTAAAAAAAATTTTTTTTTACAATGTAATAATAAGGCTGAAACAATGAGCTCACATGTTGGTTAACAAATGATTATGAAAATTGTAGCATTGGTTGCAAATCAGACATGACAAACTTCTTTAGTGGTAAACGGAAACTACAACACATATATTTTTGCGTTCCCATTTGCGCCCTGTAAAATCAGTTTAATTTTTTTCCAAATTCCATTTTATTATTTTTTTTCAAATTCCATGTTTGAATTTTTCTGGATTCCGTTTTAGTGGTTTAATTAAAATTTAATAAAAAAAAAAAACATGCCTAATTAATTTAATTCATGAAAACAATATATATATATATATGAAGAGTTTGGTTCCAAAACGCAATAAATCCATTTAGATTAATTTGAGTAAAAATGTGTTTTCTTTACCAAGAAAGTGGAAAGATGAAAACCACTATTTTCTGTTTCAAACTTTCACATAGCATTTGTAGGTCATAATAACAAAAAAAAATAAAAATCCAGGTTTTGATTTTCAAAGATTTATTATAAAAACGGATTATTTTCCCCCCAAAATGCAATAAATCAAAATGCGATTAATCCATTGAATCAATATAAAAGTTTTTTTTTTCATATTGAAAGTGTTGAAAATACACAACAACATAAGTTTATTAGTATAATATTTTTATTAAGAACTGTAAAGAAGATTGAAAACATTTTTCCTCCTCCCGAGTGCCTCATCTTCTTAATCTCCTCACGTAAATGATTCGATTTTGATGCCTTACGTTTCTTACCCACCGCAGAAACAACCACAGGTTCATCAATGCCGTCAAAATTATTCATTTTTTTGTTTGTTTGTTGATCGAAAAGTACAAAATAGATAAGAAGAACTAGGAAGCCGGGTGTATTTAAGGCGCTGCCGTTACTGTTTACATTGCGTGGAAGGGTGCGTTGTGATTGGTTGAGAGCGGATATATCGCATTCTGCAGAGAAGGGAGACTGGCGTTTGTCACGGTTTGGAAAGAAAGGGAGAAAACATAACAGAATAACATGGCGGATATCGCATTTTACTTCAAATTAAACATTGACTTTTCAATACCATGCAACCAGATACAATACTGATTTTTGCAGTAACTATTTTTTTTTTTAAATGTCGTTTATCACGTTTTGGAACCAAACTCTTCATATATATATATATATATATATATATTTTTTTTTTTTCTCCCATAGCTGTTGTGTTACAAACACTCACACATCAGCGTTAACCAGTTAAGGTAGAAAGTATAGTGTTATAAATGTACAATATATTTAAAATGACATACATCAGTTTAAGTGACCTACCGATATCCTGCAGTGGGACTGAGATAAACGCTCGGCTGAAGTTGTTGTTGAGGAAGCGTTTCAGGACGTCCAGCGTGATGTAGGACAGACTGGTGTAGGTGTAGGCATTGACGGACAGGACCACCGCATACGCACCAACCACTCCACATGTAACTATATTGCCCTAAAACACACAGATAAACGTGTGCGCATGTTGTTTAGGTGTCGGATGTGAACTCTTAAATATCATAAATATACACTAGTGGTCAAAGGTCTGGAATAATTAAGATTTTTAAAAACATTTATTTGATTAAAAAAAAACAGTAAAAGTTGTGAAATATTATTACAGTTTAAATATCTGTTTTCTATGTGAATATATAGTAAAGTGTAATTTATTCCTGTGATCAAAGCTGAATTTTCAGCATCATTACTCCAGTCTTCAGTGTCACATGATCCTTCAGAAATCACTCTAATATGATGATCTGGTGATCAAGTATCATTTATTATTCGAATTGAAAACAGTTACTTTAAATTTTAATAATATTTCACTGTACAAGAAACTTCTTTTAAAAACAGAAACCTCACCTCTCTGGGCCACCTGATGAAGAACAGAGGAACAACTACCATTATGCAAGCAAACACCACCCAGAACACAGCATCGTTATGGAATATAGGAAGATCACCTGGAAAATAAATAAATAAATGAGATAAACAACTAATAATGAACATTATTGGCAACACATTTGAATTGACGCTGCTGCAGGAGAAGCCCACGACTTAAGTTATCATAAACATGAGACATGCTTTCATGTTTTAGTCGGCATGGAATTTAATCACCCCATCTTTTTATCTAAATGCATGTTATAGATCATACTGCAAACAACTCCTTCAAGCTAAAGAAGAAAATATCAGTCGCTACTTGCGTTTCATTGCTTGTGTTTCCATTTCATTGGATTAAGTGTGGCTTGCCCTGTCAGGTGCTTCGACAGATCTACGAGCCGTTTAAACGCATTTAATACATGTTTTAAAACATTTTTCTGTTTTATAATACTTTTCTTTGAAACTCACATGAGTATTTGCATTTTGTTGTTTTGTTGTGCTATCATAAATATGCTTTTTTTGGACATTAAATGTATTAAATGGCAGCAGGTTTATTACCAATAACATTTCTGTTAAATGAAATAAAGCTTAAATATAATAAAAGTATAAATATTAGTTGAAAAACTAAACTAAATGAAAATTAGACGTGTTGCCTGAGCAATAAACTGAAAAAACTGGAAATAAATAAAAACTAAAACTGAAATAAACATAAATCCTAAATAGAAATAAATATATATATAAAAAAATAAATAAAATGACAAAAGCACATAAAAATGTAACTAAAATTAACATGAAAGCAAAAATATTAATAAAACTAAAATAAAACTAAACTAAAATAACTGAATAACTGGGACTGTTTTAATGAGGTATAAATATAATGTATTTACTATTTCCAGATAACTGAATGCACATGTTTAGTTTAGTCTGTGATTTTGTTTTACTTTGTTATGATGGGAAAGTTTTAAAATCTAATGTTTATATTTTTATATTAACCGTTTTGGCACATAATGTATAACATATAGCCTACATAGATATATTCCTCAGTTTGCAGACTGTTTGGAGGATGTAATAACTTACTTTAAAAAAATATATGCTAAAAAAAAAATATATTTTTCGATTATTAATCGATTTTCAAAATAATTGTTTGTTTGCATCCCCGCATTTTACCAGCAAGACTATAAAGAGATGATTCTGAATAAAAGATGAAGGTTTTGAACATGATTTCTTACCAAGTGGAGTGAAAAAGGCAATAGAGGAGATGAGAAAGCCAAGTATGAGTCCGACCACCAGCACGCAGGCCATGACCGAACCGAACCGCCACCAGCTCATCACCAGGGCCACGCCCCCGACCACGCCCATCAGCGCTGTCAGAGCCAATCGGACTGGGGAGAGACGATCAGGGTCAAACAAGCCGTTTAAAGGGCTAGTTCACCCAAAAATGAGAATTACCCCATGATTTACTCACCCTGAACGCCATCCTAGGTGTAACTGACATTCTTCTTTACGAATACAATCTGAGTTATATTAAAAATATAAAAACTTAATAATGGGAGTGAATGGGTATATTTTTTTAAGAGCCAGGATATTTCTTAATATAACTCCGATTGTATTCGTCTGAAAGAAGAAAGTCATATACACCTATGATGGCTTCAGGGTGAGTAAATCATGGGCTAATTTTCATTATTGGGTGAACTGTTCCTTTAAGCCAAGACGCTAAAGGTGAATTTTAACTAATAGATATAACCACAGTACATTGAGATGATAGTTTTGTATATTTAAATATGCTAATTTGCATACATTTCCATAATAGAAATTTGAACATTGGATAAAGCCTGGTGCAGAATTATTGTATCATTTTACTGACATATTAGAGTGATTATGGATCTCTTTTTACCCATCCATGGATCAGAAAATACCGTCAACAGTCAGAAAAAAAACAATTTATTAAGAATAAAATCAGGTGAATGTCTTATGAACAAAACCCTAAAAAACCTTCAGATATAGATCAAGTTTGGTGTGTGTGTGTGTAATAAAGCTGCAGAAGTGGAGCGTTCTGACTCATAACTTGTGGCCTTTAAAGAGATGTATTGATAATAAAATTTATCTACAGACGCAAATAGATAACACTTAAATGTTTTCCTTTCACTAGTCTGAAAGAAGACATGCTATGGTAGAAAACTTTACCAAAATTGATCAGTGCACGAAACAAATTATGCTTTTGCCTATAGTGTCTTAACTTAAAATGATTTGATTACTCAGAAAGCAACTAAGGAGTCAACTTACAACTATCTCAGAGAATTAAAAATCATTTAAAAAAATGTTCTTCCTCGTTTCAACAACGCCTGTCCTGCAAACACACAAACATCTCTGCAAAAAATGCTTTCTTACTTAGTATTTTTGTCTTGTTTCCAGTCCAAATATCAAACATTTCTTAAAACAAGATGCATTTACTAAAGTAGTAAAATGATATAAGATATTAAGTCTTGTTTTCCGGGAGAATTAATCAAAATTAAGCAAGCTGATGCTTAAAACAAGCAAAATTATCTGCCAATGGGGTGAGAAAGATTATCTTAATTCAAACAGAAACAACATTATTTTTCTTACCCCATTGGCAGATAATTTTGCTTGTTTTAAGCAAAAACTCACTTAATTTTTATTTATATCCCCCAAAAAACAAGACTTAATATCTTATATCATTTTACTACTTTAGTAAATGCATCTTGTTTTAAGAAATGTTTGATATTTGGACTGGAAACAAGACAAAAATACTAAGTAAGAAAGCATTTTTTGCAGAGATGTTTGTGTGTTTGCAGGACAGGCGTTGCTGAAACGAGGAAGAACATTGTTTTTAAATGATTTTTAATTTTCTGAGATAGTTGTAAGTTGACTCCTTAGTTGCTTTCATTTTAATTAGCTCAAGTTTGTTCTTAAAACACTTTTTAAAGTTAAGACACTACAGGCAAAAGCATAATTTAAGAAAAAAAAGCATTAACTAAGTAAGAAAAGCATTTTTTGCATTGCATTTGATAGAGACGGACTGGTTTTACAGCTCCAGCTGAAATCCACGGCACATGACTGATCTTCAGAGAGTTACGACAGAACAATAACCTCAATCCTCTGCGACGCGAGCTCGTGACGCATAATGACACTCACTGCCGGCTAAACCAGTTTGTGTAGCCAGTTTCAGTTATATTACACGCAAAAAACACAACTTCTGTGTCATATTTAGACATCAGTTCACCACAAATCATCCAGAATGCAATGAAACTCTGAATATGAGCTAAAATACATACAGATCTAACAGATGATCAGAAAGCTAATGCTAAATGTTCAGGCAGACACTAGCAGTTTTGATCTAATTCTACAGTGACTCGGTACGTCGTGTGTAACGACTCACTGTCGTATTCCAGCGTTGTGGTTCTGGTGATCAGGATGAAGAAGAGAAACGCCATAAACCCGAAGCCCATGCAGAACAGCTCTGAAAAACACAGAAATTAACATCTTACTGGTAACATCCGGTGTGTTTACTTTATATGCATTCATTTTCATCAATCTCAATCAGTTTTATTTTAGTATCATTGAGATATTGTTACAGTTTTTATTAATATTTTGACTTTTCAACTTTTTTTTTCTATAGATTTTAAATATATGTGTTTTATGAGAAGCTACTCTGGTATATCCTATTGGTATAAGAGTCATGTTAACAGATTAGAAACCTTATCGTATTATTTAGCTTCACCTAATACATTAACCCGTAACAAAGCACTAAAAGTTACAGAAAAGTCTTAAAAACCAGCCATTTATTTCTAATGGAGAGAGTGTTGAAATGGTAATAAAACACTGAATGGACTGTTTGTTGTGCAAGAAGCCTTGACTAACATTTCAAGTGGAGAAATTATGCATCTTATGACCTCTTTGAAAACATGCTATCCATTTCAGTGTTCAGTAACTATACTATATATATCAGTAAGTATAATATCTGTCAAACTTTGACTCTTCAAAACTGTGGCAAAGACTTTCCCAGACCTAAAATACTTGGGGTCTCTCTAGTAGATCCACAGATATGAATAGCAGTAACGTGGTGTGTTTCTAAATAAAGAAAGAAAAACATCACTTACCACATTTGAAGAAGCGATGGCCCACAAAACACACAAACAGCCCAGCCAAACCGATCAAAGTGAAAAACACTTTAGTCGAAACTCTCCCTGCCAAAAGGAGAGAGAAAACAGATTTCAGCTCTTCTCACTTTCGATATAATGCCATATAATCATATCACAACAATATGAAATCGTCACTCAACGCCCTTTTAGAAGCACATTTAAAAAGAACTCAAAGTCAAAGAGCTTCACAATAAAAGCAATATTCAATAACTTTCTAAACATGAATTCTCAAACATTCAATAGCCCTATAGATATAAAAAACAATAAATGAATAAAAACACATTTAAATACTCAGTCAAACCATAAACCTGTCACAGAAACTATTAAAGAACAATGTTTTCACGTATGATGTAGCTGAAGGAGCTGACCTCACATATTAAAGTCCCCCTGTGGTGAAAATCAAGTTTTTAGTGTTGTTTATATGTCTATGTGGTGTTTTTAATATGCTTTGTGTGCACCATGTGCAAATTCATAAGTCGACAGCATTGCTGAGTATTTTCTCTTTAAAACTGCAGTGAACCAAAGACAGTCTCAAAAACACGGTTTGAAATCGCTGGTGTTTCTGATGTCACAAACGACCTTGTAACCAATCAGATCAACATGTGATCGTCAACCAGTGGATCTCTGAGCTGAGTGAGTGAGTGGAGGCGGGGCTCATTTGCATATTCATAGAACGCGTATACTAAATGAGACAAGGGTGTCGAGTTACATTCAAGCTATTTTAAGGCATGAAGACATTTTTTTCCAACATTTAAAAATGTAATTTGGGGGATCAAAAATGAGTTTTAAGGGGACTTCATTCTTAATTTATGAATAAAATCCCGCAGCACAAATCTACAGCGAATCTCTGCGGGGATTTGTCGGTCTTCTAACCTAAATCGCTGCATCCGTCCAGCGAGGAGTTGAAGCTGCAGGCGTAGGTGTGAACGGGGATGTAGGACGCCGAAGAGTTGAGCACTGGATCTCTCACAATAACAGAGAAAATCACACCCTGACCCGGCAAAGAGTTAAAGGAGAACTGCGTCCGGTCGTGAGAGGATAAAGTCACCACCTGAAAGAGTAGAATAAACTAATCAGTAACACTTCTCATTTGTTAACATTAGTTAATGCATTACCTAACAGGAACTAACAATGAGTGAACACATTTTACAGCCGTTATGAAACTTTACTTAATAAAAATATTCATATTCATGTGAGTTCACAGTGCATTAACTAATGCTAATCTTTGATCTTTAAAATGTATTAGTAAATGTTGAGATAAACATTGTTGTTTGTTAGTTCATGTTAACAAATGAAACCTTAATGTAAATTTACAACTAAATAAATTAAATAAATGATAAACTAAGGGTGTTTTCAGACCTGTAGATCATTAGCTTTGCTCCAAAAAATGAACTTAAATTGTTACAATGTTGCATTTTGAAAGAAGTCTCTTCGGCTCACCTATCCTGCATTTATTTGATCAAAAATACAGTAAAAACAGTGAAATATTACATTTAAAATGGCAGTTTTCTATGTGAATATATTGTAAAATGTAATTTATTCCTGTGATCAAAGCTGAATTTTCAGCATCATTACTCCAGTCTTCAGTGTCACATGATCCTTCAGAAATCACTCTAATATGATGATTTGATGCTCAAGAAGCATTTATGATTATCATAAATGTTGAAACAGTGTGACTGGCATGTTCATATTTGAATAAACAAACAAAACTAAGGGAAAAAACGCACTAAAACAACATAACAGAAAGTTGTGAGTAAGAACAGAGAGAGATTTCACACACTTTTCTGCTGTTGTCCTGCAGGTTCTGCACATTGGCCACTCTCTCCATAGCGCTGATCAGACTCCGCTCCGATTGGTCGCCTTCCGGGAGAAAATACTGATACACCTCATAAACCAGACGCCAACGAGTACTCAAGCCCGTGTCCACATCACACGCTGGAGGACTTTCCCCTCTGAAAAAAAACAACAACATGATTTAGATTTTTTTTTTAATGGAATATTGTAGCATTTATTGTAAATGATTGATCTGTGCACATCTTTTTTTTTTTAAATTCATGTGCTTCGTAATCTTGAATCAGAATAACTTCCCCTCCCTCTTGCAGCGAGGGCATGATGAGGGTGGAGCTTAACCTGTCACTCACATGAGATCAGCCAATAGCAAACCACAAGCATCCAATCAATTCCCCACAGACAAAATCAAGCCCCGCCCACATTCGTTCTTCTTCCAGAGGCCGTTTCACTCGGATATACGGCACAATAGACTAGCGCAACTTCAGTTTCATGCCGAATTTAACAGAGGTGTTTGTGTTGCACATCACAGAAGACGATGATTTTATCATCCATTGATTTTAATTATAGGAGAAAGCTGGTTAGGGCTCCGTTTATTACTTTTTAGCTTTTTCTGCGCTATTTTTGTCTTCTGGCTTTAAAATCACCAGGATGTGAAGTTCTCTCACATTATAGTACATCGATGACTCATCGGCCTCTAATTATTAATGAGACTTCCTCATCCTTATCCTATGAGAAGAGACGCTTCTCTTAATTATTTACGGGCAAAATGTGTTGCTTTTCATGTGATAGAGGCTTAAAACTGTGACATCAAGTACAGTAGAGGCATACTTGCAAGTTGTACGTTCCTGTGTGGCCTATACTGTCTCCCTTTTCTTTTTTTTAGTATTTTTCAACTAACTGGTACTGAAACAGAGGGTTTCATGACCCTTTATAATGCCCTGATAAGTTCATGACTTTATTCAATTTCTCTCACCTTTCATATCCGATGTTAGCAGGTGCAAAGGTAATCGTGGTCTCAAACAAGTTGTATAGCAGGTAGATGTTTGGATCAATCTCCAGTGCAAATTCCAGATTACACGCTCCTGGAACGGGATCTGCACACAACAAGACATTGCACACACACACTGAATATTCTCTGTTCCAGTCATTAGTCTGTTAATGAGAGTGTTTGTGTTGTTCTCTAACCAGTGCTGGTGTATGGCAGAATCACACCAACTCCTGCTGCGCTGCTCCCGTCGGGTGTCTTCAGGAACCAGGAGAGAGTGGTCTGGCTCGGTATCAGGCTGGACAACAGTCCAGCATCCACTGCTGTGACCGAAAAACCGTAAAGAGGGACCTGACCAATACACACATACACAAACACACACACATATATAATATATATAAATATACACTCTATATATGGAAGTAACATCGGTTCCGAACAGCGTTTCATGTTGACTTTAACTACGTGTCTGATCTTGTGTTCAGTGCACTACAGCTGCGTGACTGCTGACATTATGAATAGAATGCATGGAGGGGTGTGTGTGTGTGTGTGTGTGTTGAGATCAGAGCTTGTGATTAAACTCTCACATGTCTTGCTCGCTCAACCCCCATGCAACTGGGTCAGCAGTGTGTGTGTGTGTGTGTATTTCTTACTCGTGTATGTCAGTGCTGTGTGTGTGTGTGTGTGTGTGTGTGTGATAACTTACCTGTGTGTATGAGAGTGTAACATTGCTGTGTTGTGTGTGAAACTGCAGTGTTATGAAGGAAACGTCAGCAGGAATCCGGGAAACAACAGCTTGAACCGTCCCGTTCACTGGGACACTCACATTCTGGAAGGTTCCCAAAGAAAACACCACGCGGTCTGCAAAACATGATTGTATCTGTATCTGATTTTTCCAATATTATAATAAAGGTGCAATATTTGACCCCTGGAGCTGTTTTACCCATTTTTCAAACATTTTTCTAACCATAAAAAACCCTGTGTGATTTTTTATGTTAAAATCCTTTTACATATTATATGTTTAAATATTTAAGAAATAATTATTTATTCATATATATTTTTTTTTATAGCATATCATCTATACACAGTTAATAAATTATAATTTTTTAAAAATCTAAATTAATTTCACCTCTATTAATTTCTCGGTGCAAGAAGTCTTAAACGAAATTTTTTCTACAGTTCAAGTATTAGAATTGTATACACTAATATAGCTTAGGTTTATAACATTATATCTAAATAAAAAAGGGATGTTTTTGCCCTCGATATAAAGAGTTCTTGCACAGAGCTTCAACTCATTAGACAGAGGAGAGATGCCACTGAACACTTCAAAAGAGGAAGTGGCTTTTGACAGTTTATGTGATTTGGTGTAGAAAGAAGGGTCACGGTTTGCTCTGACTTCCTGTGAAATCTTTTTCACAATGACTCAAACCTGCGGTACGTCAAAACACAGAAAACCTGAAAGCAAATTAGAAATATGCTACCTTTACATGAGGTGGGAAGCCGCTAAACATGTTCGTTTTTCTCTAAAACTTGCTAAATTGGTTCTTCTACATCATTTAAAAATGTTTAACAAACAGTTTTAATGTCCGCAAAGTCTTTGTTTTGAGGTCTGTAGAGATCTTGAAGACGGAAATCACTTCACTGCTCTGGAAGAATCTCTCTCTTTCTCTTTTAGGAATGTGGAAATAGTTTCTAAATTGCATCTCATAGATTGTTGCTCTGTTTCATTGTTGTCGGTGCTTCGTAAGCAGGAATGAAGTTTATTAAAAGAGAAAAAAAAGGGAGAAAAGAGAATGCAACACTGCTACAGTCTTTCAGTATAATTCTACAAATGTCTTTTTGCTGTGAAATCTTAAATGATAAACGTAATATTTCAACTGGACTGAAGCAACTTAGCTTTACTTCATTATCCATGCATCAATTATTAGAAAAATCTGTGAGTCTCAAATATGATCATCAGGATTTTGAGGAAGGTTTGTTTGTTCATCTCTCAGTCATCATTGTATTTCATTGCATTATATGTTTATAATAAGACATATTATTGGCAGATATTTCACGACTGATATTTATATGCATTTTATGGAAGAAGTCTGTTATCTTACTGTTATGAAGATCTCAAGATTAAGATTTGGGGCTCTGAATTAAATGTTTTTACCTCCTCCATCTTCTCACTATTTCATACTATGAGATATAAAAGCCTGATGCATGTAACAGAAACATAAAACACATATGCAAACTTTTTTTATATATATATTCTGCTTACATTTTCTATAAATGTCCCAGATTTTTCTGCCTAATATTGCATAGGTCATACTGCATGCACCACTTGCCAAATTTTCTGTATATTGTAATCATTATGTTCACAATTATGTAATAATTACTTCAATTAGCTCATTGTTTCTGCCTACAATTAATACATTGCGTGATTTGTATTATCTTAGACCTGTACATTTCTGAAATATGGACATTACAGATTAGAAATGCAAACGATATACACATAAATGTGAATTAAATTGAACATAATATACACTTGGTCTTACTGTGGGGACTTACTTGGGTTTAGTGAGCTCTCAAAACCTCCCGTACATTAGTTTAGTCCAGTTCATAAAGAATACAGGTGTGAGACACCTCAGAAAACATAAAACAGCCTAGAAAAACAAGCTTTTGTAGCATTATGTAGTACTAATAACGAGGTTAATTCACGGGGAATTATTTAAGTTGGTAAATAATGTCTCTGCTGTCTCATACTCCAACCAAATGTCATTTGTTAAATGTACGCGTTTGTATCAGTGATTATGATAAAGATGTTTAATGTTTGTTTACTCACTTTCATCCTGCGCGCGCACAGAACTGACCCACGACAAGACGAGCAAAACCAAACATTCTCTCTTTAGTGGCATTTTCACGGATCAGTCCAGTCTATAAACACGCTTTAGCAGCGATCAGATGCTCGACTCATGTTGAAGCTTCACATTTATCCTCCGGAAGTGTCACTCACTCCTGTACTGCGGTACAGTGCAACAACTTTGGAGAAAAACGAGCGTTTCGCCTGCAGTAGTCTGGCTGTAGTGCGCACTGCGCAGGCGCGACTGAATGGCATCACGTGATCTCGCTTTGAACTCTGCGTCGGCGGAAACGGAAAAGTAACGAGAACGCGCCAACATGGCGGACAGGCTAACGCAGCTTCAGGATGCTGTTAACTCCGTAAGACTAATTTAAACGTTTTTTTCATGAATTATAAGTTGCAGAAGACGGCAAATATCGTCAAATCATATTTATTCAGTAGTCTAGTTCATGAAGTCATATTATGTGGAAGAAGTCATATTAATATACTGCAGCGCATGAAGGTTTTAGCATAGCATTCAGTTGAGAATGAATAAACAATTAAAGTTTGCACATTAATTTGTACAGAAAGAAGACAATACTTTAATTAAATTAGTAGGTGTTATTTTAAAGTATGTTTTAATGGGACATTTAAATGTAATAGTAGCTCAAGTGCCATTCTTAAATTTACATAGAGTTAAATAAATGCATACCGGCATATATAAAATATATGAAAGTAATTCATACATTTTCCCGGTATACAGTCTGTTTTGAATATACAATCATTTCGTTATTTATTATTATTATTCGTTTGTGACATGCCAAAACATTGTTTCTTTTCTCAGAGTGTTCTTTAAAGTCTTTTGTCATGTAACGTTACTCTTGTTTTTACATATTTAAAAAAAAAAATTATTAATTTTTTAAACATGGGAACACCTTACAATAAGGTTCCATTTGTTAACTTTATTTAACATTAACTAACAATGACAAATATTTCTAAAGTGTTTATTAATTTTGCTTCGGGTTATTCAATTGTAATTCCAACATTTACCAATACACATTAATAAAATCAAAAGTTGTGTCTGTACTGTATAAATGTATTGTTGATGTTCGTTTAGTTAATGCATTAACTAATGCGGCATTATTTTAAAGTGTTATCAAAAACATTCACAATATTAGCAGTAAGCAATGAAGTTTTACAACTTTTCACCATGTTTATTGAGCAAAGACAAATACCCACATGTGTGTTGTATGCTTGCGCTGTGTGTTTGATTTATGGCTGTGATGTGTGTGTTTCAGCTGGCTGATCAGTTCTGTAATGCGATTGGAGTCCTGCAGCAGTGCGCACCCCCGGCCTCGTTCAGCAACATACAGACCGCCATCAACAAAGACCAGCCCTCCAACCCCACAGAAGGTGCACACATCGAGTAACCCCAGAGTGCAGTCTGGACGATGGACACATTTAGTCTATTGGTTTATAATACAGCAATATTATTGGCGTAGACGCTTGAGGCATGAGCATTCGCATTCCTTATGTACAAACGAGTTTATGAATGATCTACAACGCTGTTTGGCCGTACTATAGAAATATTAAGTGTAGGGGTGTAACAAGATATCGTGTCACAATATATCGCAATACAAAAATGCAACAATATGTATCGTGGATAGTGTCAATATGTATTGCGTTTAGTTCACCCAAAATAAAAATTACTATGTGAGAAAAAAATTCACATTTACAGAGTTAGTGTCAGTACTACATTGAACTACTATATATAATGCATAATAATGCACTGAGGGAGTATTTGTGGGTCCTGATAATGCCAAATGTCTGATGTTGCCAGTAAAACGTGGCCTACAATATTTTAAATACAACTAGTCAGAGTGAAAGCATGTTCATCTAAAATAATTCTGTGTTTTAAGCTTCAGAATCATCAATATTTTGTATTCTGGTGTCTCTATTGTCCTGTGCTTTGGGTTTTCGGCACCAAGTCCAAGACTATTCATTTACACACACAATGTAATATCAAATTTAGCATTTTAATCTTTAACCTTTTATCATATGTCTTGGACTATCGCAATAATATCGTATTATTGTGAGTTCAGGATCGCGTGATATGTATCGAATCGTGACATGAGGGTATCGTTACACCCCTAATTAAGTGGCAATTTCAGTAACGATCAATTGGATAATGTTTTGATGAACGTACGCATCAAGTTAGATGAAGTTACTGTCAAAATTTATTCGTATAGCGCTAAATTCACATCGTTTCAAAGCAGCTTTACAAAAAGTCATAGTATTATAAGCTTTAATATTGAGCAGTTTTATGGCTAGGCGATATCACGAAATATGTTGCTGATTAATGATACACTGTTTGAGATTTAGCCTAGCTATACTACTATATTAATTTACCCTGCAGATAAGTCAGTGCTTTTAGTGGGCGATAAGCATGACTGCATGAAATTACTGGCATATCAAAGGAGAGATCATTTCTAAATATACTGATATAGACAATATTTTTAGGGCTCCGTAATTTTACATCATTTGTTTATGCTTCTTTGTTTTTCCATTAGGATCAGTGAATAAACACAAACTCGGGATTTTACACAAATGATGATAATTCACTGTATTTCAGTAAAACATCGGATAAATCCGAAAGTGCGTTTTATTTTATTTTAAAGCAAAACCACGGTGATAAATAAGACAATAATTGGCTACCAAATAGCATACAAGCCCTGGCCATTGGGTTTTTGAAAATTTGGGAATAAAAACCGTGCAGTGCTGAAATGTGAAAAAGAAAAAATATTTTTTTACTAAAACATGTTATTATGTCGATCTATAGAAAATATAATTATTTATTTATGATTTTTTTTAATATATATGTTCATATCACTTCTCTGCTGGACATTTTATTTATTTTATTATATTATAATTGCACAGATTTACAGCAGTGTTTTTTTTAATGGTTATGCAGCTAGCCTATATGTGAGTGTTAAAATTTAAAAATATTAAATTTTTTTATTCTTTACAGAACCAATATATAGCCCCTCATTTTATTAACAGGTAAACAATGACATGAGCCATGATTAAACATTGTATTGCACTTTGTACCAAATAATGCAAGCATTGGACAACAAATCTCGTTAAAAATGACAACAAAAAATGGTTGTGCTTTAGAATTTAAAATCAGCTGTTTACGTTCTTACAGTGAATTATCATAATTTGCATAAAAATCCCGAGTTTGTGCTGATCCACCGATCCTGATAGAAATATGAAGAAGCGCTAATGTAAAACATTTCCCTGAAGTACAGGTGCCGTCACCAAGTGTTCGTTTTTAAACAATAACTTCATCTAATAAAACATTAGCCAATAGATCTTAACTAAAATTACCATGGTAAACCGATAATAAGATACGATTAAAGTTAGCATTTAATATTTCTTTAAAGGATTAGTTCACTTTTAAAAACACTTTTGCTGATAATTTCCAAGATGTCCATGTCTGTCTTTCTTCAGTCGAAAAGAAATGAAGGTTTTTGATGAAAACATTCCAGGATTTTTCTCCATATAATGGACTTCAATGGGGTCCAAACGGTTCAAGGTCCAAATGACAGTTTCAGTGGAGCTTTAAACGATACCAGACGATGAATAAGGGTCTTATCTAGCAAAACGATCGGTCATTTCAAAAATAAATACGTTTACGTTTTATAAGCACAAATGCTCGCCTTGCTCTTGTTCTGTGATGACTCTGTTCTGTGAGACCTTTTCAATGTAATTGCGTATTACGTGATGTCACGAACTTAAACTCTTTTATTTATTTTTAAAATGGCCGATGGTTTTGCTAGATAAGACCCTTATTCATTGTCTGGTGTCGTTTAAAGCCATTTGAACAGTTTGCAGTTTGCACTGAAACTGTCATTTGGACCTTGAACCGTTTGGACCCCATTGAAGTCCATTATATGGAGAAAAATCCTGGAATGTTTTCATCAAAAACATTAATTTCTTTTCGACTGAAGAAAGACAGACATGGACGTCTTGGATGACATGGGGGTGAGTAAATTATCAGCAAAAGTTTTTTTTAAAGTGAACTAATAATTTAATACGGCCAAATCATTCACAAAATCGTACATAAAGGAATGCGCATGCTCAGACCTGAATCGTCTACACCAATAAGATTGCGGTATAATAAGCCAATTATATTTGGGGTGGGCGGAGCAACACGTGTTGCCCCGCCCCATCGCCCAGACTGCACTGGGGTACTTGCACACATCTGCACCAAACATCAGGGCTGAAGGGGGTGTGAGGAGATACTGTGCTGTTGTTTAACGGACATGTCTGTCGTGTGTTGTTCTAGAATACGCTCAGCTGTTCGCCGCACTGATAGCAAGAACAGCAAAAGATGTTGACGTGCTGATCGACTCTCTGCCTAGTGAAGAATCGACTGCTGCACTGCAGGTACATTTATGTTTCAAAACGAGCCTACTGCATTTTAAAGGTGTCTATTCTGCTGCATTTTCATCTTTCTTTAGTGTGTAATGTTGCGTTTTGAGCATGAAAAAGCTCTGCAAAGTTACAAATATTCTCTATATCAGTGTCAGTGTTTCTGAACTCCATTGTAGTCTTGAGTTTCGTCCGGGAACGAACACGTCACAATATTCCTCAGTTAAATAATTAATATGCAGAATAAAGGGGCGGGGCCTGGTTGAGTTAGTTAGTAGTGTGTTAAACTGGTGGTTATGGTAAGGGGCGGGACATTTCCCAAACACACTCGAAGCGCTCGACCAATCACAACACACTGCTCCAGCCGACCAATCAGAGCACAGTGTGCTTTCAGAAGGAGGGGCTTCATAGAGACAGGAAGTAAACTGAGCGTTACTGACAGACTGGGAAGAGAGGAGCCGCAACAATGGAGAATAATGTTTTAGTTTTTTTCTCCTCTACCTGTTTTCACCTGTTGTGTTTTTCAGACTTTGTAAAAGGGCATAATGAAAAAAGGGTTGGCACTAAAACAGCTAAAATAAATTATTTTTGATAATAAGGTTGCGCTACAGATAATCCTTATGCATCTGTTTGCCTGGATGTGCTGTCATTTTTTCACCATACTCTAATTTTATCCGTCAGGAAAATAATTATAGATCGACCGATATCGATTTTTTAAAAACCGATACCAATTATCTGTATGTTTATGTTCCCGATAACTGATATTGAACCGAATATTTATTTGTTTAATTTCTGTTTTTGACAATTATAACAATGGCATTGAACTGAACAAACGGTTTTAATACTTTTTAAATACTGTAATTTATGCAATTTAATTTCCTCCGTCCTTACATACAAAACAAAACACACTTCTACATCAATAAATAGAGTCTGAAAGAGTGCAAAAAATAAAAAATACAGTGCACCGTCACTAAAATGCCTTTTTTAATAAAATCTTTGATCAGATAAACAAACCGGTAACGAATATAGCATGTAAAAATAATTATAACAAAGTATAGTAAGCATAAAACATTCTAAATCGCCTGGATAAAAAAAAAAAACCTAATTAATTTAGTGTATCTTAATAATTCCAGTTCTTTTTACTTATAATAACAGCACTAAACAACAGGCAAAATACATTTTCAAAGTCTAATGGACAACATCAACTCCCCATAAATATATGCATTAATTTTAAACTACAGTTTTAAAAGGTTTATGTGTTGTTTGATAGAATAAAGAGTGAAGAGAATGGAATACGCAAACATTGTCAGAAAAATAAACAAAAAAGCAAATACATCAGCGCAATTACGAGTCCATTTCATCTGGCATGTTATCAGAATTATTAATAATGTTTTGGAATATGAAATACCTGCTGACAGAGCGCTGTTTTTATCAGTGCGTTTACGTTTACATAGAACTTCTCTCGTGGAGATAGTAATTTCCACAGAGCTGTGATTATTTAGATGTTTATTAGCTAAATAAAGGTTATATAGTAGATGTAAATATAATTGAATGAGTTTTACAAAGGCCATACTGGAGCATCTGATCATCAACAACATCATAGACAACAGATAGAGAATTAATTTCAGTACTTTTATTTCGAACATACACTCATTTATGGCTGTTTTATTTAATTCATGTAAATTTAAGTCTTTTTTAACTAGGACAGGATTTGATGGATTGCGCGCACTTCTCAAAATGTCCACAAGATGGCGCCATTTATCTGTGAATATTAACCAAATTGACCAAAGATTGATCAAAATATTAATCTTTTACATACCAGGGTATCCGCGGGGTCTTGAAAAGTATTAAAAGGTGATAAATCAATTTTGGGAAAATTAAGACCCTTAAGTATTAAAGTCTTATCACGGCTTTATAAAGTCTTACATTTTGAAAGTATTTTTTCTGAATTAGCTGTCCAACAGTTTGAGTCCCAAAAACATCGTAAAAGTGTGTGAATTTAGTCATTTTTATTAAAAAAAAACTTTACTTTGATTTACTATCCCAGCCTATTTGATTTTTTTTTTTATCAGAGTGGTCTATAGTCTTTATCACAAACTAAAACTGTTAAGTTAAAAGTATCACTGATGTAAATGGTTACAGCTTGAAGTGGCGGTGAGGTATTAAAAAATATTGAGAAGGTCTTGAAAAAGTCTTGAAAAGGTATTAAAATTAACTTCAAGATTCCTGCATATACCCTGTGTAAATTATTATTAAATGTATTTAGGGCAATGAACTGTGGTTTGCAATTGATGTAATCAAATAAAAACGACTTTATAGTATCATTGAGTTAAGCTTGTTTAAAAAAAAAAAAATTTATTTATTTTTTATTGGTATTTAACAAGACAACACATAATGAATACATTCAATTGAAAATAAGAAATTACAAACTGTCTCAATTTAAACCCTTCCAGAACCCTCCCACCCACAAAAAAAAAAAAAAAAAATAATAATTGAAAATAAATTGATTAGAATAAACATTCCTCTCTCTAGTATTGGTCCTCGTTCCAGTAGCAGTCAATTATTGTGTAATAGCATTAGTGTCAGGAGAACAAAGTAAACCTTTTATGTAGTCTAGGACAGGTTCCCAGGTCTTCTGAAAAGTTTTAAGGGATAAGCTTTTTTTTTTTTTCATTTCAAGCATATAGTCTTACGTTCATGCTGTCTTAAAACTAAGGTTGTACAAATTGTTGTTGTTTTTTAATGGAAAACGAACAGGTGTTTTACATCCAGAACTCAGCTGTTGTATTCTGTTGGACTTTACTGTCATTTATTTAAATGCTGCTTTGTGCTTCTGGCTGTGTACTCTATTTGTTGTTGAGTCCAAGACCAATAGAGTTGAATCTAGTCGTTCCGTGTCAATTCAACTAGAGGTCCTCTGCGAAAAGGATTATTATTATTATTTTTTTCTGGTGAAAGAAATGCGTAAACAAATAAAAAAGTAATACATTTAATATTTTGGCTGAGTATTGACGTATATTCTATGCAATTGTGTTGATAGAAAAAAACAAGATGCATCTCTATTTTCAACATTATTTGTTGTTCAGATATTCCTCTTTAAAATAACGTATCAGCTTGTATGCAACCTTTTTTGACCACTGAAAATGTGTACAATTGACCAATTTACTCACAGAACCGTATTAAGATCTCCATAAACAAGATCTCTGGGATTGAGCCATATAGTGTCTACCAAAAGAAAAGTTTTAGAGCTAGAATCTAGAATTAAATGTAATGTAAAATGCTATTAAGATATCTTAAATACTTCTCGAGTCACAGGAATGCAAACTTGGGGCAGAAAAACACAAAAAGTGCTTTTCTCCATCTTTGACCGGTCACTGTTGGCATATAAAGCAAGAAAGATGGCTAAAGTCAACAGATTTAACTAACACACCTACCAATTTCTGTGTAAAAAAATAATAATGTTGCCATCTTTTACCATTATGTTGCCATAAGTCATTTTTACCCCCTGTAATTTGGCCCCAAATCTCAGGCGAAAATTGTAATTTTGACCCTCCTGTATAAAATATTGGATTACTCAGTGATTAAAAAAGCCAAAATATTAAAAGTCATGGATGTATATTTACTATTTATGTTTGTCTGTCTTCAGAAAAATGGACAAAATCTAAAAATTGTGTCGGTTTCTGTAATTTGGTTGATTTGACATGGAATGACCCAATTTTATACCTTTTCTCTACATGTCATGTGATCCGTCGTCTCCCTCTTGTTTGCCAGGCTGCCAGTTTGAGGCAGTTGGAAGAGGAGAACCAGGAGGCTGCGGCCCGTCTGGAAGAAGTGGTTTACAGAGGAGACATGTTGCTGGAGAAGATCCAATCAGCGCTCGCAGACATCGCCCAATCACAGCTTCGCACACGCAGTGGTGCCCCGAGTCAGCCAACACCCCCAGAGTCCTGACACTGACCCGCCACAACCAAACATGGACTATATCATCTGTACACAGCAGGGATTTTATACTCCTCCTTCAGCAACTGCAGGAGATCTTGTGTTAAATGTACAGTTTGTTTCTGGACTGAAGAATGATTCTGATTTCATTCTGTATGGCAGAGTAAGTGCCCACTGTTTCCCATCGCACATGTTTATTATGTGACATCCGGCATTGTTTTTTACCTGATAACAGTATATGTTCAACATCCATCAAATAGCCCCTTTCTGCAATTAACAGTCAGCGGCAGGGTAAGTTGGTTTTTTGTATATTTAATGATATTTTCTTGTCTTTCCGGGATCATGCTGTTTGTTTTGTTTTGAAAGGAATTTTGTCTTTGTGTTTAACCAATAAAATATTGTTGTATAAAGGGCTTGTTATTCATTGCTAATTGAATTGGGAATGTGGTAATTTGTTGCATGTAATGCCATTGTCACTGAATGAGTGAAGAGACTATTCTTTAAAAACAAGAAATGATGTCTAACACACGCGCACACACACACAACAGATCTAAAACCTTATATTCTTATTTTGTTCCTATCACTATTTATCCAACTGAAGTTATTTCGGGAACAAATGTTTTGGTTGCTTCTGAAATTGTAGGTGTTATATACTTTCCAAAAATTGGAAATATTACCTTTAATATATTTTTTTAAGGTGTTCTAAGGAAATATTTTTTTTACTGTATATTACTATTAGTGTGAGTGCTGCCATTTACCGGTCATATAAGCGAATATAATGTGCTGAAACAGACTTTGATGTCGTCTTCGTGGTGATGGAGAGCTTCAATAGTTCAACAGTTTTCTTTTCCAGTAAATTAAAACTTGCAATAAAGTAAAAATTAAAATAAAAAAAGCGTGTGCCGCAGCCACGCTGATTAGCGCATGACGTTTACGTTTTTTCATCCAATAAGAGCTCGTCTATTTAAGAACGTCAGTTTGGCGTCTTCGTTCGCGAAGTGGGGAATTTTCAGGGAATTTTCCAGAAGACTTATGAAAATGAGTCATTGACGAGGTAAGTCTACAGTACAGAATATTATTATTATTACCATTTAGAACTAGCAAAATATTAAGAAAGAATTTCTGACGAACATTTAAAACATTCAAGCCTGGAAGCAAACAGATCGTTCCTTCTAAAACATTTAACTATTCCTTTCCAAGCCATAATCAATTTTAAAAAAATCGACGAAAACATATATTAAACTTTAGAATGTAAAAACATGTAGATTTATGACTTTATAAAACATTTAATTTAATCGGAATACACAACTTTTGAATTTGAATGGTCGTTAATTTTGAATCACGTGATGTAGGCCTAGTTACAGTTAACGGGTCAGTCCACTTTGGCTGTCAGTCAGGTGATATAAATGTACCTGAGACTAACATGTATTTATACTTTATGTATCGTGCTTCACAATTGTATTGTGTTTGCACAATGTATACTGATTTATGTTGTATTACTTCATGCTAAATGCTGAATGTACTGTGGTAACTGCCATAAAGTTAATACATTTTATGTAGAATAAACACCAGGGCCTATACATCATATCATATGTACTCATTAAATCTACACACAAGGTTGAATGACTGTAAAAGCTGACTTGACTTGAATGTACTTGGATAATTAAGGGTAAGCAAGTAGGCTATTTAAAGCTGTTCTTTTTTCCTACCTCATATTTACATTATTGTTTTGTATTCATATTGCCAGAAAATAACTTTTGTAATAGTGCTGGAGACGGTCAGCTGATGGCATTCACAATCTCTGCATTGGTCGTGTCTGTAAATCCTAATTTGTAATTTAGACTTTTGAATAAAAGCTGAACTTCTTAATTTGAATGTTACCTGAAGCTTTTTCTCTCAAGTTTCATCTAGATTTTAGTTTTCTCTGTCAAATGGGTTTGCGGACTCATCAATAAATTGTGATTTTTTTAGAGCATTATTTTTATAATGATAAGCATGTGGGAATGCCAATTTCCACAGATCAAACATTGAGATTTTATTGTGAGGGACTTGGACGGGAGATACACAGTACTCAAAGGGTTTTGCATCCACTCATTGCAACAACAACAACAAAAAATTGTGTTAAAGTTATGAAGCTGAAACAAATCTTTAAGGGTTTGTAACGCAGTATTAATCACCTGTCTGAACTCATTGGGTTTTTCAGGAGCTTGTTACAGTGATCACAGAATTCCCTGAAGTTCGAGGTTCAGATCATTGGGCGCTGGTTCGAAGTTTTTGGAGAAGTCGATCCATGTCAGTGAGCTCAGTGGTCCTCCTGATCCGGGTTCGAATCCTGATTCGGGTTTGAAAATCGAGTCCTAGTCTGGTCCTGGAGTTCCTTTGGTGGGTGTCTTTGTAGGTGTTAAAAAAAAAAAAGATATGCCCCCCAAAAAAAGCATGGTGAGTGTGAATGTGCCAGTGGCTCAGTGGTAATGAGCACATCCTTCTTGTGTGTGGAGGACCTGGGTTTGAATCCTGGGCTGGGTACTGAAGCAAGTGATGGTTGCAGATGGTTAGGATCTGAAGAGAGGAGAGGCCAGCTGGATGAGGACTGAATAGTTTGGGGATGCAGTGGATTATCCAATAAAAAGTGGCTTAAATGTTTTGGAGTTGTGCCAAGATTGGATTTTAATAAGTAAACATTTTGATGTAAAACAACACTGCTGCTGGATATCTTCCCAGAAATCCCCAGGGGGAGGAGTTAGGATATTCCCTCCCCCCTTCGTGTCCAACCATCTCTTGTCCTCCTGTCTGATCCGTTTTGGATCCAGATCTGGAGACTGTTCCTGAACGCAACCATGCTTCAGTGTCCAGCCCGGTTTTGAACCAGGAACCTCCCAACAGGGGAGTGTGTGCTCACACCACTGAGCCACTGGACCTTCCACTCTTACACTTCTTTTTTTTGGGGCATGTCTTTTTTCTCTCTTAGACAAACCCGACGAAACTAAAGAATCATAAGAGCGAGGTTCGAACCCGGGTTTCCCACATGGAACCACAACACTCAAACCACTGAGCCACTGGAGCGTCCACTCTTACACTTCTTTTTTTTGGGGCATGTCTTCTTTTTCTCTCGACAAACCCAGTGAAACCAAAGCATCATAAAAGCGAAGCTCGAACCTGGGTTTCCCACATGGAACCACAACACTCAGACCACTGAGCCACCAGTGCGGTTTCATGCTTCCTTCAAAACCTGAAAGTCACGTGTCTTTTCACCCTGAGTAAGACTTCGGCCACAAACCGATGATTTGAAGTTGGGAACATACTCTGAGATCTAATGTTTATTCATTTCAGTTGCCTTTGCATGTGTTGCATGTGAATCGAACCTATAATCTAATCTTGTTGACCTTATTGTTATTATTAGTGCCATGCTTTATCAGATGAGCTACAAAGTGAACATTTCAAACAACCACATGAAACACTGAACATCACAAGTGTCAATTGATTGTGTTCAGTTTGTGAGTTATTGCCTAAAACCACCAAGAACTTCTGACATCTGAGCACTGCAAGTTTGCTGATGAGTCATAGAGCTCAGTTATTTAGTATCCATATTCATATTAATGTCCATATATTATTCAGAGACTCATATGTCTCATATGAACTATCTTTCACAGACTCCCATAAAAATCCAAACCTATTAGCCTCTATTAGCATATATTAATTATTTGTTAACTTCAAATTTAAACTCTTTATCAGAACAGTGATAAACTACGGCATCATTCAGACCTTATGGCCCTTAAAATGGGTTGACAAACTTTGTAATTTCCAGCAGAGACAAACATTTTTGATTATGAAACTTTTATTAAAAGTACAAAACACATTCAGGCAGTTTAGAAAGGGCATATCCAAGGCAAGTTTATTTATTTAGCACATTTCATACACAATGGTAATTCCATTTTTTTTTTTTAACTAGCCAGATAAATATGACACTAACACAAGCTTAATATGCACAATGACAAAAATATACAACATATATTTTCAGTTTTGAAAAAGTGATAGTCAGACTTAGTGATAGTTAAGTCTATGACAGATGCTTGTGTCAAATACCAATTTTAAATCATCTTATATTATTAATGATGATAAATCGCTTCAAGTGCCAAATAAATGCAATTAACGTTAACATATCACGTGAAGTTGGCGTATGTGTATTTTTATCTTTTACTCAGAGCTGCCATCTGATGGTCAAATAAGTGAACTTATCCTGCATTTTTAAATTTCTCCACTAGACGGCGTAAGAATAACAGGGTCAAACTGGAAGGGATGATAGCGCTTATTCATGTGACCTAAGTTATTATAAAATTATCATAATTAATCTTGTGTGACGCAGCTGCGTTGAATAACGCATGACGTAAGTGTTCTTCTGTCCAATCGGAACTCGTCTTTTCAACAACGTCATCCAGTCGGTCAGTAAACATCATGGCGGCGTCCGTGCAGCGTTTCGGCGCAGCCGGGAGACACTTTATAAAGAATTTATTGAACACAACAGTCAGCAAGAGGGTAAGAGATTACAAACACAACATTAATGTCATTTAAAATGTCGAAATATTGAAAATTAAGTCCTCGAAATCGTTTTAAACAGCCAGGCTGAGACTGTGGTATGAACCCTGGTCTCAATGATGCAAACTTGCATCATAATATGAAGGGGGGAGAAGACTTTACTCAAACATTTAATTTTATTACCACTCAAATCCGTTTTGCTATTTACCTTTTATATGCTGCTCAGTAAATCGTGTGTATATAACATGCTTTAAAGTGTTGTCTGTGTTTCAGACTGGCTCCACTCAGGCTGTCAGTCACGTGGTTTTAAATGTACCTGAGACGAAGGTCACGACCCTTGATAACGGGCTCAGGGTGGCATCTGAAGATTCTGGCCTGTCCACATGCACGGTAAGTTAACCCTCACATCTAAGTGAGCTTGAGATTTCAATCTCAGCCAGGTGTCTGATGAATTTGATTATTAAACATTAAAATTAGAAAGGCAATTTTATTAGTGTTGTTTAAAAAAAAAAAAAAAAATTCTCAAACTGGGACATTTGGTGATGTCTCTTTTTTGAGGGAGGAGCCACACGGCAGTGTCTGAAATAATGATACGATTAACAAAAGATCCAAACGATTTAGTTTATTTCATTGAAACTAGAGAAAATGTCATAATGCATTTGTTGCATATTGTAGTGTCACAACTTAAAGTCCGCATGGAACTGAAGTTGTGCTAGTCTTTTCTTCACAATTGTGATATCTGAGTGAAACGGCTTCTCAAACGAGAATTTATTGGATGGTTGTGGTTTGCTATTGGCTGATGTCATGTGAGTGACAGGTTGTCCCTCCCTTGTCATCAGAGAAGAGAAGAGATGTCGCTCCAAGAGGGAGGGGAAGTTAT